CATTCATCAGGGGCACCGGACTTCCCCGCGATGTCTCGGTGCCTTTCGATCTGAACTATCAGAATCGCAACTGGTCGCACTAGCCCGGTCGCAGGATGATGAATCATACACGATCGAAGTATAATTCTACAATTGACCTTGTTTTTTTTTAAAAAAAAAAATTACGGAAAACATACTAGTTTCCAAGTCTTGGTTGCCTTTTTACGGCAACTAGGAGTGCATCCATTACGCAGATGCCTTGGTAGTGATTTTTACGGGTCGCCATCCCAAGAGAATATGACATTTACTCAAAGTATTCAATACGATTGAAGAGCCTAGTGGAGAAGAAAAATTCCTGAAAAGTGGCTTTCGGCATTGAAGATATTCACGTGTATACAACGCCCCCTAGCCCCATTTGAGGGGAAAGTATTGAACGATGGCCGCGAATTCACTGGATATTCACGTCTAGTGACCAATTAAATGGATTTTCTAAGGGATTTGACGCCACAGCTATCTCTGGAGATGTTGATCCTTAGCCTTGGCCTCTCTTCAAGCTATTTTTATTTTGACTTTACAATACAATTACTAGTAAAGGTAAGGATCGTTGGCTGAGAAGAAGAAAAATGTTCATACAATAAATGGAGACTGGAGACTTGATATTAATGAGGTTGATCGACAAACCGTTAAAACCGTTTCTCTCCTGTAAATTTAACAAAAAAAATAAAAATCATTAGTAAGGCCTTATGGTACAATTTTTCTCCGACTGTGGATAACAGATGAACAGACGATCATAAGGATTCTGACCATAAGGAGATGAGTGACATTTTATTCCCTCAAGTTGGTAAGAAGCTAAGATCCGATCCCAATTTTAGTGCGCATCGACCATTGACTATCATTTTTTTTTCTCCGAGACAACATATGATGAAGTTCGAACATCCCATAAAAGGGGCTATAGGGAGTCATACAACCCAAGACTAGATGATTAACTAGTATGGAATATGGAGTAGGCCAAATCTAAGATTACAGGTTCATCGATTCAGCCACGAATATTCGGCTCATATCTAAACAAAGAAAGCTAAGACATCTCCCCCTCACCGGGATATTGTTAATACAGCACGGTTCAGGCCCCGTACATAGTCAAATCTCCGGCAATCTACCCACTCAAACCCAAATAAACCATGTCATCCCGAAATTCCGAAGTGTGGCGGCACAGGAGATTGTTTAATTCGCCCAGTGGATACTTCCGGGAATCTCTCCGATCTCTAGTCTCAAAAGAGTAAGTTGACAGCTGCAGGTTGACCAAAAGATGACGAGGACAAGGGAGAGAAGGGTCTGATCCCATGTAGAAGAGGAGAAGGGAAGAGGAGAATGAGGTGGGGAAATGGGTGAATGGGTGAACTTTCTCACAAATCTGCAACGGACAATATGCACGTACGGCAAAGAAACGGGATCGATGGTTGACAGGGCTTGGTTATGAAACTAGCAAGGGTTATTTTCTGTATTGTGCCAGAAATGGATAAGAGTGATAATTTGGGGCCATATGACGGGAATTTCTGTGCAAGATGTTTAGTGTGTCTTACAGATTCGACCGAACTCCTCATCGAAACGTTTCAGATCTACGATATAAGGGAGGTGTGTTTGATATAAGGCTCCGCTCAAATATATGTACGATGCCGTGTGATATATTGACCTACAACTAGATATTTCTATTGGAAGCTACACTCAAAATGAGACCCTAAGAATATATTGTTTTTTTTTTTTTCTTTCAGCACGTTTTTGTCAGGAACTTCCCCTGAAGCCAAGAGATGAATCTCATTTCGCCTGGGAAAAAATAAAAACGGGGAGCCGGACCGTTCCCAGACTCCACTAAGCCCATACGATAACTTCGATCGGCGGGGATTTTGGTTTTTCTCTGGAAATTTCCCTTTTTCATTTTTCTTTCATTTTTTTCCCTTTTTTTTTTCTTTTTAGCGTCAGACAGTAAGCCCAATAAGGATTAGCTTAAGCCCCAAAAAATGTTCTGAGAGATTAACGAGATTACAAGTGGGCTGGCCGTTTTAACTTGCTCCACATAGGAAAAAAGCCATATCTCTTCATCTCCACTAATACTGCAGGTTCGGCATCTGTGCAAATCCCGAACCTGGATCGCCTTTTAAGAAATCTCGGGGACCTAATGGTATGATCTATTATATTGACGATCTCTACGGAGAAGAGACCCGATCTTATATACTTCGTATAGGATACGATGTGAATGTCCGAAACCCTTAAAACCCTAAGAAGCCGAGAACGGAGATTGGGTTGAGAGATTTGGGAGATTACACTACTACTCCATACTCAGCCACGCGAGAAAATGAGAAAACGGCTTGACTTAATTAAGATCGGTGGATATATAGTGGATAGTGACTATCCCTCCAGGTTTCCATGGCTTTCATGAATATCACATTTATACCAATATTATGTTCCTTATACTTCCTTTTTTATGCGGATCAGCCTGGTGCTTGCCACAGAGTATACGTACTCCATACGCATGGGAAATTGGTTATTTTTGCGGGTCTAGACGGCTCAGTGAAAGATGCTGAATTTGTCTGGATTGCTGCCATGTGGAGTGTCATCTCCTGATACTCTTTAAGCATTCTCCGTGGTCACCGAGAAGTATCAAACGTATCTATTTTTAAGCAGATCGCCCATATTTTATCCCTTTTTAAGTACTTTGTATCTCCCGAGATACCAAAACAGAGGAGTGGCGCAACCTGAAATGAACTTGACCATTCGGTGATCTCTCGGGGCACATTTTTGAATCTTCCATATGTACCGTGCCATATGTGCCGTGCCATATGCGCATTTTGTGCTCAGTATCAATAGCTTAGTGCTTTATTGATCTACATCGTATTCTGTGGAGACAGGAACAAAGTACAGAAACACGTTGCACATGCAGTAGTCTACCCTATGCACCGGAAATCCTTCCGATCTCGATTTTTTTTAAGCGGGCTCGGCCACATCTCGGTCGAGATTCAAATGATTCTCTATTGGACGGAGTGGATGATCATGATATCTTTTCCCCGTATAATGTACTAGCAAGGATGGGAGCATAAGCTTCAACCGGAGCTCGGCAATTAGCTATCCGATATTGCCGTATATACTCCGTATATATACAACATATTCTATTAAATTAGTACACTCAGTTTTAACAAGATAAAATGTATTTTTTAAGCTGATTCGTAACAAGTATTCCAAATCATTAAACACCAATCATGTTACAAAGATAGTTGATACGCTGCAGGGTCATTGAAGTGACAGGTGGGTTATGCAGCCCAAGACTTTTTGACGTATGCATTAGCCCAAATTCCCATATTAATTTTGACTATGGACGAATGATAGACCTCGAATGACGTTGAATAAAGTTTTTATATCTGAGCTATTTAGATTTTATTTTGGATCTGACAGCTGTCAGGTCTTTTGTAAAGATATCTTTCGCTTATAATTCTCTTTATATTTTCTTATACATTCTATTATTTTAAACCCATTTTATTATTTGTCATTCTACTTTCTTTTCCGTTTCTTCTGAAGTACGCGAAATCTTCCCGCTTTGATCTCACAAAATTATACGCCATCGTATCCACACCCAATACTAAATCTCTGACCATTGAACCCGTTAGGTTCTATCGGAGTATCGGAGTCAGAATTTCTTCATTTTACTTCATATTTCCCTATCCTATTTTTATTCAAAAGTGGATGAACTAGTACAAAGTAAAAAATAAAACACTGGAATGCCCAACCGAAGGATCGGCAATCGTCAAATAACCGCTAAAAAGGGAAAATAAAAACAAGGGCAGGGTCCCCGCAGATCCATGTCATACCAGTTGAAAGGGGAACTGACGTGAAAACGGTCCACGAAGATTCATGGTTACTCTGAGAGGGTCTGACAGGGTCTGCACGGTGAATTGTGGGCCAAAACATCCCTTATGAACGCCGTGCTCCATAAATTTTGTTCCCCGATGACATCCCCAAAAGGGGGGTCTTTGACCCTAAAAGCCTGTACCTAATCCCAACGTAGTCAAGACGCCGAGGATCACGGCAGTCTAACCAGTATGATTCCGCGCTTACTCCAGTTCTCAGTTTTCGGGATTTGCTAGTTGATCGTATAGTCAACTTAGCTTTCATGAATCATGTTTTGGAGAAACTTCCCGAAACAATAATTGTGTGGCAAGATCCACAGAGAAAACGGCAACCATGTGCCACTGAGATCTTGAACCAATCAATTCGTCTACATTTATCTAGAAGGCCCCTCTATCCTCGATGCCAAATCCCGGGCTTGGCTCCCGGCCTCTGGTTTACACAGATACCCCCGTACTCCGTACCTTTTTTGCCTCGGATTTTGTAGAGCCAATAAGAGCCCCTGATCTCAAAACACTACCAGGGTTGAGCGGGAAACCCAGCTCTTTAGGCTGGGTGCAGGCGGCAATGCGATGCAGCTTGCCGGATGGAGTACATTACAGGCAGCGGTACTCGAGAATGAGACTATGTTTATGCGAGAACGAAGTACCAAGTACGAGAGTACAAGAGATGATGAGTAGCGTATCACATACTCCCTCGAGTCAGTAGTGTTTGACGTACCTATCGTACTTGATGCATGAGGGACTTGAGGGTGATTTCGTCCATGAAAAACAAGGCATTTGAGCTAGGTATTATTTCCTCTTGCTTATGCATGGCCTCGTGCGTGAGACTTTATATATATTATTGATGCATCACTAGTCTCTTCATCACACCGAGGTAGTTGATTTCGAAACTGACCACAGAGTACACGTCGTGTACACCCCCTTTTCTCTATCCTTTCCCTTTCATCTCCGTAAAGTCTTCATCCCAACCTTGGAAAGTCCAATGTATAACCCTCGCGTCAGGTGACTTAGTGGTCTGTGCACAGAGCTCTTAGCTTATCCCCACTTGATCTTCCAAGTCAATATGTACACATAGTAAATATCATTCCTCTTTTCCTTTTGGGGCCTCTTTTTTTTTTCTACATCATGTCTTCAATTCTGTCCCTGGGTGATATTCCCACTGTGGCGCTTCTGTACCGCACGAAGCATCTACTTCCTGTGTCCTCAAGATTTACCCCATCCCAGTCGCTCAACAACACCGTCTCTATCATCCGCAATGACATCACCAAGCTTCAAGTGGACTGTATCGTGAATGCTGCCAATGAGTCTCTCCTCGGGGGTGGTGGAGTGGACGGTGCAATCCATCGAGCTGCAGGTCCCAAGCTAGTTGAAGAATGCGACCATCTTAATGGATGTGAGACTGGCGATGCAAAGATCACCTCCGCCTACGAGCTGCCTTGCAAGCGCGTGATCCACACAGTTGGACCAATCTACAGACAAGAAGAGGACCCCGTTGCGCTTCTTCGATCCTGTTACCGACGCAGTCTAGAAGTGGCAGTCGAAAACGACATGAAGAGTATCGCCTTCGCCGCGATCAGCACCGGAGTCTACGGCTATCCCAGTCGAAAAGCCGCCAAAGATGCCATTAAGGAAGTGAGAAAATTCCTTGACGGACCTAATATTGGAAAGCTGGAGCGTGTCATCTTCTGCAACTTTGAGCTCAAGGATGTGACAGCCTATGAGGAATTCATTCCGTACGTTTTTCCCATTTACCACACTGTGAACAGATACTGACCACAACTGAAGCGAGTATTTCCCTCCCACGAAAGAAGACTTGGCTGAGAGCAGCGACACTTGAATTGCCAAGTCAAAAGCAATGTTGCGCGCCTCACTCGGCGTGCGCACAGTGGAGGCATGTCAGTACATGCTCCCGATACGATTCACGACCGCCCTCATATGAATTCAACGAAGCGTAACCTATAATCTTTCCCGCTCTGTACTATTCAGTCTAGAAGCGGACTTTGGTCAAAAATTCCATTATGGGTCTTAAAATGTTTCTTTCTCCATACTGGTAGGAGACAAGGCGGAGATGAGATATCGACCAGTTCGTATCCATACTTACCGGTAGAGCTGTGCCATATAGGTCTGTAAGCAGCTTTGTTCTTTTCGTACTTTCTCCTACAAAGACGGCCGTCTCAACATCAGCCCACTCGTCACGGACGAACTAGTAAAGTATGCAAACAATGCAAACACCCTATCAGATCGCATCTCATCGTGATTCTAGCTTGAGACCACTTCAAACTCCAATTGCAAGGGCAATTCCCTCTCGATAACTAAAGAAATATAATGATATTTGCCTACCTGAGCTGAACACCGCATCCCCAACACAACCAATCCCCCTAGCAAATCCCCGACACTCCGACCTCCGCCTCCAACTCCAAAAATGGCGAAACCACAACGGCCAAGAGGGACAGTCCCAACTCCCAACTCGCGGTACCGAGTCCATGTCCGCGAAGAGCCAAAGCCTCAAATCCCAGACCCCATCACATATGAGGGCCCCTCCCTCTCTAAACCAAAACGAACACCCTTCATCTCACATTTCCTCACAAACCTCCGCCAACGCATCTCCGCCCTCCCATACCCAGTCCGACGAGCATGTCGCACTCTCCGCTGGGCAGCACCTATGCTCCCGATCGCGCTATTCTTCCCAGAACATGTAATGCAAGTGATGTGGGTTCGCGGGCCATCAATGACACCATACCTGAACGAGGAGTATGCGCAAACGCAAACGAAGAGCGACATAGTGATGGTCAACATGTGGCCGTGGGGATCTATAGTGCCGTTCAAAAAAGAGCGAAAGCTAGAACGCGGGATGATAGTTACTTTCCGGTGTGTTTTTCCTATCTTTCCTTTTTTATACCATGCTTTCTCATGGGCAGCAGCCAATACTAACAATATCCTCACATATAGCTCCCCTGCAAACCCGTCTCACATCGCTATTAAGCGCGTTATTGGTTTACCCGGTGATCGGATCACGACTCGCGAGCCATGTCTGCGACAAACGCAAATCGTTCCCTGGAATCATGTCTGGTTGGAGGGTGATGCGGAGGATCCGCGGAAGACGCTGGATAGCAATACCTACGGGCCTGTCAGTCTCAGTTTGATTACTGGGCAGGTATTTGCGGTGTTGGGACCGCGGATGCGATGGCTGAAGTGGACGGATTGGGAATCTAAAGGGGATGATACGGCTGTGAATTCGTATGGACAGAGTGTGCGGGATCGTGTTTTGAAGGATGCTGTTAAGCTCGAGCAGCCCTTGATGAACTGATTGGGTGGTTATAGATGGGGTTTGCATATCTGGGCCTCTTGTATTTGTTGATAGAGCTGAATTTTCCTGTGTCTGATGATGTGGACTGGGACTTGCACATATACTAGGAGCATCTTTTGAATATCATTGTATTACTATTTTAAGCAAAAATGCTATGCTATGCGTGTGCGGCTGGAAGGAGGATGTTCCCAAGAACAAACAAGATGAGTGGTATATACCAATAGAAGAGGATTCATGAATGGCCGTAGGTAACGCAGACAATGTAGTTTAGTAATTACGGAGAAACAAGCCGTATATCTTCATGTTTCTCTTCCTGGAGACGGTCAATTTCCGAAGAAATACTCATCACCCAACGGTCCTTTTCCACCCGACTACGCGCTTTAAACACGATGGTGCGGCCATGCTTGCCCAGCGTGGACACATGACGCAAGGATCGTTTGGCTTTGCCTTGTTCGCCTATTTCCTGGGCTCGGAAGTAGCTCTTGCTCAAGGGCTGCCAGACCACGAAGGTGATAGCGGTGTCCTCGTCGCGACTTGTGAAGGCATCGGAATCGAGATACACCCGTGGAAGAGCATGAAGACCAGGGTTATTGCTATCAAATGTCTGATTGGCATACAGCAAGTCATTCTCGGTAATCAAACCAGAATAGATGTAGCAATCTTCCAGCTCGATAGTCGCTTCGAGTTCTTGATGGATGTGTGGGATCTCCTTGCCGGTTCGGCTGCGCAGCGTGCTTCGGAATATTAACAGCTTGCCCGCTGTGAGGACGACATGGCATTGGTAAAAAGTGGTGTGGCGACGGGGTTTACGATAGAGGTGGCCGGACATCTGTTCATATTGTCAGTAAGTTGTGCTTGTATCTTTATGCTGCAATAACCTACTTTGATAGTCCGACAACCAGTTAGTGAGCACATGTTGTGCAAGTGTGGAGATGCCTCGGCTTTCTTCACTTCCCACTTCTTTGCGAACTGTCCTACGACTGATTCCATAGCTTCATCGATATCCAACAGCTTGAGATTGCGTTTTCGTACAGCCTGTAGCTCTGTGGCATCTTCTGTGCAGCGAGTGTGCCAATACTTCACAAGTGCATCGAGTCGTTTGATCCACTCATCCCGTGTAGCATCATCATATGCCTGGAGTCGAATGACAAGACCATTATCGAGAACCATTTCGAATGTCCTATCGTCATCGAATTCACGCGTTGCTCCGTCATCCTGCCGCGAGTCTCTGGGCTCAGGGTGGAAGTCTACAGAAGGTCCCTCCCCGATGTTAGGGTCGGCAGGGCAGCTGCCACGATAGACATGGCGAACTTCTTGCACCCGACGCATATCAATACACCCATCTGCCTGGCTGATATTGTGTATGTTCCTCTGCACGTGCGCATAAGCCTCTTCGTCATGACGTTTCACAAATTCCCGATTGCCGCTGGAGAGCCATGTAATCTCGCCACCTTCAAGTGGATAAGGATCGATATCCCAGGAGAGCGGCATTTGATCCAAGATTTCACGGGCAGTTGGTATACTTCCGTCTTCTGGAGAAGCACATTTCGGCGGTTGCGGGGGCAATGCCTTGGCTGGCCGACAGAAAAACAAATAATGGTCTTGAGTAAAGAAGTACAACCGTTTGAAGAACATCTTGTTCATCCGCTGATGCACACCTTTCTGGGATGTTAGACGGACTAGAAATCCTTCAATTGGAGCAGGCTCCTCCTGTATACCCCGATTCCTTATTGTAGTAGAGTAATGATGTCTTGGTCGTAACTCAAGCTCGTGAGATGATTGCATCGCCATGGTCCCGTACATCTTTTCCTCGTTGACTCCAAATACCCATTCAAGTCGGTCATACCGCTTCCAGGCTAGTCCCATCTTCTCGGTCTTGGACCAAGCCTTCAAGACCTCGGCCCACTCAGCACGGCCTTCGAGCATATCCATACATACTCGGATAATGGTAGCGGCAGCAAATCTGTTATCGACTGCTCGTCGGTCCGCAACTGTAGTAGCGTGCTCGCTATCAGAATTATCTGCTTCCAGTTCTGCTTCGAGCTGGTTGAAAGGATTTTTGAAAATGAGGGAAACTCCCAGATCAGGGACGTTAATAGGGAGTGAGGCTGGTCGCCGCCACCCGAGCACCTGGCGAATGAAAGTGTACCATTCAGTAGAGTGCGCGGCAGACTTTGGACGAAGGATAAATATTTTGGTACCACGCTTGCAGGGACGCCAAATAACGATGGTCTTGTCGAGGGGGGAATAGAGGTTAACATGGGTATCTTTGTGACTGAGTCGTACTTCATAGTAAGGGGGCGTTTTGCTGTTCGGTCGTTGCACATCAGGAATTACACGAGTGCGGTACATCTGAATGGCAAATGGCGTATGTTCTGCAGATATTTTGCGGCATACCACGAGAAACTCCCTCCATTTGTCTACCATCCGGGTTTCCATGCGCAGGCTGTCATTCTCGGTGTAATCGGCGGGAAGTGTGGTCTGCAGAGTCTCCTCCACGCAAACCAGCATTTTCTCTACTTTGACAATCTCTCCATCTTGCACCTTTCGTCGGTGTGGTCGATTGGCAGAGATAGTACCTTGGGCCTTTGCAATCTTGGAGCGCATCTTTTGCTTCTTGTGTCCGAGATTGTCATCCAGGTTGAATTTTGCCATCTTTTTAGTGAGTCTCCGTTGGATTTGCGCATCTTCGCCAGCGTCATCGTCATCCTGTGGGTCGTGATGTTGAAGCGTTGCTCGAGACACGCCGGATGCTTTGCTTTTCTGCTTCCCTTTGTCCTTGTACTCGCGTCGAAGCAATTGTGTTTCTGAATCGGCTTCGCTTGGAACCGTGGATAGATTGGGGGTCAGGGGGTTGGGAGAAGAATGATCTCTCAAATTTATGTCGTGTGAGCCCGGGGATTTTGGTCGCGGCTCAGGCGGTTCCGGTCTGCTGGCTCGTATGGTTGCTATTGATTGTCCCGTGTCTGTAGAGCTGGCAGCCTCTTCTCTGGCAGTGACGAATGAAGACGAAGCAATATCATTGCTGTATGTGTCGACTTGCCCGTTTGGCCTGGCCTTGGGTGTGCTGTCTGTATCTTCTCCACTGTCTCCTCCGCTGTCCTCTCCACTATGTCTTCCGCTACCTCTTCCCCTATCCCCTCCGTTATCTCCTTCGCTATGTCCTCTAGTTTCTATGTCCTCTTCCGGTAAGGGATCGTCACCGCTGGCCTCAGCTTCAGGGTGGGTCAGGGTCCGGAGCTCCCCCACAGCCTCTGATGCAGCCTCTTCTTGTGCCTCTCTTTCTATCTCATCGTTTTGCTCCTCGGCAACCTCCGTGCTTGTGTTGGTAAGTGCCAACGCGGCCTCGTCCAAATCGGGTGTTGATGAGCCGGGCCGATCACCCTGTTCGCCGTAATGAGTCGCTATAGGACCTGCAGAGAATGAGACGGTTTGCGATGTATAGTTTCGGACTCTCAGTCGAGATCTATACCAGGACTTGCGATGACCATGCAGCCAGCCTTCTGGAATTGGACCGACGAAGAATCGCCGGTTCGTCATATGCAAATGGTGGGCAGAAGCATGGCGCTGTGAAGAAATAGTAGGTTAGCTTCATAAACTAATTCCCAAGCGACAGAGACATACCAGCTGCTGGTCTGTATATGAGCCAGTCTGCAAGCCATGATAATGTTCATGGTACGAGCGTGGGTCGATTTCTGGTCGCGACCCATTGGCCTGGTCCGGTGGAGAACTCATGACAATCTACTATGTAGTACACTTGTGGACCAAAAGCGCAAGCTTCTAAGAAGCAAGCAGATGGCCCAGGCACGACGAACTTCAAATAAAGTTCATCGCCAATCTCGATGTAACATGATCCGATGACGTCGCTGCAAGCTTTATGCAAATGGTGCAAACATTACAAACAAATATTGACACTTCACCGTGTTGGTACTGTTTACATTGTTTGCATCATCTCCATATCCCGTGTGCCCCGCCCATAGGCTTGCGTGGCAGCAGCGGTGAAGTGGACAATCCAACGGTGTTCTCATTAAGCTCATTAAGCTCTTTTCTCTTTATCCCACTGTCTATTTTCTTACTTTGATTCTTCTATAAAAATGGCTGCTATCCCTGCTGACGGAACATGGTTTGATACCATTAACAAGTCCTTCGCTGACGTCCCTATCGGTGCGGAGGATGGCATCTCAACCACCGAGTTCCTCGAGGCTGCTGAGTCCCTGGTGACTCTATTTGGTGCGTCTTATCCCTCCCCTGCATATATCTGCCTCAAACTAATGCACAACCCATCTAGATGTTCTCGGTTCTGCCGCTTTCACCCCTGTCAAGAATGACCTGCTCGGCAACATCAAGGTCCGTTCAATATATTCTATCACCAGTGTCCACACATTCTCACACCCCTCCAGAAAGTCCGTGAGCGTCAACAGGCAGCTCCTGCGGAGTCTGAGACTCTGCAGGCCCTTGTCCTGAACGAATTGAAGGCCGGCAAGCACGTTGCCACTGAAGGTCTGGTCTGGCTGGTCCGGTATGTTCATACCTCTCAATTGTGATTGGAGAGACCAATAGCAATGGCATCTCTTCCAATTGCATGGATCTGCATGGATCTGCATAAACAATAGACTAATTATTGTTCTTCCCAACAGAGGCCTCGACTTCACCGTTCAAGCCCTCCGTCACAACATCGACAACTCCTCCTCGGAACTTGCCGACTCCTTCCGTGGTGCCTACGGCAACACCCTCAAGCCCCACCACTCCTTCTTCGTCAAGCCCATCTTCAGCGCTGCCATGTCTGCCACCCCATACCGTAAGGATTTCTATGCCAAGCTTGGTCAGGATCAGGCCAAGGTTGCCGCCGAGATGGCTAAGGAGGTGGCTGCTCTGGAGAAGGTGATTGCCATTCTGAAGACTTTCCAGGCTACCAAGGCTGCTCAGTGGAAGTAAGTTTGCCCTGGAGGCGGCCTTACCACTTGATATGTAAATATTCGATCTGGCTTCAGGCATGCGAGTTTGTATTATGTAGCGAATTCACAAATCTTTTGGTCAAGATATTTGGAGCATGGTGTATTGTATTTGAAGTATAAGATCCAAATTCCAAGCGCAACCTTTAGAGATGAGATGTCACGTGGGAGGTAGGAATGACTACATACCATATGTAGGCAGCTGGCCAGTCTATAAAAGTATATTAAATAGGGAGACGGCAAGACACGCCAGTTTATACGGAGTACGGAGAACTCCGTAGTAAGCAGGAAGTCATATATGTTGTACACACTGCTTATTCTTCGTGTGAGAAGCAGGTACACCCGAGGCTCCGGGGACCTAGACTTGGCAAAAATCAGCCTCTCAGCCCCAGGAGTTCCCCGAAAGTCAGATAACTCCCGAGGTCGGTACTTTTTACTTCCGCTTTTGACTTTGATCTGCCAAACCCGTTCAAAATACGAGGGCTCCATAATATCCGTCCGTGGTTGAAAGGGGGATAGTGTCTCGGCACAGTCTAGAAGACCCAAGAATATGGGACAATATTCCTCAATTTTGGATAAGGCGGAAGTATAACAATGCTATTATATAAATTAATATTGGCACATATACTCCGTAGTAGAATTTTGTTGACACCTACTCAGTATGAGAAGAATAGTTTCAATGTTAGGCTCTAGATAGGCAACCTTGACCTCGAGAAGATCACAAAATTAGGTAATTTCCGATGTCTGCCCGTGGACCGTAAAATGCAGATCGCACGTCTCCCCCGCTGATCGAAATGCTTCATCTCATACAACGTAGGGGATTGCCCCCTTAAGAGCCTCGACAGGATTTGCATATTAAATCTCGATATAGAACACTCGAGACTAAGCAAGTGGGGGTCATATTGTCAAATATAGTATTTTCTATAAAATATTCATAGACAATAATCACCTGCACTAGCCATTGAAAATTGATTGCAGGGTTTGGGATAGACAGGAGTACTCCCCCTTATGACAACCTTGGTTGCAAAATTTCAAGGAAATTTCAAATGGGATTGTCACTTCCCATTCTAGAATAGTTTCGGCACTAACATCACGGTAACATCGTGATGGTACACACAGACTTCAATCTTTTCAAGCCATCGACTCCACTGATTAGATTTTGATTCGCGGTAATCGTTGGAATCGGTTATTTTGGCTGGATCTTATGGAGAAAAGAGGTCTGTGCGTGCTTCGAATATACCTATTTGACTCCGTACAAACTAAAGGCTTGAGCGGTGGCACCTGAAACAGAGGTCGTATTCATGCCATGCAGGTGGCTTCCACATGTTTAGAAGGTTTGTATAACATATAGAATGGAAGAAGAAGAAGAAAAGAAGAAGAAGAAAAAAAAAAAACTGTTTTCCTTTGAGTTTTGCATTCCCCCACATGTGAAACCTTTCCAATGTTAGAAAATATTATACAACATACTATTTCTCACTATAATTCCCACTATAATTCTACCCTAGTTCATTGTTCCAAGGAGATATCTAACATTGTCTAACCCAATTCTAACAAGCGGTGGATATTGTGTTTGGTACGGGATCATTAGAGCCTTTGAGTGGCTCTGGTGGCTATTTTTCTTTTGCCTATTTTGCTTTTTTAAAATCATTTTTTACCCTTTTTTTTCACGGAAAACAGCAGAAAAACACGGAGAACACATCAGCCCCCTCCCTTGGCAGGTTCTCGCCACTAATGCTCGTGATCCTAATGCTTGAACTACCGTACTCCGTAGTGGGTTTTCTCTTGTAACTTTTTTCTCTCTCTTTAATATATTCTATCTTGTTGCTCCTTCAAACATCCCTGTATACTTTATAGGGAAAACTATTCCGTATACGGGTCATGAATTGGTGAACATATATTCATTCCTCGGGTCAATATGTTGCCCCTTGAAGGTCGCAGTCAATCCATCTTTATTGTGACTACTATCTTCCTTGGAATTTCCTTCATTGCTGTATGTCTACGATGCTTCGTGCGGCTTCGACTCGTCAAGGCCTTTGGCTGGGATGATACCTTTATGGTATGCGCAATGGTAAGTATGATGGATTTCCTGTGGAACCGAGGTCAGAACTGATTGATTCGCAGTTGATGAACATTTTGTTCGCTCTATGCGGTATCACTGGTGCATTGTATGGAATTGGACAAAAACTCCATACACTTATCGAAAGGGGTACGATGGAAACCGCAATGTTTGTATGTTGACCTTTTGACTCCAGTCTTCCGGGATGAGAATCACATGCTAAAAATTCCTAAAGTGGTGGTGGCTCGGTCAAACCAGCTATGTCTGGACCTGCGCGTTGGCCAAGCTCTCTATTGCATCCGCTCTCCTCCGCTTGACAGTTTCCAAGGTCCATCGAATGGTGTTATGGGCTGTCGTTGGCGTCACTTGCACTATTGGTCTCGTCTTCTGGTTCATGTTGACGCTACAATGCCAACCAGTTGAGTTCTTTTGGCAACGAGTTCGCCCCTATACGGACCCTAAAGCTGAAGTTTCGGGTACCTGCATGGAGCTCGACCATATCATTGCCATAGCCTATGTTTACAGTGTGACTGCTACACTCTGTGATCTGACCCTAGGTCTTCTGCCTATCGCCTTAGTGTGGAACTTGCAGATGAATGTGAGGACCAAGGCTGCCTTGGCCGGAATTCTAGGAATGGGATGCATGTACGTCTACCCTTTGATACCTTGGAAGTGGACTTGGCACTGACCTATTCCGATATAGTGCAAGCGCAGCAGTCATTATTCGCATTCCATACTTGCACGACTACAAAGACGTCGACTTCCTCTGTGAGTTTCTATTCCTTTTATATATGCTCGATACAGTCACAAGATATAGTTAAAAGGCAATAACTAAAACTCAACCCAACAGACGCAACCGCCAACATCTCAATCTGGTCTAACGTCGAAGCCAGCCTCGGAATCGCCGCAGGAAGTCTGGTAACCCTCCGACCCTTATTCCGCTGGTTCCGCGATCCTAGCTCGATGGGCGGAAGCAGGAGCAAAACGAAACCCACCGCTGGCAGCATGCCCCTCTCAAGCATGAACGGAGTACGCTCCACCACATCCGCCCCGCAATACTGGCGGCCAGACCTAGACCGGGAAGACCAGCCTGCGGTGATTACGACGATTCACACCTCCAATGGCTCCGACACGAGCCGAACGAGCAGCCAAGAAGATCTAAATCCGACAAACGGCGGCACATTCTTCCAAGGAGTGAATGTCCAAAAAACGTTCTATGTTTCGGAGGATCAGACATCCTAAGCGAGTTAGATAGGCTATACGGAGTCCGGGGTACATACATACGGAGTAATATATCTAGACTTTAATCTTTTTTGCTATCTGCCAATTACGGAGGACTTCGTCTTTTGACACCCCCGCGCCGGCTCCCGGACCCCCGGGTTTATTACCCCTGTTAGCACACCGGACCCACGCTGGTCGTTACGCTACGCGTTAAGTAGTAGAAAAGCCGACGGAAAACCGACATACCCCTCTATGTCATAATATGCGAGCTGAATTAGCCCGGCTAGGCCGGTCGCTTTGCTTACTTAGCCCATTGTTCAATCTTCTTTCCCCGGCGTTTCCCTTATTGTCACGACGGTGACGAAGACCATGATGGTAAGGTGGTTTAGATTAGCTATTCATTTACCCTCTACTGAGTCGACGAGGACGTCGAGGCTTGTCGAGGCAATTGTTAGGTGACATCAGCTGATGTCACCTGATAGCCCCTTCCCCATCTTTAGTCACACTAGCTTAGTACTACCTACCTAGGAATATCATCATTTTTCCTATCTTCAATATCACTGAAGATAATATGGATTTCCCTGAGAGTTACCCGCCAGGTATCGTTTTGACCAAATTGGCCAAAGCCCTCGACGCTCATCAACCCGCCTTGCGTCTCTCCCTTCCGTCGAACCAGGTTCCTTATAAAGACGCGCTTAATGCAACTTTGGAGTGTGTGCGGGAAATCGAGGGCCATATCCGTCTCCCAACCACTAACCCGATCAAACGTGATGCCCTCCGTCGCATGGCACTTGGGAATCAAAATTTGGAGGAATCCACGAACTCGTTAAGCCTACGCATCCGAACCACAGGCAAGCTTCAAAGTGCAGGTCTCCCCATACCTCCTTCTCCCGAACGGCGCGAGATAATAAAAAAAAACTTTTTCGATGAGGATGTCCCCCCCCCCTCAACGAGACCCGTATGCTTTTCAGCTCCGCGCCCTACGTACAGAAACCACATTAATGGCCGTTCTCGGTAATGTCACTATCTCAGCGGTTGATTGGGAGTCCGGGCTTCCTGAATGCGACCTAGAGGGGGCTGAAATACTATGGGATACCGGCGCTCATAATACCATTATCACGAAAGACCTCCTCAGCAACGAGTTCCAGGCACATTTACCAGATCAGATCCACTTCCCTTACCGAACTACAGATGGAACACGCGTGCGGGTTTCTTTCATCTTAGAATTCTCCAATACCCTATTTCATTTGGACGGCATCGCAACTGTTGTCGATAGCGCTCTTGTCCCTAACATGCGCTCAGGAATAATTCTTGGGCAAAGGGGTTTTATTGATGCCATTCAATATAAGTCAATTCCACGATCCATTCTTCTAGCACAAGGCGAAATTGTCGATGAAGCTTTGTAGGGTGATTTGATTCTTGAAAGTTATTTCGGTTTGGATAAGACCTTGAAACAGGTCGTTTAGTTTTACTTTCATTTCTGTTTCAGATACCCATTATTATCAATTAAAAAGTTTCTTCTTCTTCAACTTCCCATCAAAAACTTGAATCGTTCTTCGTAGGCCTGCAGGCGTTCCAGCTCCAGTTCCCAAGATAATTCCAGGCGGTTCTTTGGACATATATTTTATTATAATGACAAAATGTATATCATTAATGCTATTTGTGTCACCGTCGACGACATGCATGGGTCGTCCACGGGTTTGGAGAGGCAAGTGATGCCTCACCTGCAGCATACACCCCATTGTCATAACCTAGGTCAATCCAATCCGCTAGTCTATATCGTCAGGCCACTACATTCAACGGTGTGGGGGCCCATATTGTAATGCAATGGTTGAGCAGGTCTAATTCTGGTTATCTGGGCCGTTCGATACTCTTGAGAACAGGGCTAGGTCGCACTTGACTTGGTTCGCGATAGGCTGATTTGAATGTCTGGAAGCGAAGTCCCCGCAATTTCCCTGGCTGCGGATATCATTGTGGCAATCTGGGGTATCTATAACGCTTGGGACATTGAGATAGGGGTGTGGTATTTTCAAATATGTTCCTCTGCCCAGAACTCGCTGTACACATCGCATGCTACTTTTTTTTCGCGTTCTCAGAGGGGACCAGAAAACCATACGTTGGTACCAATAGCCTCTAGAAACAGTTCTCAAGAGCTGTCAGGGTAGCGGGTCTTATAAATCGCCCTGGGTCAATGTATCGGTCACAGTCTTGGTTTTGTCGGGGGGATCAGGGGATCGGAAAGCGACCATGAAGAACTGGGACTCTTCCAAGTTCTGAATATTTCACTTTTTTTTGATGTGGTAAACCCAAGAGAGCCATCGGGCGAGAACATGTATCAAGGTAAGTGGACCAATTATATATATACAACAGTACTTTGCCTCTTCATGCTTCATGTTTCCCTACCGCATTAAGGTATTAATAGTACCCAAATCGGAACTTTAAAAATAAATATGCTTTTGAGGTTATATGCGCCAAGACCGCCACCATGCAGGTTTATTTCAGTTTCAGTTTGCAGATGAAACCTTGCAATTATTCTTGACTTTTACCTTTACAATACACTTTTTGGCTGCTCTCTCCAACAGCCCGGCCGGGCTAGCTCAATCGGTAGAGCGTAAGACTCTTAATCTTAAGGCTGCGGGTTCGACCCCCGCGTTCGGCTATTCCTAAAAACCAAACCTAAGATTTCTTTTTTGTTCTTTTCTTTTTTTTTTTTTAAAAAAAAAATAAATAAAATTTATTTTATATCGAAAGCAGTTAAAAATTACATGCAGAGTAGTGTTAAGAAACATTTGAATATAATGTTTGGAACAATAACCGTGCCAAGCGCCACAGTTACTTACTCTTTGTTTCTTTGCCCTAACACACCCTGAAAAACAGACTCATGTCCAGGTCTACTAAGGTGAGACATTAACAGTGTAGTCTGTCAGACCTTCACCTCTCTTTACCCCCTTGTGGTCTTTGTGGCTTTGTCCCAAAACACTCGAAGAAACATATTCATTCATACCAGGGATAGCCTGGGTGAGGCATTGGCATTGTGGTTTTATCAGACATGTATCCCTCTTTGGCCCTTTGTTTCTATCTCTGTCAAGCTACTATATAACCAGATTTAAGGCAGTTGTAGTTGTAACTATCAGTGTCATATCAACCTATTGATTTACTTATATTCACTCCTTAAGACATACATCCTACGTGTATAACTTCCTTGCTTGCCTCTCCCACCTAGAGGTATATAGTTGGATTATACCCTCTCTCATCCCCGGTCTATCCATCCAGTTCGTGTCTTTAGCACCGTCTCGATACCAACCCCTCTTCAGTCAGTACCATGGCAGTACGTCTTCGCAAGTTTGTCAAAGCCGTGAAAAAGGGAGGACGTGCCATTTTGCGCGGGTGTGCGCGGGTATGTGGATGCCTGTGTCTATGTGCACTCTTCCTTCTGAAAAATGTTTTTGAAACTGCCCTTTTGCTTTGTGGCATTGCCGTTGTGTGTGCTTGTTATCCGGTATACTTTGTCGGAGTTTGTTGTTATGCTCTGGTTGTAGCTGCATTCTGTTGAAACTGCAAGCTCGACTTCTGCACGTGGGCCTCTTAGCAGGTGGGATTCTCTACGTATATACAGTCTCTCGAGGTCTATTGTGGACATGGATATATAAGCAAATTTAAACCCACATAAAATATGAATAGCCTAATTATATATAGCAAATGCTATTGATTGTATATATCCTAGAAAGAACCAACGCCCGATGCTATGCACATATCATCGTAAAGCAATTTGCTCAAACGCCAGCCAGAACATCAAGATAAAAAGAAAGACGCAAGAGAGTAGACGACTGATTGACCAAAAGACGCAAGGAACACGTGTAGACAGCGGGTGTGCGCGAAAACCAACATCCCCAACCCCATAATTAAAACTTAGATCAAGTGCTTGGCTGCAAATTCCCCGTGTAAACACCTTCGAAGTCGAGACCTGCAAGCATGCCATTGACGCGATCGATCTCATGACTTAGGTCCTCGACGTTCATAGCTAGGCTGCTCACTTCATCGAACTTGCGCCGCCGATTGGCATCAGCGATCATTTCGGACACAAAGAACTTCTGTTCTTCTAACACGATCAGCCGGTCTCGAAGGGATTTTTCTTCTGCCTCCAGGGCTGAGACGGCACTGCTGGTGTCGCTGGCTAGGCTGGTATTGCTACCGCTAGCGGCAACACTGTTGTACTTGATGGACGCAAGGGCAGGCTCTGATGGCCGGAGATTTGTTGTAGAGCCATTGACTGGAGTACTCGGGGAGCTTGTGCGGCTTGGTATTCTCTCTGACGCAGGGGTTGTATGCTTGAGAATTTTGGGGAGAGATTTCAAAGGTAACATATGGAGGTGAAGGAAATTGCTAGCTTGTTGATATATAGCCTTCTGCAGCTTTTGTTGTGTGGGGGACTGCGTCGGCATGTCACGGATACGTCGAGCTGCAATATCATACTGCGCAAAAGAGTCAATGAGTCGTTTGCGCACCTTAGATGCATCTGCGATCTGGGCCGATGATGGAGGTCGCCTTGGATCCCTGGCACGATGCCGTTAGTATCGGAATGGAACACTGGAAAACACCGAAAACGAGAAACATACTGTAAAGCTGTCAAAAGTTTTTGGAATCTAGGGAGATGAAGGCGGATGCCTCTTTCAAACTGGATCAAGTTTTCATAGGCCCTCATCTCTGGTGGCTTTCGCGCCATATCTGCTTTAAAATCGCGCCGATCAAATAGTGTCGCTTTACATTCCTTGCATAGCCGCACATCAATATTGACAAGGTTATCGCCATTTGTTTTCTCGGATGTGGCTGTCGAGACGGTTAGAAATTAGACTCAAACCACGAAGGATATTTCGGAACTTACCAGGAGAAATGCTCAGCGGAATCTCACTAGAGCACTCAGTGCTAGGATCCCCACAGACGACTCGTCCGCAAGTTCTGCAGTGGTGTCTGCGGAACGTATATCCCGAAAAGTCTTGCTGGCAAAACGGACATCGTGAAACACTGGCATCATCTTGCCAGCTGACAATCGTTTGCTCTATTTCCTTACGTTGATCATTCTGCCACGCAAGAGACCAAAGCTTGGTTGCACTGGGATGTATTTGATCTGGTGGCAGATTAGCCAACATCTGTGTGAGACGGGTCAATCGTTTCTCGAGCCGGGAAATCTCCAAAAATTCCTTATCAACAGTGTGTTTTCTTATTGACTTGAATGCCTCCGTCTGGTTTCTCGTGATTCCTGTTGCTTGTTTAGCTCTGTTCACCGCTGGAAATCCGATATACTCACCATTATTATCATTGTACCCCTCCCTTGACTTGTAGCAGGTTTCGCATACTCGAGCCCATATTCCTCGCACTGGTTCATGGTGCGCTGCCCGTGAGAGTTTCATTTGGTACATTGTGTGTTCTTCGCAAAACAGTTTCCCGCAACTCCGACAGTTTACGCAGCCGTTGGTGGCATTCAATCGTTTCCCACATGATGGTTCTAGGCACTCGTCGTATATGCAACTTGTTTGCCAGTGCTCTTTTGTGATGAGATCCTCGGGGTCTAATAGTTTCGGAGGTTCGGGAGTGCCTGCAGATGCTAGTGGGCGGCTGGGAAGGAGTGCGCCCTGGTTCTCGTTTGATTCGAACACATCCAGGCCTTTCAACTTTTGGTTTAGGACTGCCAGAGGCTGGAACTTCCTTGCCTTTTCCATTTGGACCTTGAACCAGTCTTTGACTTCATCTTGTCGGATATCTTCCAGGTTCTGATGGATGTCGTCGAGATGTCTGCGCCAAATCGTTAATTATACGTTACGCCGGCCGTAAGGGGGGAAGGATGAATCGGTACCTATTTAACTGCAGCAAAGTCATCTAGACACAAGTTAGTACTGTCTCATTTGACCAATAAACAGAACAGGATATGGGAACCAAGCATACCATCTCCTCACTGCAGATCGGACAGGAGAGCTTTGACCCCGAAGCAGCCGGGGCGGCAGATATCGAAGTATCGCCATTATCTATTGAGATGCGTGAAGTGAGATCTTGAGTTTCTGTCGAGAACTGTGATACAGATGCCTGTGAATTAAGTGAAACGCTGCTGGCGGTTGGCGAGAGCACCCGTGGCTTCGGCTGCGGGGACGGAGATGAGAGAGCACTCGGGTTGCCCAGAACACGACCTCCACCCAGCGTCCTCCGCGACATGATCACGGGGGCATGAGAAGCTGGAGTAGAAGCTGTTTTCAGCACAACATTTGTTGTACAGAATAAAGCGTTCTTGAGAGTTTGACCGGAGGGAAGTGCCAATGATGTGGAGTCAGCCTCTTGATCGCCTGAGGCATCTTTGCCAAGACAAGTTACGTCTATGGGATTTGGACATTTCTATACATTTCTAATCTTTTTATATCTTTTTAAAAAAGATATTCATATTGATTTTAGTTTAAATATGTATTATATGGCACGGTTCTATTGTATAGTAGTTCTAACCATTGAAAAGCTAGGCTTATTAAGTTGTTTTTTTTTTTCCCTCACAGTACATAGTTACCTCACATCTTACAATCTTACAATCTTACAACCTACAAAAAGAAACAAAGAAATATATAAAAAAATTGCCTAATTTGTTCGCATTCTCGCCTGATTTTGAATTGAAGCCATACCTTCGCCCCCAATAAAACCAGACTAACAAAGCCAAGCAGACGCACAGCTATAAAACAAAACAGAGCCAAGCAGACGCACAGCTAAACAATCGCTAAAACAAATAACAAATTAGACCCTTTTTTTGGTTTCTTTTGACAGTTTTCATCCTTTTTTTTGTGGACAGAATCCAATTTTGCCCTTTTTAGTTCTGTTTATGCCTATTTGACTCGTGATCGTAGGTTCGTGGTCTCATACTGAGTTTATATACAAGCCTGGGATTGAACCCAATGCGGTACTGTTCTTGAAATCATGATCATTCTTAGCGTTCATAGTCACGGTGGTAACTGGTACCAGTGTTGGGATTGTCGTATTCCTTGTGGACACGAGTGGATCCATCATCAAATCTGTCAACATCGCGGTGCCGATAGGTGCCGGCTGAGTTAACTCGCTCGCGGTGGTGTCGGCGGCCGGTGGGGGTGCTGTAATCAAGGTGCTGGTCGTAAGCACCAGTCGCAGGGTCATATGTTGTGGTGCCGCGGCCCGTGTCGGTATCGTAAGTTGTAGCAGTCGCGTTTGAACCGTAGCCTACTGTGCCATAGTCGGTAGTACCGCCGTAGGTGCTGTAACGTGAAGGGCTATAAGTTGAGCCCAGGGTATTATAGGTTGAGCCCGCAGGATTGTAGGCTGATCCTGTGGTGTCGTAGGTATCGTAGGTCGTGGACCAAGTGTCTCCGTAGTTGGTCATCTTGACGATGTGTTTCAAGAGAAGATTATTGTTTCTTTGTATTCTTTGTTTAATTTTTTTTTGAATAGCAATCAACACCAGGTCAGTTGAATTCTTATATCTTTGTCGTGGCGTTGAACCTCAGGATGATGATACTGCCCTGACATCACTTGGGCCACCATGGAGAATTCGCCAAGTGAGGCAATGTGGATGAATGGGAAAAGAAGCTAAATTCCATGCCGCACATCTTTGGAAATAGTTCTGATTGACCGAATTTTCTGGGGCATTCGGTTCCAGACTGTTGCCCCTGAAGGCGCGATGATGTTGGTGTATACTTCTACCCTCATAGAAGTATAGAATTGGCCGATTATTACATTGAAACCCCCACAAGTGCCAAATACCTGGAGTTTCTGTAGTTTTCCAGAATATACCTCTACTCGAGATATAATGTTTTCTTTCATTTGACCACAATAATTGCAGTTGATCGAGACCGTGAGCAGATCTTAATGAGGTGGAGTTCGATATACTACACCGGGGTCGTGCCTCAAATCGACATAATTATTGGTGGGAGTTGGATAATGCTAGAAGCAAAGAGCAAAAATGCTATCTACATATGTATGTAGTCAAGTTGATTACACTTAGAATAGCTAGTAGACAGACACCATAGACACATTAGAGCGCTTCAATTATACTATGTTTTACAACCTTGTAGGTTGGCTCTATGTTAATGTTGACACCTAGCCATTACATTTAACTATCCCGACCAAGAGGCACCAATGAATCCGACAGGAATTCAGTGGCGTTCATCAGGTCTGTACTTCCATAGACAACTCTTCGGCGGTGTCCAGGAGCTGCACGTTGAGCTGGTGCGCCCTCGGTGCCCGCTTGGCCATTTGTTCGGCGAACCCATTCCTGCAAGTTGCCGTACTCATCCATGCTTCCACCACCAACAGTAAAGACAATAGCCTCACTGAAAGCTTGACGACGCTGTCCGAAACTGGCACCGGTGCCAGGGCCTGCGCTACCAATTCCACCTGGCATCTGCGGGTTCCGTGATGCAGATGCCGGAGGCATAGCGCCACGTGCGTTGGCGCTCCGCGGGTCAAAGTAGAGGTAGTTTTCGGTCTTTGCGATAGCAGAGCTCGAAGCTGCAGCCGGGTCCATGATTGACTCGGTAATCTTGGTCACAGTAAGATCCTTGTTCGCTGGTAGGAAATTCTTTACCCCTGAAATGAGCGAGTCGAAGTTGGCACCCAAGGCGCCCGAGGTAATGCGATCCGTCAGACGATTTGAAAGGGAGGAGAATCCACGGAATAGGTCGGAGGATTGTTGCTCTGGAGCAGATGTTGTCATCATGGTCATACGAGTGATCTCGCGCACCTGGCGGACATAGGCAAGTGAAGAAATATCGGGCACGCCGGCTTGGGTCAAGGCCTCTTCGAACTGAGTCATTTCAGAGCGGCTGAGCTCAGTTTCAGTGCTGAGGAACCAAATCACGAACAAGCGCAGCTTGTCCAATGGCTCATTTCCCTTCGAAGGATCACTGATTAGCTCCAAAATTTGAGATTTTGATTGTTTGGTGATGGTCTCTTCTAGCTCGAAGAAGTTATCCAGCTGCCGATCCTTAATACCCTTGAGCAGTGCGGTGGCAATGTTCATGTGCATGTCAAGAACTGCCTTGCGTTCCCGCAACTCAGGGAGTAGTGTGATAGCGGCCTTAAGATGTTGCGCGGAGGCACTGGTATCATTCTGGAGGTCTTCAATAGAGGAGGCCCCCGTCTTCTTTGTAATCTCATTTGCATCATCCTTGTACCGTGTAAGCTCAGCATCAATATCCTCAGCCACTTGGGGGAATGGGGCTCCGGCGTTGCGTTGCCAGAAGAAGTCGGTACTGTTCAAGTCATACGACTTTTTGGAGCCCTTAGCCGAGTCCGCATCACCTGCACCTGCATCCAAAGTGATTCGGTTCAAACGCATTTCAAGAACATCCTGGACCAGCGATTGATATGTCCACGAGTGGGAAAGCATTGGGACTAGGTCAACGTTTCGGTCCATGATGATCAATACCGGCCGTGTCGATGGGACTCCCGGCAAAGCGTTTTGATTGCCCGAGAAGAGGTTGTCCTTGGAATTAAGGATGTGGTCCCGCAGTTTTCGATCCAGTTTTGTTGCTATCAATTCCGCCGCACCACCCTTGGGGCACCGTATGATTGGAATGGTACCTGCCCAGCCAGTCAAATCTTCGTTCGATGATCCAAGGTAGGATATATTACTTACCCATTGTTACGCTCACGCTGAACAAGCCGCTAACGACCTTGTCAACAATCCCGTCTAGGTCTTCATCAGTCGTCTTTGGGCTGTTGATCTTGTAGTACGCATCATTTCCAAGTCCTAAACTGAAGAGGTCCGGCTCTGCCACAATAAAATTGAGGTATTGATCGAAGACTTGCGCAATATGCTCAGATGCGCCGGAAGTAGCTATCTGAGAAGCGAAATCCTCAAGAAGTGGCCGCGGGACGGAGGATAGGAAGTTCACGTAGGCTGGGGAGTAGAGCCCGTGGGAAAGGTCACGAGTGATCGCTTGGATATTATCGGGGGTTGGTTCCACGAAATATACAACTGGGACATCTGGAATAGGGTATCTCTGTGAATGGAGGTTTCTAGGAGTGGCTCTTCGTTAGCGATGGGGCTTAAGGGGAGAAAGCGGCAACCATACAGATGAATAGTTATGCCCCATGCCCGGAGGTCATTAACTCTCAGGACACTGCTGATAACATCGCGACCCATTTTATCGAACACCAAGACTTTCCAGATTGGGTCACCATCTTCATTCAAGATCGGAGTGGAGTGCGAGATAAGACCACCGGACCCGGACTGATCAATGGTCTTGTCTTCAACAGGTTGTGGATCGTGATTCAAGTTCAATAACTTTTGAATTGATGCTAAAAGCCATGGATTAGTAAAGGTCTATTCGTCACAAGAATCCAGCCTGGGTCACTTACCGACCTGTCGGTCCCGGAGGGACATAGGTTGCGCCATGACAATAGCTGGTAGCGCTGTGTGAGATTGGAGAGATGCTCGGTTTCAACCCAAATTTGGCAACATATGGAGCTGCGCAGAAAGGTAGCTCAAATATGGGCGCAACTCTTAGAATGATGATGAGGTGTATCTTGCACTGTTGACAACCGGGGATCTTGCTATCGCTCCACCTGGCATGGATCCCGCCGAGCTGCGCTGACATAATGATACAAACACTGCAAACAACAATGATCACAGGGTTGCTTGTAACACAGGGGTTGTAATTTACATGGGTGGTAGGCCAATGGAAGACATTCAATACAATAATTACGGTCAATTATGGTATGCTATCGTATCATCGGCTAACCGCCTTGCCAGCAGCTTTTGTCCCTTTTACTCTCTTCTTCAACCCAAGTCATCTACTCTAACCGTCCCTCAACACATTTCCCCCAATCCCTCCTTTTTTTCCGTAAAGCGAATGGCTGTGATGCTAGAGTGGCCCTTCGTATGAGAGCTTTTTTCTTCTCTGATTCCCTGAGGACTTTCTTTTGGGACAAAACTTAAGAACGAGAAAGGAGAGCACAAAGCCCTGCAGGTACAACAGGAAACAGCGCGAGAAGAGAGAAAGAAGGAGATACAAAGTCAAGGACACAAGGAGAGAGGTATCGGAGTTGAAAAATCTGGGCATCTTAATACTTCTACGTTGTATTCGCAACTGCGGAGCCTTCGTCATTAAGCTGCAAGGCCAAAGGCAACCCCGTCACTCGCAGTATTGGGGGAAAGCGTTGATGCCTGAGGCAGGCACCACTTTAATCCTGAGTCAAAGCTAAAGAAACAGTCTCTGTTTTCTCTCGCATAAGGTACGACAGTACTCATACTGCAACACTTGAAGTCCATTCTAGGCGTATCAAACACGTGAATTGTCTAATCCTTATCAATTCTTCAGACCAGCAGCTCTACAGGCCCCTGTTCTGCCGTGTCGAGAGATAACCAGCCAATCATCTCACGTTCTCACCGGAAAAATTATTTATCCTGCCGACCATACGACCCGCTCTTTTTGCTCGAAATAGAAGGCGGTGAGAAACAATAAACTCTACCTAGCTCTGCTCAGGCAGGTGCACGTGATTACGTGAGGTTTCCATAGTAGCTTAGAGAAGCTTCGACTGAGGCTCACCATGGAGCAATCAGCTCAAAATCCCATGCAGGGATTACCTCATGGGAATTCCTCACTCCCTTCAGATTACTGGAGCACGCTTGATCCCGCCTACCCAGATCCCGAGCAGCAGCTTCAACAGCCGTCTCAACCTCAACATCCACACCAACCTCAACAGCATCACGATTCTGCGTCGCAACAATCACCTCTTGGTATCGGATGGGACCATCCTGTTTTTCAACAGCAACAGAGAGAGCTAGCTCCACGACCGGAGCCAAACCATGGCATCTACTCATCAGTTCACCAGCCTTGGCAACAAACAAACCCCCTGCAACAGCCACCACAACGAGGATACGGAGGTTCACCCCAGTATCAGATACATCCACAGAATCCTCATTTCCAGCAAGGACAGATGTCCTTTGACTCTCGTCCGCTGAGTGCCTCCGAATCTTCCGCATTCCCATCATTTCCCTACCAGCAAAATTACTTCCTTCCTCAACACCCACACATTTCAGTACCAGACACTTTCTCCGAAGCGCCCACACAACAGAGAATACAGCCACGGCCACAGCAACAGCCCCAGCCATCAATTTCTTCATACCCTTTACCTCAAGGTTACTCTTCAGAAATGCTGGTAAGCCGACTCCTAAATGCGCTTCATAATGACCGTGGTTCTAACCGTAGGCAGCAAAACACAATTGATCTGACCAATGATTATCCTGATTCAGACCCAAATGTCACCATTAACCCCCAATTTCTAAATTCCACCCCGCAGGCATTCAGTCAACAGCAGTCGTCGTTGGCAAGCAACTTTCTTCAGGGAATCCCTGCGGACTTCCAACGACAAGGGAGTGAACAGTAAGTTACCATTTTAGTTTGTGGTTCAAAAAGCATTGGCTGATTTCTCAAAGGGCCAGGCTATTTAATTACTACCAGCATGATCTTTCGGTTCAGTCACATATGACACCAAATGGCAATCCAGTGCTTTCGCCTAGAGGTATGCCCAGACCTGTTTAAGCCTATTGCATTTCGATTAATACTGACTTTCGTAGGATTATCAGTACCGGAAGTTGTAATCACCAATAAGAAAGGAGCTCATAACAACCAGCAAACAAAGAAGACTGGCCAAACAAGAGCTGTGTCTATTTCGGAAAGTGAAAGTTCGGATGAATCCGATCTTGAGATCGAAGCACCTGACGAGCCGTCTCCTATCCCTGCGGTCCGCCCGACTGAGCCCGAGGCTGCAGCGCAATATGATACCCTCCAAGCCGTGTGGTCACCAAGGAACAAATGGCCTGGTACTGATAAGATCAAAAATGCGATGGTAGCCTACAAAGATCTCGTTAAATCATTGAGAGACGCGTGGAAGGAACAAGTTCAGGCTATGAAACTAGCTGAAAACCAAGACGACAACCAGAAAGCAACAAAACTGAAGGAAAAAGTTATCTCACAACGTCGCACTATGGATAAAATTGCGACCACAACACTGGAAATGGGCCATCCCATTATTGTTGAGAAGTATGCATCCCTCTCCCCTTCCTTCTACTATACCTTCCTTCCCTTATATCCCTCTGTGATGGTCACACAAAGCCTGAGGCTATTTGAAAACACCTATAAATATACTCGGAAGCATTGGATATGATAGCACTATCACGGGCTAGAATAAAGGGCCACCGCTCTGTTCGCCAGTGGCAAGGCTTGATAATATATGCGCCTGGGACACATAAGACTACCAGATGGAGCGAAAGGATCTCAATCATATTGAGCCTCAGGTATGCCGTTAGGATACTATCTGTGAACCTCACTGGAGGGGAATCACTTCTATCTAGAAATTGGCTCAAACTTGCAGTGGCAAAAAAACCTTGAAAACTTGACATAATTGAGCCCAAATGACTGATTGTTAATTTCGTGTAGGCTGGGAGAACACCCTATGATCGTGGCAGCTCTATATTCCTTCTTGGTCGACCGTTTCCAGGCAGCAGACTTTGCTGGGACTCTGACTATCAATTTGCTTACAGTAAGTTTGGTGTTTGTCTTTTGTGTCGAATAAATTGACTAACATGAAATAAGCTCTTCTCGCGTTTCTCATCTTTGACAGAGGACCTGATGCAGAAGACAAATCTTTCCAAGTTGCTGCCCAAGTTCCTTAAGAAAGGGAGTCAGCAGGTTAAGGATCTCACACAGAAGATCCTTGATAATGCTGCGGCCTGTACGAAGCGTAAGCAGGAGAGTGAAAAGCCTGCCAAAGAAGAGTCGAATCCAAAGGCCCTTTTAGCAGACCAGTCTAAAGGAGACGCTGGAGTGAAGCGACCCCGTGAAGCGGATAGCAATTTGCAACCTGGCGCAAAACGAATGGCAGTTGCCAATACCTTGAAGGATGTTAATAAACTTACATCCGGCAATGGACAGGCCAAGGGAGCACAAAGTAGTAAACCAACCGGCGCTGCAGTTCTGCGACCTAAACCCAATATCGTGGCTCCCAAGCCAACAAGTCTCTTTGGCACTTTAAGCTCAGCATCAAAGAGACCCGGGACTACAAATGCGGATAGGGCTGCCGCCGCTGCAGCAGCAAAGCCAACGTATGTATCTACGAAGAGAGTGTTTCTGAGGTCTATATTAACACTTGAAATAGGGCTGCTCCCGAAAAGGAAAAGGCATCAGCCTTCAAACCATCTTTCTCCTTTGGCGACATTATGGCCGACTTGAGCAAACCAAAGCAGGCACCAACCCCCAAGCCTGCCGAAGATCAGCCCCCGGAGACTGAAGCGGAGCGCACAAAGAGGTTGCGTAAAGAGGAGCGCCGTAAACTTCGCGTGACCTGGAGGCCAGATGATACTCTCACCGAAGTTCGACTGTTCACCCACGATCCCGATGAAGAGTTAGGTCCCGGCGATGGGTCATTACGTTCACGTGGAGACGTTAAAGGCGAAGGTAGTGTTCTTAAGCTTCACAAAGATATGGACGAACTGGAAGAAGAAGACCTTGGTGGTATTCGCGAGACTATATTCCAAGATGGTTATATCCTTTCGAGTAGGCTATCCCTCCAAACATACCCCAAATCCTTACTGACCCATGTAGTGATCGATTTCGATTTCGAGGAACCAAAAGACGGCAGTTTCGTCAAACGCGGTGGCCCCCAGCTGCCAACGAGTCCCGAGAGGGAGGCTCAGGAGCATCGGGAAGCTACTACCCTTATGGTCTTCTATACTTCCCCCGCCGATATGCCTGACACGCCTAAGGAGCCACCGGCTCCCGACCCCGACGAGATTGTTCCCGAGGTATTGCCTTTCGGAGAATTGCCCGACATGGTCAAGGTATGTTATACTTCTAAGGGCATTAAAATTCAATACTAACAAGGACACCACAGGTCCGCCAGGAGCGATACTACTCCTACATGAATCCGAAGCCTGCGCCCACCCAGCAACCGCAGCAACCTACTCCCGGGGACGGTGGATTTGATATCTCTAATTTGCTCAAGATCATCCAGGGTGTGCCTGGACAGGTGCAGCCAGTTCCACCGATACAGGCAACCCAGCCCGGGGTTATGCCTGATCTCGAGAGGACTATTAACATGTTCCGTCAGCAACAACCTCAATCCCAGATTCCCCCGCCTCCACCAGTGCCTACTTCTCAGCCACAAGGCCTTGACTTCAACGCGATCTTGAATGTCATGAAACAAATGCAGACGCCGGCAGCATACTCCCAGCCTCAGCAATCGCATCCAGCAATGGCACCCAACCTTGGCGCCATGTTCGCACAATTCGGTGGGCAGAATCAACAAGCTGGTGCTCTCCCATTCCAACAGCACGGCCATGATTATGAAGACCCAGAGCGCAAGCGAGGCCGCGAAGGCGGTTATTATGACGATCAGTCTAACTCTGAATCATGGAGCCGCTCGAAACGGACAAGAGTTGGCGCCAACGAAGCTAAGCCTGTAAGTACACTGTGGGTTCAGCATTTTATGACATACAAACTAACTCTTTTGAAATAGTATAAGGTGGGACTCGTTGCTTGCAGATTCTGGGCTGAGGGCAAGTGTCGCAAAGGCGACAACTGCACTTTCCGCCACGATCCTCTCTAAATGATACACCACACGGTTCCTTTTCGACTGATACCCTACTGTTCTCTTGGGACAATCTTCCTTTCTCCTATCTATGCATTAATACCTTCATGATTTCTTCTCTATCTTGTACTGGGTCATGGATATGCATTTGACAACTAGAATTTTCTGGTTGGCGTCGCACGGTTTTCATGGTCTGGAAGGTCAGCACATATTCTTCTGATTTTCAAAATCCTTTGCATACCCCCCTGGGGTTCAGGCGTTTTCCTTTTCCATTCGTCTCGCCTTTGTTTCTCTCGTGCATTTAGTGAGGGGTCCCTATGGGGGCTAATATTATGGCGCATGGATTGAGGGCGATGACAAAAATGTACAATTAGAACATCTTTATTCATTTATCTTTTTTTTCACTGTCAAGAATCGTCTTCGCAATTATTTCTTTCTCTCTCATCTCTTAATGGTAGCGTAAACGGGCCAATAATAGAGATCTCACCCGCTCATAAAACCCCCTGGGCGGCTATCGGAACTAACGGGAAACATCTACAATGGATTCATCACTAAGAGAAGCTTGTGATGTTCCAGATTCTCTCTTCGCACGTTCGGATGAGGAACTGATTCGCCTTGTGTATAAGGAGTTTCCAGGGGAAATTGATCGTCTGCGGCGAGCATACTCCATCCGAGACGGTCCCTGGACCCCTCCCAGCGCTCCATCCCCATCCTACACTTTATACAACGAAGACTATGATGAAGTGAACCGCACACTTGTGGGTTTTCTAGCACTCCGCTGGATTTATACGGGCCAATACGAGACCTTCATCGGTTCACAGGAATCCGCATGTCAACTAACGCGAACCTCGTTTGATTGGATCCGCGAGTTCTACATGCAGCTCGTCACAGATGCAAACACACTCTTTACCTTGATCACCTCAATAATCATCAATGATCTAGGCAAAGATCCGCAGTTAGCATCTGACTGCCACGCAAAGACTGGTGTGGATTTCTCCACTCTCAACCACGATGCCATTCTCCTCGTGGCCTGTAAGGCCGGCCTAGTTCCCTCACTGGACAAGCTTCAAGACCAAGATAAGGATGATGTACTTCGGGCGATCGAGCTCGGTGCGACCTTCAATTTTGGTCAATTGGCCCAGGCCGAAAACGCACCGGCCTGCTTGTCCGGTCTACCCCGCATGAAAGGCCACGACCGCAGCTTCCAACTCCGTTTCATGGAACAACTGCTCGATATCGCTGGTGCTGCGGGCCACATGGACTGGACGTGTGCGAAGAAACTGATCCAGCCTATCTTTGACTCCTATCGTAATGTCTATGATGTATGCGAGGGTGTCATTGCAGGCAATCTGACCGTCCGCAGTGGGTATGACTTGATATTGCTTCGACGTGCAGAGTTCCTCCGTGACAAGGACGTGCGACTATTTCACGTGGAGGAAAATGCAGAGGACCGGGCCTTGATGCGGTTGTTCTGTATGGGAAATGTGACTACCCAGGAAAAGGCGCTTTTGTATGAAGATGCGTGGCGTACACTGGAGGACCCGGTCAGAGATACTCTGGCAAATGCTCTTAATCTAGATGGCCGGAGGAGTGAGCCTGCTGTTCAGCCGACGTATATCCCTGCTCTGCTTGGCCGTATACAGAATGTGAATGCGTTGGTGTGTACCCTGCATTACCTTTCCCAGGTTATGAGTTCGACGGATGTCGAGGACCCTTCGGCGGTGGTTATTGAGCGGAGTGTGTATTCTGTTTTGAAGGAGTTTGTTGACGGTGATGAGTTTCAGGAAGACCCGACTATTTTGGAGAGGATTGACGTGCCTGATGGTGTAGTTGCTTTGACCACAGCCTCGCTTTGATGTGTGCAGTCGATTGTCACCGATTGAATAATCTAATTGAATTTCGTTACCTTGCAACTCAGTTTCTAGCATACGAGAACAGTCGTTCACTTATGCGGCCTCTAGAGTCTATAACTCCAAGGTTGACGTTGCAAGGCTCGGATTATTTGAATTTCTAGTTGGTGAGGTGATATTCGAGATGTCTACAAGATGTAGGTACAATTTTGGTTTATGTGCAGTTTTATTGAAGATTAAAGCGCAAGAAGTAGATCAATATATGGATATTGGAAGATAATACATTAGTGCCAGTCAAAGGTAGCTGTTTTAACATGTCTCGGGTGTTCTTGGCCGAAGATGAGGGGGGCCTCACTCTTTCGGCGGATGGGGGGGGAAAGGGTTATAAGTAGGAGATTGAGACTGCTTCTTTTTGGCTTCTGCCTCGAGGTGGCTCACCCGAGTACGGTTGACATCGCCCTGGCTCGCCAAGCTGATCTTCAACCAGTCATTTTGTGTAGCCTGATCTTCAATCGAGCTGCGCATGCGAATAACACCCTCACGATACAGACAGTTCTTTTCAAAGCGCCAGCTGCACAGCAATACCCGGAGCATGCCGCCTTCCCGTCCGCACATCAAGGCCACGACGGGTGGTCGCTCCGCAGAAATCACAGACACAGTCATATTGCCCGTGTCCACGAGAGTGAAGATACGGTGCGTGCTGGGAAGACCCAGTCGTTTAAACTCATTCTCCCAATGGTTCTGATCATGAGGATCATTGCTCAGTCGAAGATTATGGTCGCGGAGTCCCTTGGAGAAGACAGTGGATGAGGCCGTATATGATAGGCGATCATTGAAATTACCGTAGATGATTTTCTCAAGGTCATGCAATGGCATTGTGCCTTCGAATCCAACAAGATGGCTGGAGCATCCCTCGACGCTATCGCTACAGAGCTTTCGTACCGCCCAAGGACTGAACCAGGAGATGATAAATGCGACTGCGAAGTACAGAGCAATAGCTATCAGGTACTGAGGAATAATTCTGGTCTTGACAACGTATAAAACGTCACTTGTCGATTGAGTTTCGTTCCCTCTGAAATCAATAAGTGAAAGCGAAAGCGCGATAGCGGACGAGAATAGAGCAAAGCCACTCGCTATAAACACTTTGCCACGGTACACTATTGCCTTTGAGACGGTACCACTAAATCCACTGAGGTCTTTGGTATATTTCACTCTCGGGAAGTCCTTCCATCGGATGGGGATGCCCCGGCAGCGATCTACGATGACCGTGGGCTCGTATAAATCGTCGCCAACACCAACCACATCACAGAGTGGTTTGATATCCCAGAGATGAGAGCCATATTGATCTTGTTCCGCGATGTTGTGAAGAATCGTCTCACTGCCAACTGGACCCGATCCAGGCAGTGTCTCCACTGGGGAATTTTTTGGGTTCGGTGACAGACAGAGGAGACGCTCAAGCAGTTGATTGCTATCGTTCACGAGGGATAGTCGTGCAATAGCCTGGAAGACATTATCGGAATCATTGGGGGTAAGTCGATATGAAAAAAGCCCCATCGCAGCGTAGGCCATATCTTTAGTCGTGTAACCCCTGATGTTGATGCCAGTTGTTTGTTTCGCCATCGCTTGAACAGCAAAAGCGAACAATTGCAGTTCACTTAGCTGAACACTGTTGGTATAATGCTTGATGAGGTGGCCTATGGGATTTTCGTGTTTCAATTGTCGGTCACCATCCAAACCGGAGCTGGAGAGCTCCGGCTCAGACCAGAAGCTATCGTACATGTCATTCAACGTGAATTCATGCGATGTGAACGAAGCCACAGAAGAAGAATGGGTGAAGCAGTATCGGAGTTTGTTCGCAGCGAGGAGTACTTCCGGAAATGTCCATATCCGTTCTCCCCATATCTTTTTGTCACGTCCACTTTCAGTAGGGAGGACTATGTATACACGCTTCGCACAGCGTACTGCATCGCTGATCGTGTGGACATCTCGAGTGCGTTTCGATTGGACATGCCCAGCCGGTATACTCTCATCTCTCGAGACACAGTCGAGGTCCACCCAGAATGCTTCTAGCGGAGGGTCCTGCGGGTCTCTATGAAGGTTCTCGTGCTGGAGCATGCGTTCGGCCACTTTATAGAACATCTCTCGTAATTCTTCATCTGATTTGTGAATATAATTGGCCCGCGAAAAACTCAGGAAAATGTAGGGTTGCAGCATGTGCGTCTTTTTATCGCGAATGTCCTTGGTCTTCCTCGGTGTCCACTGATTGGTAGTTTGGTCTTTCACCACCAAGCGGCGAGGAATAGTAAGACCGGCAATATTTGACTGTTGTCTATCATTATCGGGGGACTGGTCCAGCACATTGATTGCGTGTTTCGGCCAGTGCCAGTAAACATTCTGGTACTTGTCGTAGCGTTCAGTTGAGCTGTCCTCATCCCACGGGGCAGTACAAATTTCGAAAGAGAGAACAAAGGGAATAATCCAAGATAGTGTCAAGGTAAGCAGAATCGATGTGGTCCAGTGCAGGATTTGTTGGATGATTCTCAGCACCAAGTTTCCTTGCTTTTGAGCTATGTCATCCCCTTCATGTTCGTCGTCTCGAACACTATCAAAGCGATGGAAACCAAATGGGTTTAGGCATAGTTCGGCCAAGGTGATGACGAATGGGACTCTCCCACGAAGGCGGCGTCGCCCCCAGGGACGATGGCGAGGATCAGACCTATCATGATAGATTTCTGGAATCGCCTGCACAACAAGTCGACGTGGATACCCTTTGGTTGTGCTGTAGTATGTATCTAGGTCCATATATTTTTCGTGATCGTCATCTCCATCAGGATTCAGATACTTTTTCTTGCCGTACCCGCGAGCATCCTCCAATTCCAGCATGCGATTCTCAATCGTTTTCAAGTTGGCAGCAGAAGGCCGCTGGAACCGCATTCCAGATGATCGGTGAGGTTTGCCATCATATTGTTTTATGAGATTATCCCTTGCGCTCTCCATATCGGTCGGCTTCTTATGCCCAGAAGAGAAATGGGCCATTTTTGGCAATCGTGACTTGATCTCAGTCAGAGAGGATGAGGTTGCACAGCAGATCACCCAAGAAGCAAAGATAGCTGTTCGAAGATGGATTGATTGTTATGTGGACCCCCGTTCAGGGAAAAATCAAGAGGAATAGCCTATATGAAGGCAAATATTTTTTAACGCATACATAGTTCCTTCTGAGAAAGTCTCTTTCCCCGGAATACCCATCTTTATGAACTTCGTACTTCTCCTGCAGATCACCTTTGTAATGGAACGGAAGAATGATAAAGACCCCAGATTTCATTGGCGGTGCGTCAGCCCAAATTGAAATGCCTGCAGTCCCCCCCCTGAAAGGCATATACGGATATAACCGACGGTATTTTGTAGCGATGGTGCTGTTAAGGTTTCTTGGCAAGTTGTAAAATGAGCTTAGCGTTGAAGCTGATTTGCCAGTGTAAAAAGATATTCGCAAACATTTGGCAAGATGGATCACAAATGGACCATTTTCAAACTTGACCCGCATATTTCAGTTTTGACCTCGTATATGCTGACATGAGGTAGTTTAGATTGGTCAACTCATATGACACGTCTCTTCCAAGGTTTCCAAGGTTTCAGCCGCAGTTATCGGGCCGCAACCTTAAACGGTAGGAATGATTAACCATATAATCTTTTCTGTCAGTTCTTTTTAGCCATAACACTTCAAAGTTATTTCTCCGATGTATACCTGGAGTGAGAGCCTCAACTCTTGGGCTCGTGGAACGGGACTGCAAATCGATGCCCTCGGCCTTGTCACTCTCCTTGGAGCAGAGGAGATGGATCGCAGTATCGGGCAACTCGTGCCAAGCCTATACCTCAAATACCTGCCGTTATTAGGTGCTTTTGTGGTGGCTGGAAACCGATTTACCACGAAGAAACCCGGATTTGTTCTCTACAATATCTCAGCGGGAATCATGACTACCGAGCTTGCTGGCTGGTTTTCGCGATGGCTCCAGACACAGGACTTCAAACAAGTCCGGAGTATTGTCACATGGAAGGTCATGGAGCGGCCGCGCAGATGGAAAGAGTTCATCGTCGGCTTCCTGCTTGTTGGGTTGCCCGTGCACGGGATGCTCATCGCCGTGACTGTGTTAGGGGCGGATTGGTGGGGATTTGCCAATGTGATAGCCATGTCCATTTCGGTGGCAGTACGATGTATAATGGTAGCACAAAACCAGGCCGGCATCAATGCGAACATCCGGAAAGCACAAGGAGCAGCCGAAGCTTACCCAGCCAAGAGAGCCAAGTATGACGAGTCAATGAACAGACTCGAGAGACTTCGCCAGGATGGACAGGCGATGGAGGGAATCAAAATGCCCATCGAGCCTCAAGACCCATATAAAATTGCCAAGGTGCTTGTGTTGACCGAGGACTCGAAGGTCATCACTCTTGCAGTCCCCGCGTATCTGCCGAAACTCGCATTTGCAGTCAATCCCCAGCCACCAAACCCGTACGTTTATCGGGCGTGTCAATGGATAGGCTGGGCCTCTTTTGCAGTGCATGTCATAAGTATCGGAATGGCAGCTTTGTACACACAGATAATCTCCGTGGTGGTGATTCTCATTTCTACAGTCCTCACGGCCCATAGAGTTGGCTGTGAAGATTCCCGAATATGGGATTCTATTCGAAGTCACTGGGCCCATGACGATAATGAAGATCAAGAAACTAGTTGCTGGGTTAGCTCACAACTCAAGGCCACCATGTCTATTTATCCCGAGGAGTATATGGATTGGCCAGAATTGGAGGAACAGAAACAATTTACCGTGGTAGGCAATAAAAAGGAGGTCAGCCAACATTGGAGACAGACAGGCCCATCTGATTTGGAATCTACTCCCATTTCAAAAAAGAAGCCCGAAACTCGGCAGGACTTACTTGCTTGGTTAGACTTAACGACGGAGGAAGACACAGTGCTGATGGCTTGGGGTCTTATTCCACATAACCAGGAATGGAAAAATTCATATTTAGAAAAAAAGGAAATTCACCGAAGAAGGTTAATGGTGAGATCCGATGGGATGTGAAAGACGAGGTCCAAAGAATTGTGGAAATCCTTTACCGCCCTTACATAGACTTTAGAAGTTCATCAGCGTCTTATAATTAGCATGTACAACATATATATCTTGCATTGTGAGCCATTCGCTTGATATAAATCCACCATGATTGCCTCCAACCTAAATGCCAATTTTGCTATATGCAATCATCTCATCGTTGTCTGCTGCCATGCCATTTATACCGGAGGGTCAAATCTTGGAGCCTCAGAGAACGAGTGGTTAGTGGGCCTAGAATAAGCTCTTAAAATAGAAGACAGCACCTAATATATTGAGCAGGCTGATTGAGCCCTTCCAAAAGGGAGAAACACCCACATTCATTGATCATGCCAAAGCTGGATTGAAAGCTCTAGCAGAAGACTCTCATGGCTTGCTTGTGTTTTCTGGGTAAGACTATTTTTGTATCATATCCTTTTCAATATCTTCCATTGATCCATTACACAGAGGGCCTACCAAGAAGCCTAGAACTGAGCTCAGTGAAGGTCAATCTTACCTTGTAAGGCACCCAAATCCCATTGAATCAATCACCCCGAAAACTCACGTAAAGCGCAATTCAGCATCTAGCGAGAGACAACGACTACTTCCAAGATATGCCTAACATCTCCACAATTGACCCATCGAAAGTCATTGCGGAAACAAACGCCACTGATTCATATCAAAACCTATTGTTCTCTCTAATACAGTTCCGGGTATACACAGGCGTTTATCCACAGAGAGTCACAGTCGTGACGCACGAGTTCAAACGCGCTCGATTCATGCAGTGTCACTTTCCAGCTGTGGGCCTCGTGCCTATTGGCCCAGAACAAGAAGACTATACGCAAAAAGTTGCTGTGATAGGTATCAATCCACCAGCGGAAGTTACTCCACCAGAGACCTTGACTCAAGGCGAGGCTATGAATGGGATTGGCTTTGGAGAGAAGACCTTTACGGAGTCAAGCCTGATTTGGTGGGAAAAAGGGCGAGACGAGGCTGGTCACCCGAAAGGGAAAACGATGTGTTCTCCGATCTGGGACTGGAAAATGTGGTGTTGGATTTAATCCGTTATGATGGGGGTGATCATTGCAATAAGTGGTTCCCGAAGCGAGAGAGCTTGCCTTGGTCTTATACCAGACATAGTACAACCAAGAAGCATTGATTTTGATTCAGAGTAGATATCAATACCCTGATATGATAAGTGGAAGAAATCCTTGATCCTTTCCTGAAACGCCAATCCATAGTATCCTTCATATTTGATCATAATGTGCCACCGAGAGCTTAATCCGCTAGCCGGTAGCTGACCAGAGTTCCAACTCGGTGATTGTTCGTGCTGAAGCTCCTTAGTTGGACCTTCTCTGCGTTCTTAATTTCCTTGGCATCACTGTCGCCCCATTCCACAGGCACGTCTGAATCGGCGTCGGCATAGACAAGTACATTGAAGGTGCAATCGCCATCAAGGACGGGGAGGAAGGTGACAGAGGCGGTAATTTGGCGGAAGATGGCTTGGATCTCCTCTTGGATTTGCTTTTCTGTCTTCTCAATAGGTTCGGAGGGTTTTGCATCTCTTCAAGAGACAAAGATGTTGGGTTAGTGGGATGATCAAGATAACCTCACAGTGAGCAGACTCACCCGGATGCACTGTTCTCTTTGTCGCCGGCTTTCTGGGAACTCTTGCTTTTGGATTGCTTGCCGAAGATTTCGATCTATTCCATAAGATCATAATTAGTAATGGACTTAGATAAGAGTGTTGGATGCATACGTCGAATTGCCATCTCTCCACATGTTCACCGGTCTCCTTGCTCGTGATAACTACCACAAGCTTCGAGATCTTCCCTCCCTGCATCCATTCCTTCAACTGGGACATGATCTTCTTGATGTAGGCTTTGACCTGGTCGTCGGCCGAAACTGCTATGAGGTTAGGTTTGCCAACGTCGATTATGAAGAACACGGTTCACGAACCCAGCATATTGAGGCCATATTTCTTAATCCTATTTCAAATTAGCTTGCTGTGCTGTATTGAACAAAGTTGAGAGGGCATACTTACGTTGTGAAATCCTCGGGAGGATAGACTCCTCGTTGGAAGCTGAACACCCAGTGCGATTAGCCAGTGTCTCGGGTTGGATATGAGTAGCAACTTACAGGATTGAGTTAATCGAGTATTCAAACTGGGAATATTAGTACTAAAATGTCATTGAGGCATCTAAAGTGCGACTCACGAATTCGGAGACAAGCTTGGCCGATCCTGTTATCATGTAAGCCTTTGTACAGTCACAACAACTACCTAAGGGGACGATGGGTATGAACCTTTGATTGACAGCTTGTGCACCTTTGACTTTTCCTTGGTTTCGGGCATGATGATACTGTAGATAGCTGATGACTTCGGAGGTGAAAAGAAAGGTTGGGCTTTGTTTATGTCGAGTGGTCACCGCAGCAATAAGAAGTCACCGCCCGCGCGTCCGTTTTTTCTCCGCAAATCGTGACTAGATCAACTAGCACTGAAACGCTCATTGCCCCACGGATATACTTCGATCCGACGCTTGCATACAATCAGCCCCTCCTATGCCACCGCGGAATTCCCAATGCGAGGATGTCTGCAGTTAGGCCGATGGCTGAGCGCAGCGCCGAGATGCCAGGCCGCGAGCCTCCGACCACCAACTGTCTTTTCTTCATATAGGTTCGAAAGGGGGTTCTCTACCTCTACAATTTACTATGGACGTCCGAAAAACACGCACCTAAAACTGGACGTGGACCTCGAGAAGAGAATCGCCGCGATCCCAATCGAACGTTTTCGCAATTTTTGCATCGTTGCACACGTTGATCATGGCAAGAGCACACTTTCCGATCGATTACTGGAATTGACGGGTACAATTCAACCGGGCATGAACAAGCAAGTTCTGGACAAACTTGACGTCGAGCGAGAGCGAGGAATTACGGTCAAAGCGCAGACGTGTACCATGATCTACAACCATAAAGGCGAGGATTATTTGCTACATTTGGTCGATACACCTGGTCATGTGGACTTCCGTGCGGAGGTGTCGCGAAGTTATGCCAGTTGCGGCGGAGCAATCCTCTTGGTTGACGCCAGTCAGGGTGTTCAGGCGCAGACAGTCGCCAATTTCTACTTGGCCTTTGCGCAAGGCCTCGAGTTGATTCCCATTCTCAACAAGGTTGATCTCCCCTCGTCGGATCCAGAGCGGGCTCTGGAGCAGATAAGAAATACATTCGAGATCGACACAGAAAACGCGGTGATGGTCTCGGCAAAGACTGGATTGAACGTCCCGGCTGTGCTACCGAAGGTCGTGGAGAAGATCCCTGCGTAGGTTCAATCAGTGGCTTCACAAAATGCTGTTTCCTTGCTGACTGTATGCTAGACCTATCGGCGATTCCAACAAACCACTTCGTATGCTCCTCGTGGATTCCTGGTACGACTCCTACAAGGGCGTGATCCTGTTGGTCCGTGTTTTCGACGGCGAGGTGCGTGCAGGTCAGCAGCTTATATCATTTGCCACCGGCCTCAAATATTTTGTTGGTGAAGTCGGCATCATGTATCCGACCGAGACCGCGCAAAGCTGCCTCCGTGCAGGCCAAGTTGGGTACATTTACTTCAACCCTGGCATGAAGCGGAGTAAGGAGGCCAAGATTGGCGATACTTTCACAAAAGTCGGCTTTGAAAAGACCGTCGAGCCTTTGCCTGGATTCGAAGAGCCCAAATCCATGGTTTTTGTGGCTGTATACCCAGTGAATGCGGATCTCTTCGAGCACCTGGAGGACAGCATCAACCAGCTGGTTTTGAATGATCGAAGCATCACAGTACAGAAAGAGTCTTCCGAGGCTTTGGGCGCCGGTTTCCGTATGGGATTCTTGGGAACCCTTCACTGCTCTGTGTTTGAAGACCGTCTACGACAGGAGCACGGCGCCAGTATCATCATTACACCACCCTCCGTCCCAGTCAAGGTCGTTTGGAAAGGTGGTGGCGAAGAGATTATTACAAATCCCGCCAAATTTCCAGATGATGACAGTGTACGACTGAAAGTTGCCGAGGTTCAAGAGCCGTATGTCTTAGTCACTCTGACATTCCCAGAAGAGTATCTGGGAAAGGTGATTGAGCTCTGCGAGGCGAACCGCGGTGAGCAAGTAAGTATTGAATACTTTACATCGACTCAGGTAATCATGAAGTACGAACTGCCTCTGGCCCATTTGGTCGACGATTTCTTTGGAAAATTGAAAGGAGGTACCAAAGGCTATGCCAGCTTGGACTACGAAGAATCTGCATGGCGAGCCGGCAACATTGTCAGGCTACAACTCTTGGTCAACAAGGAGCCAGTGGATGCTGTAACACGAATTATGCACTCGAGCCAGGTGAACCGACAAGGCAGAATTTGGGTAACGAAGTTCAAGGAGCATGTTGACCGACAGCTTTTCGAGATCGTTATTCAGGCTGCTGTCGGTAAGAAAATTATTGCTCGTGAGACTATCAAGCCTTATCGGAAAGATGTTCTCGCGAAATTGCATGCTAGTGATGTAAGTCGGCGACGAAAGCTGCTTGAGAAGCAGAAAGAGGGTCGCAAAAGGTTGCGAGCAGTTGGAAATGTGGTGATTGAGCACAAAGCTTTCCAGGCATTCTTGTCGAAATAAGCACATTAGGAGACAAATACACTGTACAATATTATTTCTTGAGATGCCCCGAAGAACCGGAGGTGTTAATACTTTTGCGGTGTAACTGTATATCCACTCCTGGCGGTGGGAGCTCTACCGGCAGAAAAAAAGTTCATGTCAAACCCCGCCATACAACTTCTTCTTCTGCTCACTCTCAATTCACTTCATTGTATCTAAATAGCTTCACCCAAGATCTGTGGCTTTTTATTGTGGATCTTCCAACACAATACAGGAGTTAATTCTTCAACGAGCCTGGAATCTTGTTTCTAGCGGCTGAAGTCCGCCTATGCCGATCGCATCGCCTTGAGTCACCCTGCCATGCTCCGTATTTGACCACGGCCATGCAGCCTCCAGAGGGTGCACAGGTAGACCTGGGCAAGGCCCAGGTTATTGACAGCGTTCCCAAAGTTATCAAGGAATTGAAATTTGGTGTCCTGTACGCAGTTCACTCACATCTGCTTGTCACAAGCGTTTGTCGCAGACCTGATCGCTAATGAAGAACTATGTTTCCAGAACCAACGATGACATTGTCGGCCAAGCAGTAGTCGAAGTTTCTGACCGAAAGTTTTTCGACTTGGATCAGACCCGAACAGTTGTTGCGAATGGACCTCTCGATCAGCGCATGGGTATTTCGAACAAAACCGATTCTTGCGCTACATGTGGAAACAACCTCAAAGACTGCAACGGTCATTTTGGCCATGTGAGATTGGTCCTACCTTCTTTCCATGTCGGTTATTTCAAGCGCGTCATTTCGATCCTTCAGGAAATTTGCAAGGAATGTTCGAACATTCTGCTCCCCGAGGCGGAGCGTCGTTCCTTCCTTCGCGATATGCGCCGACCGGGCCTTGATAACCTACGCCGGACGCAGATCGCAAAGCGCATCAACGAACGGTGTCGGAAAACTCGTGAATGTACATACTGCGGGGCGATCAACGGTGTCGTGAAGAAGACCGGAACAAGCGCTCTGAAGATTACCCACGACAAATTCCGTGCATTCAATGTCTCGGTTTCCGTCAAAAAGCAAACCCCAATCAGCAAGGATGTCTTTGATAACTCTTTCCTCGAGGCAAGAGGCGCAAACCCAGAGGTTGAAAAACACTTCAAAAAGGCGCAGGATGACATGAACCCCCTTCGCGTTCTTAAGTTGTTCAAAAAAATGTCCGACTCTGACTGTGAATTGATTGGCATGAATCCAAAGGAGGCTCGTCCGGAGATGTTCCTATGGCAATTCATCCCAGCTCCGCCGGTTTGTATTCGACCATCAGTCGGACAAGATGGTGCGTCTACAGAAGATGACTTGACCGCCAAGCTGGGTGATATTGTGCAGAGCAATATCAATCTCAAGAATGCTCTGCTTAAGGGCGCTCCAGTCCAGACAATCATGGAGTGTTGGGACTACATGCAGCTTCAAATTGCTGTATACATCAACAGCGATGTGCCTGGGCTCAACAAAGCCGATCTTGGAAAACCAATCCGAGGCTTTGTTCAACGCTTGAAGGGAAAGCAAGGTCGTTTCCGAGGAAATCTGTCAGGAAAACGTGTCGATTTCTCTGGGCGAACTGTCATTTCACCCGATCCAAATTTGCGAGTTGATGAGGTCGCTGTTCCGGAGCTGGTGGCAAAGAACATGACTTATCCCGAACTAGTGACCAGATACAACAAGGAGAAACTGCAGCAAAGGATTTGCAATGGTAGCAACAAATGGCCCGGAGCGAACCTGATTGTCAAAAAAGGAACCGGATTCAGACAGATGTTGAAGTACAGTAATACTCAGCGGATGGCTGATCAGCTGCAGGAAGGCGATCTGGTTGAACGTCATCTCGAAGACGGCGACATTGTACTGTTCAATCGACAACCTTCCTTGCACAAACTCAGTATTCTATCTCATTTTGCCAAAATCCGACCCCATAGAACCTTCCGATTGAACGAGTGTGTCTGCAACCCTTACAACGCCGATTTCGACGGAGATGAGATGAACCTTCACGTGCCGCAGACTGAAGAAGCTCGGGCAGAAGCGATGGAGCTAATGGGTGTCAAGAATAACTTGGCCACTCCCAAAAACGGAGAGCCCATCATTTCTGCCATCCAGGATTTCATTAGTGCCGCCTACGTGTTGAGCAGCAAAGACAACTTCTACGACCGAGCCTCCTTCACGCAGATCTGTCTCTATATGCTTGGCCCTGAAACGAGATTTGACCTTCCACCACCATCAATCTTGAAGCCCCAGATGATGTGGACTGGCAAACAAGTCTTTAACATTCTTATGCACCCTAACTCAGATGATCCCGTTCTGGTTAACCTGGACGCTGCATGCCGCGAGTTCAAGATGCCCAAGGATGGTCGTCCCAAGGACTTGGATCCCAATGATGGATGGTTGGTCATCCGCAACTCGGAGGTCATGTGTGGTGTGATGGATAAGTCTACGATTGGTTCCGGAAAGAAAGACAATGTTTTCTACATTATGCTCAGAGATTTCGGCCCACCAGCGGCAGCCGAGGGCATGAACCGTCTGTCAAAACTGTCCGCCCGGTGGTTCACTAACATCGGCTTTTCAATTGGTATCGGAGATGTCTACCCTAGTGCAGGGCTTGTTCAGTCGAAAAACGATCTTGTTGAGGCAGCGTACTCACAGTGTGACGAAGTCATTGCTAAGTACAAGGCGGGCACTCTGGAGAAGTACCCTGGATGTGACGAATTGCAAACCATGGAGAACCAGATCTCTGGTATTCTCAGTAAGGTCCGTCAACAAGCTGGTGACGAGTGTATTATGCAACTGAGCAAGTACAACTCGCCCCTGATCATGGCCACTTCTGGATCCAAGGGTTCTAGTATCAACGTGTCCCAGATGGTTGCCCTTGTTGGTCAACAAATTATCGGCGGTCAGCGTGTACAGGATGGTTTCCAGGATCGTACCCTACCGCATTTCCCGAAGAATGCACGACAGCCTCCATCGAAGGGTTTCGTTCGCAACAGTTTCTTCTCAGGACTGGAGCCCCCAGAGTTCATTTTCCACGCCATGTCCGGTCGTGAAGGTCTGGTCGATACAGCTGTCAAGACCGCCGAGACTGGTTACATGTCTCGTCGTCTGATGAAGTCCCTCGAAGATTTGTCGTCGATGTACGATGATACTGTTCGTAACTCGTCTGCTGCCATCGTTCAGTTCCAGTATGGTGATGATAAGTTGGATCCCGTGGATATGGAGGGTAAAGCTAAACCCGTCCACTTCGATCGAACCTTTATTCACTCGGAATCTACTACATACAACAATGACGAGCGAAGCTTGTTGCCAAATGAAATTATGGAAGTTTGTGAACAGATGCTTTCAAAGGAACGTGCGAAGTTAAACCGCAAGGACTTGCTCGGCAATGATCTGGCGTACATGGACCGCAGTGATCATGGTATCGACCAGTTCGAGAGTGCGCGTGACTTCCTTGACTCGATTCAGGAATACGTGCAAAAGAGAGCCGACAAATTGATCTCTCGAGGTGGCGATATCGACCCGTCCGACCCACGGAGCCGTAAGGGCTTAGATCATACAGGCAAGCTGACGGATACCACACTGAGAGCTTTCATCACTGCTTGTCTGCTGAAATACAAGAGGGCCCAGGTTGAGCCTGGTCATGCTGTGGGTGCCGTTGGTGCCCAGTCTATTGGTGAGCCCGGAACGCAGATGACTCTCAAAACTTTCCATTTCGCCGGTGTCGCCGGAATGAGTATCACGCAGGGTGTACCTCGTATCAAGGAAATTATCAACGCCTCAAAGGAGATCAGTACTCCAGTCGTGGCTTGCGAATTGGTCAACAAAGAAAGCACTATCGCTGCTCGTATCGTGAAGGGACGTATTGAAAAGACCTTCCTCCATGACGTGATCCACTCCATCACGGAGGTTTGGTCCCCCGATGATGCCTACTTGAAGGTCGTTCTGAACTGGAAGACGATTGAGGATCTGGCGTTGGAGATCACGACGCCACAGATCGTTGAAGCGATCAAGTCCAACAAGCGCTTCAAGGGAGGTGATCTCAAATTCTCGTGCAAGCAAGCCTCAATCAAGGTCCACATGGATCTTGATCCGGCCAGCAAGGCATCTCTTTCTAAGACGGAGATTGCTGCCACGAGCGTGGATCCCTTCCTCCGCTTGAAGCATTTGAAGCGCATCCTTCCTAACATCCAAATCCTGGGCCACCCACGTGCCACCCGAGCTATCATTCGCACGGACGAGACCTCAACTACGAACACTTTGCTCGTGGAGGGTTACGGATTGAGGGAGTGTATGACTACAATGGGTGTGGACGGTCTCCGCACCAGGACCAACAACATTATGGAGGCGCGAGACGTTCTGGGTATTGAAGCCGCTCGAAGCACCATCGTCGTCGAAATTAGCGAAGTCATGAAGGACATGGACATTGATCCTCGTCACATGCAACTTCTGGCTGACGTGATGACTTACAAGGGTGAAGTGCTCGGTATTACGCGTTTCGGTCTAGCTAAGATGCGTGACTCTGTGCTTCAGCTTGCTTCGTTCGAGAAGACTGCGGATCACCTTTTCGATGCTGGTGGTCTCGGTCGCACCGATCTCATTGAGGGTGTATCGGAATGTATCATCATGGGCAAGACGGTGTCACTAGGTACAGGTGCTATGGAGGTTGTGCGCAAACTGAACTTCTATCAAGGCCAGATTGGCCCACGCAAGACAGTGTTTGAAGATGCTTGGACCGAACATTGTGAAGTTCCTTTGACAAGGAGACCTAAGAGGAAGGTCCGGTGAAGCTCTGACTCTGTGACTCTTGTGACACTGTGCATTAATTTCGGCGTTAAGAATTTGGCCTGGACAAGGCTTGTACATGTACTTAGGGAGACTAATTCTTCTAGCGAGTGAATTATATATTGATGGTATGAATATTTTTCTTTTCTTTTATATTGTGGATTTATTAGGGCTATAAGTGGAATATAGTACTTACTCCCCGGGGTATACCTCCACCATCCCACCTAGACCTATCACAATCCTAAAAAAGCAAAAGTTGGGGTGTGTACAGGCGTGAAGCTAATTTCCAACACGACTATAGAAAAATCCAAGGACAAGCTTCTCTTCAGGTTATATTCAAATATCTAACCTCTTACACAAAGTACAAGAAGTCCGCATTCCCCCCAACGGAATGTCTCGGATTTCAAGAGCATGCCATTGTACAAGTATCGAAATACCAAAATATTTCCGATATCACAAATATCTCTCATCATTTACGAGCAGCTGCAGCCAGCCGAAAAGAGAAACCCAAGAAATACGGGATTCAAAGGCCCTTTAGGGTTAAGAGAAATGTTCGGGGAGCTCTATATTTCCCCAAAAAAACAAAGGCATCAAATCATCCAACAGAAACCCTTGTCCGGGGTGACCAGGGAGTGCATCATCCTCCAATCAGCATCGTGAAACCCCTGAGGCAGTCATGGGTGTTAGCCTTTGGCCATCACATCGCCTCGACAGTTCTTTGTTCCCCCGTTGCCTTTTACGGCCACGCCACATCTGTAAACACTCGATAGGTTGAATGTTTCTTTGTTTCCCAACAGTGGATGCTCCTCGAGATTATTACTTTTCTATTGAATATCCGTGGGTCGCACTTAATCTTTTACATCTTCCCCTCAACTATCTCCCCGGCCTCCCCGCAAAAAACCCCCCGGATTTTTTAACACTTGGGATGAATATGGATTTTGGCAACCAAAGAGTCGCTAGGAAGCGTGAGGTCCGAACCCGAGCTCCGACAGCCTGTCAGACCTGTCGGCTGCGCAAAACTCGATGTGACAATACCAGGCCGATCTGTAGCTACTGCGCCGTGCAGGGGGTGGAGTGCAACTATCCCGAAACCTCACCACAGAATAACCAGTAAGACATCATCAAAGAAGGGAGACAAACTATGTGTTGACTTTTAATTCTTAGACTCGGGTTTGACCCTGTTAACCCGTCAAACCAAGAGGTACTCCAACGATTGAATCATATCGCCGGTTTGCTAGAGGATATCAAAACTTCCGAAGGCTCCACATCCTCCAGTCGATCACTCAGTTCACTCAAAGAAGGATTCTTTGAGTTAGCCGTGCAGAATACTAGCCCTGTGGCTGATTCATTGCCGGGGACTAATCCACCTAGCAGTAGTACTGCTAGTATCGATGATCGGGGAACCGATCACGATCCCCGAATCCTTTACATGGCTAGCTCCGGGGAGAATATGCTTCGATGGCCTATTTTCAACAAGGTCATCACCGAAGCCGAAAAGCATATTCGATCCTTTCTACTCGATTCACTGGATAGTCAACCCCGTAGTATGCAAGCACCCCGGCAGGTGGGTATCGGAAACTTTGTCGATGAGATTCCTAGACTTTGCAGGAAGTACTTCCTACTATGTCACCGAAGAAACCCGATAGTCGACCTAGACAATCTAGACCGCTATGCCAAGGAAGTCACCGTCCAGGGTCTTGGATGGGATGGCCCCTCGTGTCAAGTGGTATGTCAGCTCCTTTTTAAAAAAGTTTCTTGAACTAAATATCCCGTATAGCTGTTAGCGTGTGCTTTAGCTTCATGCACATCATCGAAATTTGTTCCACTGGCAGAGGATATGCCAGCGAATCTCGATGGACTCCAAGCACCACCCTTGTCAGACGCCAATCTCGACTTGGCTGAGACATATTTCCACGCTGCAAAGCAGAGATTTGGCTTCTTGCACACGTCTCCAACGGATATTCAATGTTTTCTTCTTGCTGGAAGCTATCACAGACATGCCATCCGTCCTCTACAAGCTTGGTTCTGTTACCAGCAGGCATCTTGCAGATTAGAAGTTCGTTTGCGGTCACTGTGTAGAGAGCGATGGACGGCTGATGACAACTACCATAACCTGGAGTCGAGACTATACTGGTCCTGTATCCAGGCAGAACAGTAAGTTTTTCTTTTTTTCTTTTCCTTTTACCGGGCTTTTTATATGATCCCCAACTAAGTATTGCCGACAGTGAGATGCAGAGCGAGCTCCCTCTGTGGAATAGTGGACTTGAAAGCATGGGCTATTCAGATCCATTCCCCAAATTTCCTAGCAGAAATTCTTCTTCATATGACCATATGGATGAAGACCAAGACTTCACAATCAGGCCAGGGCTTGAACTGGATGGGACGGAAGAAGAGAGAGGCTGGAAATTCTACATCGGATCTATCTGTAACCGTCGGACCACCAATGAAATAGTGTCTGACATGTGGCGTCAAGGGGAGAAGGGCTGGACCAAAGATATCCCCCATCTCCTAAGAAAGACATTATCAGCGGAGAATGTTGTAACATCATGGTACAAACCCCGAAGTCACTAAACATGAGGTCTCCAACTTGCTAACTCTTTTAAAACAAAGGTACCAAATCTCACTAGCTGGGATTCAGTCCACAAAAGACAACCCAGATCTGAGGTTTTTTTTCCGCGGCCGGTATCACATGGCACTGGAGAGGATCTACCGACCAGCGTTCTACCTCGCGATGCACTACAAAGGGATGCCAACCTTTATCAAAAACAACCATCAAGTATGGGTAGAAGTGTTCGACCTGGCCCAAAAAGCCATTGACAACTGTGTCATCCTGATCCCAAGCTACTGGTATCAATTCCGACACGAGTGGATCTGGAACGTGGTGCGTGCCAGCTTCGCCTGTGCTGTGCATATCCTTGGGGCTGTCTTGTATCAAGTTGAGGCATCAAGGGATCCTGGTACGTGGCAGGTACGTATACCGCCAAATTGGGCTGCTTTGGTGAGGTTGTCGATTCGAACACTGAAGCATTGGTCGGCGGAGTCTACTGATCTAGAACTTATGGGATCAATTCTTGAGAGGATGTATCAGGGTACTTGTCGATTTGCTAATGTGCGCCCTGATATTCATCTGATTTAATGGAAATATGTGATATTGGTATATAGGGGTGAAGGCGCACATTTATGATATGTTTTGATTTCAATTATATTTAATTTAACCTCTATTAAACATCTATTAAACAAAACATCTGTATAACATCAAATCAACATATCAACATATCAACATATCAACATTGAAATTCCATATACTCCGAGAATCCGCCCCACTAGAACTTTTTCCTCCCTTTCGACCTTCGACCTTCCACCTTTTCCAACCTCAACTCTCTCACAATGGAAGAATATAAACCCCCAGCTCTTCCTTCTCCCTTCAATAATACTACACCACCACCAATTCTCCTCACCCAAGGTGCCGAAGCCCATCTCTACAAAACAACCTCCCTCAACCCCTCCATCCCCGCCGCCCTCAAGATCCGCCCATCAAAACCCTACCGCCACCCAATTCTCGACCGTCGACTCACCCGCCAACGGATAACTTCAGAAGCGCGATGCCTGGCAAAACTTATACGGGAGGGCGTGAGCGTTCCAGCCCTACTAGCCCTGGATTGGGAGGGCCACGGCGGCGAAGAAGGCGGGTGGGGCGGCGCCTGGCTAATGATGGAGTGGATTGATGGGCCTGTGATCCGAGTAATTCTCGAGCAGTGGGAAGCATGGATGAAACAGAATGCAGGATCTCTGGATCAATCGCAGATCGAAAACGAAGAGACGCGCGTGCGCGGCTTACTGAGGAAAATGGGCGCTGCCATCGGTATCCTGCACAAGGCTGGTGTTGTGCACGGAGACTTGACGACGAGTAATCTCATGCTGCGACCGTTTGCAGATGCAAGTGCTGCTGTTGATGGCACTGGCTCGCCCTCTATGGAGGGAGATGTTGTGCTGATTGATTTCGGTCTTGCGTCGCAGAGTAATCAGGATGAGGACCGGGCGGTGGATTTGTATGTGCTGGAGCGGGCGATTGGGAGCACGCATCCGCGCTCGGAACCTATGTTCGAGGAGTTGATTACGGGCTACCGGGGTAGTTACAAGGGGGCTGTTTCTGCGCTGAAGAGGCTTGAGGATGTGCGCTTAAGAGGGCGGAAGAGGAGCATGCTTGGTTAACCCAGTCATTGATTTTGGGGCAAACTCCCCCACCAGCTATGATCGATTTAAAGCAAAAAAGAAACGCCACGCTTTGTCACGACAGATATCCTTATTGATGACGCTAAGAAAAAAAAGAGTATTCATGACCGGTCCTTGAGACACGTGCCAACATCAGCCGACGCGAAATACCCCTTGTTCTCGACTACTCCGCGATCCTTGACGACCGCCGTGTACTTAACCACCCATTGCGGCTCTATATCTCCCTGGATGCCATCGTTGGCCTCGGGAGACGAAGCCAAGATCCCCGCACCACTCTTCTCCGCAGGACCTAGCAGTTCCCGTGTTGTGCCGACAGGAAGAATATCATGGCAATCGTTATGGGTGAGGAGTTGAATCTGCTCTTGTTTCGCATAGAGAATCAAATGTTTAGGGACGACACAGCAGTCCTTAAGGTTGATCTGATCGACCGAGGGCTTAACCTTCGTATGCGGTAGGAAACGGGCTAAGCGTTCGCTGCCGAACTCAGCGACGCCCAGCTGGGCAATCACACCCTGCTCGTGCAGCGATTCCAGCACCTGCCATGTCTGCACCATGCTGTCGAAGTCGTCCGGTTCCCCGTTCATCTCGTTATCTTCTTCTTCGCTGTCGTCATCTGCATCGAACAGGATTCCCGGGAACGAGACAATCAGTAGATCAATAGACTTGATGTGTAGCTCCTTCAATACCAGATCAATTGCCTCCCTGGTGTGCGCGCACCGCCTTGATACCGGGATTCCCGGTAGGTAGAATAATTTCACTGTGATATCGTATTGGTCGCGCTCTTCTGACAGGCCGGGGTGTGAAAAGTCGATCGCGGGGATATAGAGGGAATCTTCGGTCTGTAGTGTCCATGAGGGATGCGACACAGTTTGGCCATTTGTAGTGCCGTTGGTCTGTGACGTTTCGATTTGCTGGGAGGCAAGGAAGTTCGATCGGAGCGAGTTGATTAGTTCAACGTTTGATTTCTGCGTCAGAGGCTGTCGAATGACGGATTGACGCCCGGCTTGCATAATATTCCTGTAAGGGTTGAGTGACTTTGATCTGCGCATGGAATGACACCACTTACGAACTGGATAGAATCAACTTCATGATGGAAATATAATAAGATCTTAAAATTCCTTAAGAGAGATATGGATAAGATCTAAGGAAGAAAAAGAAAGTTGAATGTCGCAATTTCACCCCGCGGCCCCTCCTCAGCCTCCGCCTGACAAATCCAACGTTCCTCCGGATTCCTCCAGGGGGAATATTTTTTTATTCAATCCTCATCAACTGTCGGATCCCAATCTGTAGGAGAATATTCTCCTGTATCAAGCAACTTCATATCCTCAGCCGCCAATTCAAAGTCAAAGACATCGGCATTCTCCCGAATGCGCTTCGGCGTGGTTGACTTGGGCAGAGGCACAAATCCCTAACAGACTATTAGCACCCGGATTACTATATTTACTTTCACTAATCGGTTTCGCTTACCATCTGCAAACTCCATCGAATCATTACCTGCGCCGGCGTCTTCCCATACTTCTTCCCAATAGACAACAACACAGACTCCGTCAACCGACTCCCATGCGCAAGGGGCGAGTACGCCTCAACAACAATCTTTCTCTTTTGCAGCCACTCCACGATATCCGAGTGATCCAACCATGGATGCAGCTCATACTGACCAACATCGATCTGACCACCCCCACCACCCTGGATATAATCCTCCAGTTCTTCGAGATGGTGGATACCGTAATTGGATACACCGATGGATTTCACTTTCCCTGCTTTCTGGGCCTCGACTAGCGCATCCCAGGACCCCAGGCGGGCTTTCTTGCCGCCGTAGGGAGCATGAATTAGAATACTGTCCGGTACAGTTAGATTGTATCCAATGCTGTTGGGGATGTAGCTCACAGGTCAAAGTATTCCTGTGCTGCTTCTCGTAGACTGGAATTGATAGCTCGCTTGGTAGACTCATAGCCCATTGATTCCGGCGGGATCTTGGTTGTAAAGAAGATCTCCGATCTATCCAGTCCAGAATTCAGAATTGCCTTTCCGCAGGGCTTCTCGTTGCGATACATGATCGCCGAGTCGACCTGGTGTGTCTTGTTTAGTGTGGTCTTGCGATCCTCCTGGGGGTCATACATGGCGGAATCCAACGTTTAGGGCTTCAAGAGTAACCTTCTCGGTCGCGGATGAGGGGCTGATAGTGGTTAGGGATTGAAAGACAGGGTTTGATCCAGACGTACATCATATACACCTATTTCTCGTGTAGTGTCAGCTTTGCACTCTGCTTTTGAAACTGATATGGGGTAACTGACCCCATATCCCAGGACTGGGATCTCATGTCCTGACTGCAGTCGATACTTTGACTGGAGAGTAAGATTTGCCATTGTTGAATTGTATTCGATATGTTTGAGGTGAGAAGAAACAATTCAATGTTGGAGCGATGAGATCATAGTGGGGGTTGCGATGTCGGGCCGAGCTCTATAAAACGTCGAGTTTGCTATATTTACAACGATTGTTCGCAAATCTGAACAAAGAGAGATGGAATGTGATTACTTACATATGAGATTAATCGAGTAGAGAGAGTAGAGAGAGAAAAGGATTGATTCTCTATCTGCAAGTAAGAACTAGCTAATACTAGCTGGAAACATTGAAAGCCTCACAAAGAACCGACAAGCAGATAGCCTTCTCCAACAGAAATTAAGCCTTATCAAAAGGAACAAGTCTCACCCATACCTCCACGTCTTGTTATTTTGCGAGTCGACGCCCTAGATATCACAATGCGCTAGCCAGTCCGTGCACTGGCCCGCGAGTCTCGAGCGTCCGAGAGAAAGGACCCTATTTGGCCGGAGTAGGGACGGCCAGGATCTGGAAGGCAGAGGTAGTCTGAATAACGGCAGGCTTGACACCAGAGAACTTACAGTTGGCCTTAGCATTCATGATGAAGATAGGGTACTTGCATCCTGCATCAGCAGAGCAAGCCTCAAGGCACTCATCGAAGGTCTTGGTGGTGAACTGCTTGTATTGAGAGAAGTGTGTCTTCTTGCTGCAGTGAAGCTTGTAGCTGTGGCCTCCACGCTGAACAGTTGTACCATCCAGCGAGTTGCACACTGCGGCACCACTCTCGAGGATCTCAACTCTCCTGTTGCTCCCTTCCAAGGAGGCGTTGCAAGTTTCAACTTGGCCCTCCAATTCCTGAACCTGCTCGGTGCAGGCGGACTGCTCGGGATCAAGAGGGTCGGCAATCACAGGGTCGACACCAAGGGGATCCTATTCGACCCACTGCATGAAAAGACCTCCAGTGTAAGGTCCTGCTGGCTCTCCGGAGGTGCTAAGCTGGCACTTTCGGCTGTTGTAAGCCCAGGTGCTTCCGAGGCACCCTTCAGTGTTCTGGCAGATGGTAGCACAGTCCTGGTGGCTGTTCACCTCGGTGTGAATAGCACCCGCTGCGCCTTTGGTGTCGCAGTTGTACTTCACATAAACAGATCTACGGAGATCTTCGTAATGTAACCCTTATTTCTCGAGTGACTTTTCACATTCTCAATTTTCACACTATCTTTTGCTTGAAGATATATGTTGTAGTTGATTTAGTTGATTTAGTTAATCTCAGCTATATATTATCTACAGTGTAAGTAAACAGTTCTCTAAAGCAAAATTATATTTGTCTTCAGATCGGGGATCTCAGCTAGGAGGTGCAAGGGGCAAGGGGTCCACATGTAGGAAATTCTATACATCTATTATGTACAACATATGTATCTGTCTTAAACTATGTTAAGCACTTCTCGGTGAGCGATTTTTTGTTTAGTAACATAATTGGACAAATATTTCAATACTACTACTGGGCTACATTAGTGGTAAGTTAATCACACTTTTTAGCTGCAAGTGAAGGATGGTGCATAATATGTTTGGCCTATTGATCTCCACCAATATCGAGGTTACTGCAAATGGAGGCATAGTAGCAACTTGATTTTAGTATACCTAGGTGTATTAGAGAGTGTGCCATATTAGGTGTGTATGTTACTAAGTCTAATGGTACACTTAATATTAGTTGTAGAATAATGTTAGGAAATAGTAAGAAGAATAATAGAGCTGTGTGAAATTGTATAAAAGCAAGGTAAATAGTAAGATGCACATGTAGGGATGAAGAAGCGTTGATTTAGAGTGGCGGTATAGAGGCTTTCGCATCGACATCGTCCATGTACCATGCCAGATCACCTGCTCCACCCTGATCACGCACACTTTCACCGTTACCTAGGAATCGGAATCGGTTCTTAGAGCGATACTCAATATTGAAGTGCTCCCCTCCAATACTTTCAAGACAATCTTTGAAGTGCAGCAGTGTGCCTGGATATAGCCCGGTGACATGACCTGTACGTCGTCCATTCTTATACCAACTCTTACACTTATCCGCCCAGACCATGCGCTTGAGGAACTCCTGACAGTAAACATTGTAGTCATCCATGGCTTCCCTTCTAACGTCAATTGATCTGCGTAAAACATGTTAGTCAAGCGCTGACGGGACGAAGACCATATGACTCACTTGATATCCTCTGCAGCAATCTTCTTGGCCCAGCGAAGAATGTAATCGGATGTCCAAGAGACTTCTCGAAGAAACGAGCCATGGGAAACAGGACAATTGGGTCCGTTGAAGGTAAAATAGTTCGGCATTGTATCCACTTGGACCCCAAAGAAAGCCTCGGGGGTGACTTTCCATCGCTCTTCCAATGTAGCTCCATGGCGACCCAGCATCTTCCAAGGCGGAATGAAGTTCGAATTAAACCCTGTGGCACAGACTATCAAGTCAAATTGTTGCTCATCACCTGTGACCGTTTTGATACCCAGTTCTGTGATACACTCAATAGGATCGAAAGTGATAGTTGCATTATCGTTGGCAAAAGCCTGCAAATACCCATTTCCTGGTGTCAAGCGACGACAGCCAGGACTGAACTCGAGAGAAAGCATTCTTGACACAAGTTCTGGGTCGGAGTATCCTTTCATTTGTTCCGCCATCTGTTGGCGGGAAACCTTTTCCAACTCCACTTGCATCGGGTGATCTTTATACATTCCATAAAAGAACCCATTGACACTTTACTCAGATTTTTCTTAGTTCTGGCTACTTCTTGATTGGTGGAAGGTTGAACTTGCCTGGCTTCTATCTCTTTTCGGTACCTGAAATGAGCCTCGGTATTTTCCGCCCACCCTGTTCGCTCCTCTTCTGTGTAGGCGAAATTATTCCCATCTCTTGTCTTGTTTGCACAAAAGTTGGCAGAAAGCCAGGTCGGGTTTCGCACAAAGTTGACAAGCTGGGCGACCTTCGGCTGCATTGCAGCTACGCATTGAATTCCGGAGGAACCATTGCCAATTACTGCAACACGTTTGTTTGACCAGTCATAGGTGTTATCCCTAATTATAACTCGTTAACGATGTTTGAAAGTTCACGACGTTTAGCTTACCAGGTCGAAGTGTGAAACAACTTGCCCTTGAAACTGGATAGGCCCTCGATGTCAGGCCAGTTGGTTTGGCTAGTCAGAAAATTAACATTAACGAGAACCAATGTAGATGTTACGGATTCTCACTTCAAAACCCCGGACGCATTGACCAGAATATCAGCTTCGTCATGTATGATTGTACCAGCGTGATCCAACACCACTTTCCATTTTCCCAACTCATCATCCCAGACGGTCTCGATAGCTCGGGTATTAAACTGAATGTCTTTGTCCAGATTCCATTTCCTTGTTGCTCGTAGAACGTATTCATGGATCTCTTGACCAGGTACATAGAAATGGGACCAGTTTGGATTGGGCTCGAATGGAAACGTGTATGCATCTAATGTTGTCAATTTTAGTTGCCAAAGAGGCACCGGAGGAGCTTACGGGCCGGAATGTCACTGGATACGTCAGGTAAGCCAGTCCATGTTCATGAGATGTACAGACTCACCAAGCGACACCAGGATATGTGTTTTCAAACCACGTTCCGCCGACCTGAGGATTCTTTTCGTAGATTTTGAATTCAACAAAATCGCCGAGTTTCAACTCATGGTAAATCTTGTGAGCAAGTGTCAGACCCGAGCAGCCTCCGCCGATGCAGATTATTCTTAGTCTCCGTAGCACAAGAGCAGGTTGGTCGGTACAAGGAATCCAGTTCGGAGGGGTCTCGCCATTAGCAACGCGGTTAGCAGGCGTTTGGAGAGAGTCAGAACCATTTTGCAACCCATTGGTAGTGGGTAGATGAGACATATTGGGGGATTTGGCTGAGGCAGCGAACTGTCGGTTCATGGGTGAGTTCCTCTTATAATCCTACGATAGCTGCAGAAACTATGATAGAATGGATGGAATTTAGTAAAAGCTGGGGGCATACGGAGTTGATTAAGTCTCTTTTTTTTTAGGGGAAATGGGAAATGGCTTAGGTCTTACTCCATCACCATGAGATTATAGTGTCAAGTATAAAGAAGTCAGCAAATCTTCTGACTAGGGAACATATTTCCGCGCCCGTCTAGGCAAAATCCGTCGGGCTCCTCAGAATTCCCGCCGCTAGTAACGCCCTAGGGCCTTCCAGATCCTGTCATACGCTACCCTCCCTGCTAACCGACCCTCCTTACCGGTTTTCTCCACGATCTGCATCTCTGTCAATTGATATGATAGGTTGCACGGCACATAGCGTCGCGTATCAAATCATATTTTAAGCCAGGTGCATAATTACATGCAGCAAATATACGTTGTAGTGATTCGCTACGAAGTACATGTGCTACAGAGAAAGTCAAGTAATAATGATTTGTTGCATTTCTTCCGCTCTCTCTAGTTATATATTGTGAGAGTCTCCGTATCATTTGCAAAAAAAAAGTTGTTCCAATCTATAGCGTAATCTGTTGGCACTTCCAAACAATCCACTGCGTCAAGAGAAAAGGAATCCACAAGCGTAAGGAATCTCAGTGTAACAATATATTGGTATAATATACTCGTGGATAGCGTAATGCCTATAATTTGGTACAGACAGAGCACATAATAGACTTACCTTTCACTGCCTGGGAGTAGGAATCGATCAGCGCCTACAATTTCAGTTAGCGTGCAACTGCAGATGGTTCGATACAAAGAGGCTATACCTCTTAAAATAGCGTTTGACTATATAGTCAACTCGCAGGACGGCCACAGAAATGTGAAGAGGTCCCACAGGAACCTCGTAGTCTCCTGGGGGCTGAAGCTCTCAATTCTCTCGAGCACATCGGGGTTGTTCTGAGCTGGCTACGCTGGTGCAGCAAATGAAAGCTTGGACAGTGTAGACCGTATTAGCAAAAGACCTCGAAGAAGTTGGAAAGAGTTCTAGGAAGACTCACTGCTAAAGCAAATGGAAATTTAATGATGAAATTGATGTTGATTTCAGTGGGTTTGGTGTCTGGGGAGTTTACAGAATCAAAATCATACTCTACGCAAGGTAGGTGGTGCACGTGAACTTGGCAGGTACGGATATTCCTAAATAGGAAGGAAGGCACATGACTAGCAAGTGGGATACTATTCAACTTCAACCTCTCCCAGTCTTCGTCAATAACTAACTCCTTAGTTGTTATCATATTTTTTGAACCCCCCCCCCCCTCTCTGGCATTCTGCCTCTTTGTCAATGGACACGAATAGCTCATTGAATTTGCCCTTTCCTGTCTGCTCTTTTGAACCTATCTCGTATCCTGGGAGAATTACAACAAGATCAAAGGGGTTGTCATAACTGTTAAACGATAGCCCCCCTATCGAAACTCGAAGAGTCTGATGTGCGTGTCCACTTTAATTTAGACCCTTCAAAGGCAAGTTATGCTCATCAAGGAATTCAGTCCAGGTTTTGAGGTTTAAGCCCGGAATCTAGAAGATAGCAGTCAGCACCCACTTTCGCCATTTTTGCTTGGATTTATACGTACCTCGGAGGCCTGCACAAATTCTTCGCTTGCGTAGACATTGCCGCACTCCTCAAAGATCATCAGCTGCTCAGTAAAGTCAAGCGCAATTTCCTCAGACAACCCATTATGGGACTGAAGAAGCCTCTGGAACTCGCTGGAGCTAGACTTTTGGTAAGATGTAGGAATGTTATAGCCTAAACAAATATTAATTTGAGAAAGATTTTGATACCGATGACCTAACATACGCTTTCCGATTGTAGCCAGTTTGTCCGCCTCTGACAAGCTTTGTGAATAGAACGCAATAGTCTTTTTGAAATATTGCGAGCCCGCCTCAAATATAGTACGCACAAGCTTACCAGTGTCGGCAATGGCGACATTAGGCATAACGGTCTCTGGGCCGTGTGGAAACTTGAGAGTGTAGATTCCAGACGCATCCTATATGAAAGTTGAATGAGTAAGATAACACGTACTAATGTATATATAAAATATAATAGATATTGAGAGCTGCGCACTGACCTTAACCGGAAGGTACCTGTCTGGCATAGTCAAACAGTTTTCGAAGTAGTTCGGAAAGAGGATTGTCGTGGTCTTGGCCCAAAGTTCGGGTTTTGAGTCCCGGATATACTCCGTTACCAAACTCTTGCCCTTCCAGTGATGGACGTTCAAGAACAGCCCACCTGACAGCTTGACAGGGTCAGGAAGAGCGCTCCAAATGAGGTGCTTGAGCGTCGTCGTCTGAGCGGCCGCGTCGGCGATCGCTTTCCCCTGCGCGATCTCGTCATCTGCTGACTGCGTCTGCCAGAAGTCGGTCAGAGCATATATGGAATCGGCACCGGAGAATGCGGCTGCAAGGGCATCACGTCCGCTGTTCAGATCGACACAGCACAGCTCCACTCCCAGCTTAGCCAAGGCTTGGGCGGCTGGTTTTGCAGTGTTGCGAGTGAGGGCTCGGATTTGATAGCTGTCGGGATGTTCAAGGAGCTCTTTAACAACAGCTCCACCCTAGAAACACCCCATTGAAGACAAAATTTTAGAATCACCCGATCAACTATATAGAGAAGATTTTGATGAACGAACCTGTGAGCCAGTAGCTCCAATGACAACAACCTTTTGAGGGGCCATGGTGGGTTAATGCTTTATGGGTGGCTTCCGTAAAACACTTGCAAGAGTCAGGAGTATGAGGAATGTTTTTTTAGAAGTATCCGATGCGAGGAAAGAGCTCTTTATATATTGGACACTCTTTTTGTAGCTTGTTTCACCGCACCTTGCGGAACTTGCCAAAACCCGAACTCCCGCAATATAAACATTATTCGGAGAAGAAATTTATAAGCCGAATGGATCATGGAGTGGACATTGCATTGCTCTATGGAGTTGAGCATTGTGCGAGGATGTTTCGGACAACACTCCGCCCATAACGGAAACGAGCGAGATAGGAGCAGCTTATTTTCCTCCCAAGAAAGTCCAATCTCCGCGATATATCCACTACGACAAGCCTTAGGATTCAAACAACCCCGATTATTAAGCGGGGAGACTCACCTGGGCATCAGTAAGTGGATCACAGCATCGGGAATTTAGAATCTCGGACACCCGAACAACCGATTTTATTTCCTTAAATACCGAGTGCTGGCTTGTTCGCACACCAATTCAAACACCACTACCCGACAAAAGCCTTTGTCGCAAGAGACGCAGTGTGTATTACTTGAATTTCACGATGAAGCCTACAATAATTCTTATCACGGGGACCAACAGAGGGAGGTAATACTGTTCTCACTTCGGACCTACTCTAATTAACTAGATAAATAGGCATTGGAAAAGGTTTGGCTACAACATACCTTGCCATGCCAAATACCACTGTCATTGCAACAGTCCGAGATGTTTCAATTGAGAGCACGTGCGAATTGTCTGCACTACCCAAGGGGCTGAACTCGAAATTGATTATCTCCCAACTTAATTTGAACGATCCCTCAAGTGCCGCTGAATCTGTCTTGCAAATTCAAAAGGAAAATTCGGTTGAACACATTGATGTGGTCATCGCCAACGCAGGAATTTGCAACCATTGGGGATCTATACATGAGATGGAAGACTCCGATTTGATGGCCCACTTTGAGGTGAACACATTGGGCCTACTGAGATTGTTCAGAGCAACTGCGCCATTGTTGAAAGTCAGCAATCAGCCTAAATTTGTGTATATTTCCACCTCACTGGCAAGTATTGATGGATTAACAAACTCGCCGTCATTGACCGCTGCATACGGAGTTTCAAAGGTCGGGGGTAATTATCTTATAAAGAAGATCCACGGAGAGGATGATACCTTGATCGCTTTTTCAATTGACCCTGGGTAATTTTTGTGCCTCTCATTCGACAAATTAATTATGTCTGACTCCTTTTTCCCTTAAGATTTGTTCAAACTGACATGGGTAACCGGGGTGCCCAGTACGGTGGCTTAGCCGAGGCCCCGGTGACTATTGCTGAAAGCGTTGAGGGAATCGTCAAACAGGTATGTCTAAGAATAATTCGCTTGCATTCCAAGAGATATACTAAGTTTGTCTTTCCAATTTCCGTGCGTGAAGATCAAGGTGTCAACAAAGATTACAACCTCCGGGAAGTTCATGCAGTTTAACGGCGATACCTTGCCATGGTAATATTTGGAGCACAACCAAACCAAACTATTATTCACTTAGGAGTCTTCGCCTGGGAGGTTATATATGCCGATCATGGTTTTAGATGCTATTTAACTCCCAAGGTCTGCAGCAATCTTTTTTTCATGTTGTCTGCAATTCATTTCGTGTAATTTCGAGACTAGCAAGCTATTTTTGAGACTTGAGCGCAATTACAATCAACATGAAAAATAGCAGTAGTAGTTGATATGTATGTATCCGTAACCTCTTCCGCCAGCCCAACCTGTTTACCCGCAAAAGCTTCAGAAAGAAACAAAACTTTATCCAAAGGACTTTAATTATCCAGCTACACCACAGTGTAAATGTATTCAGTATTTAAAGTGGTGTAATCTCATTATGTCAGAGAGCTGTACTTAGTATTGAAAAGCATCAAAATTTCAATGGCATTCTTGCCAGATCGGATTGTTGTCGGCTTTAGGGCAGTACCCACTTGAAACCACAGGAACTGAAGTGGAGTCCTGCAATTAGTGCCCGCTTACTCAGCGGGCAAATGACGTAGATGACCTGGCGCAAAGGGAATTGCTACAGACACGCACACTTTGCTATTATCACGGCATATTGTGTAATATTCACTCTAAAATGTATCAATGGATGGAATGATCTCGACTAAAATTGATTATGCATAATAAATATAGGTAGGATGTGCCGTGCTACTAGCAAGATGTGCGTGTCTGTAATAATTCCCTGGCGTGAAGGCGATCTTACGTAATATCGAATCATGCGCGTGCACCTTTTTGCTGGAAAAGATCTACCCAGCTAACGAGATCGCTTTCAGGACTTTCGGTCTTTTAGGGCTGCCGAGAACTGTCTGCGGCCTCTTCCTCAATTATGGCAAGGAAAGCTTTGCGTCTTCCTGACGGACATAGGCGTAGGGCATGCGATGCTTGTTTCCAGAGGAAGGTAAAGTGCAACCCGTACTTCTTTTAATACTACTAATCAGACCGCATAAGCCGCGAGCGTATTTGTCGTACACAGAAGTTTTGTCATACAATCATGCTAATACTGCTTCGTATTGCTGTTTTATAGATTAAATGTGACGGGGATTTTCCGCAGTGCAACTGGTGCAAGCACCACAGCCTCGCCTGTACTTTCAACCGAATTCCAGGACGAATTGACTCAAGGTATGGAATAAATGTATACCCAGTCTAGCTATACATCTTGATTGGGCAATAAATGGGCCGTGCTTTGCATTGTTTCACCTAGCCTCTCTGCTAGGGCGACCGAAGATTTGAAAGCTCTCAGCTAATTGAATATGTCAGGCATCACATCCGTTTGCCTTCACTTGGCAGCACTGTGCAATCAGAGTCAGGTATCTCACACAGTCCTCTCTCTTGTCGTTATATGAACTCAAGGCTCGAGCCTTCGGTATGAATTACATGTACTGATTCAATTGTACGTAGGTACCGGTGCAGCACCAAATTTAACACCAGTTCAATCTCCCGGGCTGTTCAGATCTCTGACCTCCCACGAAAATGTAACACTTTTCAATGGGATTCATCTACTTTCTGAACAGGGCTTAAGATGGATTCAACATCAGGCGGGAGAAGAAGTCAATTATGCGAAACTGAGCGCATCTGAGCTTCCATGGGCAAATCCGCATCGATTACATGATTACGCTACTGTGTCAGGAGACATTACTCCCGAACTACCTCGGCGAGAGATTCTTGACATGTATGTTCTACGGTTTACCTCATCGTTCATGAGCCTTGTATTCCCCGTCATTAGCAAATCTCTCTTTATGAAGACATTAGACCTTGCTTGTGGGCCACGCGGTGTGTTTGGTCATACCAGTGCCGATGCTTGTGTCTACTCTTTCATCGCGCTCGTAAACCTGTTTGGTTTTGACGACAACATGCATGGGCCTGTAAACTGTGGGTCCTATGCTTCTGCAGCCCAGAAAGCAGTGCCCCATATCGTTCAAGAGATGACAGTCGATGGCCTTCAAGCGCTGGTAATGCTTGTAAGTGAATTACTTTCGGTGATGCTCTCGAAAATTACAATTTTCAGGGCGCTTGGAATGAACGGCCACTGACAAACCACCAGATACTTGTTCAATATTTTTTGGGTGATCTTCAATCAGCTGCAGTCTCCATCTCCATTGCCTCGCGACTTTTATATAAACTAGGAGCCCATACGAATCCAGCTGGTGTCAAATCATCTGTTCATTTGATGCCATATAACAAGGCTAATGTTGAGTATCATGTGCGGGATCTTTTCTGGGTGTGTTACTCGTTCGACAAGGATATTTCTCTTAGGATGGGCCAGCCCGCATCCATCAATGACCTCGATTGCGATCTATCATTGCCTTTGGAGTATGTTCGTCTGCAAAACTCCAACATCCAACGGGATGATCTAAAACCCGACGATCATACACTTCCTCTTTACCCTTGGGATCTGCGGCTTTCTAAGATCAAATCAGATGCCTACAATACCCTGTACTCAGTTAACGCCAGCTTCAAATCGGACTGTCAGATCCTCGAGAGCATTAGATGCCTTGATGCGGCGCTAGAGGAGTGGAGGCTATCACTCGATTCCAAGATTCGGCCAATGCTGTGCTTCTCGTCGGATATGTCGACCAAAGCAACTTTGAATACGCAAGAAGTGATCCTCCGACTTGCATATTACCACTGTATGTCTATAATCCATCAAGCAAGTGACAGGCGCAATATATCCAAGCTTGATGCTGGAGTTGGATTGGAGGGAATAAGTTCCAGCGTAAATCTTTCCAACACGGCCTGTCGCTCAACATTTTTGCTCCTTCAAGCCAGGTTACCTGAGTTAAAAGGGGATTGCTTTTGGTAAGGCTTAAACTCTGTCGCTCTGCATACGTCTCTTTTCATCACTGACCGCTGTTTCCTTCAACTTAATTAGGGTACTGCTCTTCTATATGTTGGCAGCGAACCTCGCTCTCTTCTGCAACATCCTCAAAAATCCTCTACAGTACGAGAGTTCTCATGACGTGGCTATCTTACACGAGGTTCCTGCCATGATAAAGAAAATTCCTATCCGAAATCTTACTCCCGCCGAAATGATTCATCTGAGGTTTCTGAACGGATTTACCACAGAACTTGCAAGACTGGCGTCGTGCGCCGTGTCAAAGGCGCATAAGGAATTCCGTGGGGATACATGTACTTTAAATCAATAAAAGGGTTTATCACAGAACCTGTATGTTTTAACAACAACAATGATACGCGTCATACCGTTGACAGGGACGCCGGGGATGGGGGAGGTGTTTCACGCCCTCTTTCGAGACAATGTCACAAAGAAGGGGATAGTGTTAGCGTGCAAGAAGACAAGTAGCATGGCATAGTATCCATGCACCGCAGCCATCTACACCCTGCAGTGGCTTACTCCCGCCTCAACTAATAATTTGCAGTACTGAAAATGCAGCCACACGATTGGCGGCGGAAACAGTGCTTTCGTCGTTCGCTCCACGCCGTTGTAAAAGATGTTCTTCAGCCTGAACTCGGCCACGCCCCGGTCGAGATCGATATCGGTGGTAATTTCGGCGATATTTTCCATGTCCCGAGGTACCCCGTGATTCTCCGATGGAGACTGAGCTCCCCACAAGATGATGGATCTAGGAGTCTTCCCAGAGACGATGAAGTGATCAGTTACATTGGTCCCTATATGAGCGCATTAGTGATATCCCCACACTCAACATTATCGAGCATGAAAGTCTGGTGAAATATCTACCTTCTTCATAGGTACTGCTCAGTAGCTGCTTCTTATCCCACAGCACCGATTCCTTGTTGGAGTCATCCCTTCCCAGTCGAGCCAATATCTTCCGCTGGATGGCATATCCTGTATGTAGAAAACATGAAGTTGAGTCAGTATGACAGCGCCTGTCGGCTTCCTAGTGGGTTCCAAACATTTAACGTCCTAGAAGCCCGAGAGAACATACCGTAACCGCCCCATACGCCGGCGCAGAACCTCTCGGTGAGCTTGGAACCACCATTAAGGGCATCATCAATTAACTCAGGTGGGATTTGGGATAGCGGCACCTTTCGCACACAAGAGTCGTTCAACGAAGGATGATTTCCAGGATTGTGCTGCTTGAAATATTGGCTCTGGAACAGAGGATCATTTTTCGGTCCAAAAGGCTCGAAATAGCAATTCATTGTCCATAACTGCCAGCCCGCTGTGCCAGCTAGAGATGCTGCTGTCGAAATCTTGCCGAATGTTGCTACCCCCGACCTTGTAATCCAGAAGTGCGACATATTCTTGCCAGAAAACACCCAAATTCAGATATAGACAAGGGAAGTGAATCGGGGATGAGGAAGGTACTGTGAGGCTTATGGCCATACTTCATCGGCCTATAGGGAAGATCCTCCACTTTGTGGGGCCTCCCGAGGTCTTTCCCCGATTAGTCATCGGGGTTTCCAAGCCCTGGAGCGCTGGAACCTTGGCAGGCTCCATCGAGGGGCCAAGTCCATATAAAACAAATGGGTCAGGTTTGACCTCATGGTCTTTGGAGCTGATTCCCGGAAAGTAAATTCTATGCGAGGTGTGATTGGATGTTATTCTAAGCGATTTACCTAATCTGGACCGCTTTCCAACTACAATACAGGTAATTTATAATACGACTTCAGGACAATCGATATGTACACAAAATTACCAGACGGTACCTCCCCTATCTCTCGTGACCAGGAACTACCCCTATTGGGTCTTGCAGCCCAGAAGCGAAACCTTATCTGCAACAACCTTTATCCATCCATCGATGGATCCTCCCTGGGCTACATCTCATCTCTTGCTACAGCGTTCGTGATATGCTTGTGGGTAGTCTCACAGAGGTTGCAACGCTCCCCAACTCAAAGACCTGCTTCCTTCCTTCATGATTGGCCTCAGTTGCCTAGCCGCTCTTTGAGATTATGCTTATTGCTATTATTGTTAGCTTTAACTTCTACATTATTACACACCTGGGGATTGTAGGCTTTGTCTTTTCGTCGTTGAGAGCTCTTCCGACTGGGTCCTACATAACTGTAGGATGGATAACTAGCATGCCACATTTCTGAACAGGAACGATTCAATTATGGTGATACGTAAATCCTGACTCCGGCAACAGAAACATACCAACGTTTAGAAATAGATATTGTACGATTCTGTCTCATTTCCCCACTTATGCATCTTTTCCTATTTATATAACTGTTACCATTGAGACTTACAACTACCTGGTTTCCGATTTACCACACGACTATTACATATCGCACAATAATCCCAAAAAAAGTCCAAGTCATTTGCAACAAAGATGATGGGCTCTCCAGGGCCCTCTGTGACATTTGAAGGCCAGATCAGCATTTTTTGCCTGTTTTGTACTTGGCCCATGTCACATCCACATCTTGTTTGACTGTGATAGCACAAATAGTGTCTCCTCGCTCCACATCATGGTAACTCGCAGCCCTATCCCCCGGCGACCGAGTGGCATTTATATCATTTATTAATTGGACCTCATCTACACAGCCAAAGTCATTGATACTGAATGATGAGTCCTTCGGCGACTTTTTTGCTCGGGATTTCCGGAGCCAGGTCGTCGTAGCAGATACATGTTCAGCCCTTGTATCAGTGCTGTGACTGTCTGATGAGCGCTCTGTCCGAATTCTAGAGCACCACCGGCGAAAGAAAGGCCCAAATGTCGGGAGGCACGCGCAGATAATCCCAACAAAGGGTTCCACGGAGGACCAAATGAACACAGGCGCTATAGTCCACGTAGCGTCTGTTCCGTGGGTATTTTCCTGAAGCGCGATGATCCGGCAAATGCTTGCCACACAAACACTGAGTCAATTAGCCAGGTTCCATGTTATAGTAGTAGAGGAGTAGGACGTGGGGGTACATACAAACTGCCTAAGAGCAAGATACCCATGACTGCTACCTTCTGCGACAATTGCATCTGTAACTTGTAAATTGTTGGCATCGGCATGCACAGTATTATCACATCAATCAACATAGCGCTAATTCCATTGGCAAAAAAGAATGTTGGTACATCAATGCATACACCAATGGCAGTAGGATCAGTATAGGCCTGCCAGAAATATGGGAGTGGTCGGCAGGCCACTGCAGCCGTGACGATAACAGCGACCCAATACCCAATGACCAAAAACATGCAGATGCCTAGTGACCAGCGAAAGTTGAAGATACGGCCATAGAACAAAACAATCGAAGCTTTGGTGCAGGTGACGGCCGTAGCGTAAATCATGACATAGGCAAAGAGTATCTAATTGTTTTGTCAAAGTCTATTCCAAGCACCTCGTTCAGGTAGTTCTCTTACTTTCCAAACAGTAATAAACTCTCCTTTTGTCAAGGATTGCAAATGATAACCGTTGCCATACTGAATGCCTAGGGAGTCTGGTGTAAGTGCTGTGTCCAACCACTGACCATGCCACGACTCATATTTGACTCACTTATAAAGCAGGATATCGCTGTTCCCCAGGAGAATAAAAGAGCTGCAATGATTAGGTAGTCATCGACAGCTAATTTCCTGGCCCCGTTGGTCTTCATCGGCACAATTAACCGCAGTATAACTGCAGTGGTTCCGAACACCGCCACAGGAATAACTGCTCCCAACAGGTCACCTGTCTGATTTTGTGCCAGATCTAGCCCAGGTGGCGCTGGGCCAAAGTCACCTGTAGCAGTATTGCTGGGCATTTTGCGTTTCTGCTGTAAATGAAAGGGAAACACAAAATGACACAGCTCCGTAGATCTGGAGATGTATAACCCGGCAGTTCGGGTTGCCAACTTCTTATGTATTCTATCTTCCAAAAAGCAAAGATACTTATTTGGTGAAAATGTCTTTCGGATCAGGGGTTATTTTAACCTATCCAAGATAGGACTCGTAATGATCCGCGTGCATGAAAACGAGGGATCTCATGTGATTAGTCAATATATGCCTGCATACGGACTACTCCATACGGCATATAGGGGGTGCGAGTACCAAGTGCTGGGGGCAGTATTCAAGTGAAGTACTACACACTCCGTATGGAGTAAATAGGAGCCTGGGTTCGAACAATGGCTTTGATGCGACACTTGAAAAAAGAAACTTGAAATGCCACGCGATCTTAAAATACGACCCACACCCCACGCGGGATGTGCAGCTCATTTCCACGGTACAGTTTTCAGAGAGTGGATGTGGGCCCTAGTGTACTCGACTTGAACAAAATCAACACTCCCTAGGCACCCTTGCCAGGGTATCCCTACTACTCATTTCTGGTTTGCGTCGAGTAGCCAGCCGTTAACAGTGACTGAGCACAGTGATAACAACTTATAAGTGTGTATTCTTTTACGCTACCATTTTATCTATTGGCAATGTCTAATATTTTAGACTCAAAAGACACACATGGAACGTGAGTTTAAGAAGAATGGGTTATCAGTTCGTTTTTCTATCTTGGTTCTTATTTCCTTCCATTTATTTGAGAATTGTGATTAGTCCACTCGCCCACATAAGCCACATGGGCCTCAACTGCGGAGTTCTGTTGAGACACATCATCTGCAATGCTCCAATGCCCACGAAGGAATTCAGCACGCTTTATCTAGCATTTAACTAGTGAACTAGTTAAATAGTGTGTTGATTAACTCACTAGATTCTCTTTGATGTGGAAAATCAAGACTTCTCTCATCTCTTCGCTCTCTCGTCAAATCCACCACTGTAACGAAGTGTGGCCCAGGTACTCCGTAGTCGAACAAATCAAAAGAAATTTTATATTCTAGACCCAAAAAAAATTATAATAGGATACTTTTAATCTGCTAATTGCTTGTTTTAGTTCTCGATTTCGTTTCATCTATTTACAAGAATAGCCGGTCGCTCATGCGGTCTCTGTCCTTGACGACATAAGACTTTAATCATCCAATATATTTGGCTCAATAGAGATTTTAATGGTGTTTTATTTAAGAAAACTAACTTCTCTACACATAACCAGGGATAACTAATGATTTACGGTAAGTAGTTAAGCTTAAGGCTATTTCGTAAGTCTGGTATTCGTCGATTCCTCAGCCCCGTCCAGCGTACTTTAACTGCATAACAAAGACCTGAAATAGTCTAGGAGTGAATAATATCTGATGTAAACACTATTTTCAACAATGGGATGATGACCTTGTCTTACTTATATTAGGAATTGGTGGACGTACCAAGGGATTTTCAATTCTTATTTGGTGACAGCACCCGGTAAATTGACCAGAGCTTAGAATTTCACACTCTACAATATAAGGGGGAGGGCATTTTAGTAATTTGGGCAAACAGCCTGTTTTATAGTATATTATTTTCAAATAATAAAACACAGTGTTAAATATATGCCTAGTGCGAGGCTTCGATCCGACGCAAACACACAAAATCCCCATTTAATGCTCGAGGTTGGAGATTCAGGACAACTCTCTCCTCTCAATTCGGTCCTTACCACATAGTGACCAAGGGTTCCAAAATACCCTAGACGGATCTTAAGGGGGGGTTGAGTCGGGTAGAACGTTCTGATTTTCGCAAGGGACAGCACATCTGAAAAGACAAAAGTTAGCTTTGCTATCCTTATTCTAGATTCTAGGTATGAGTCACTTACTTGGTTGCAAGTTTATGACCACCGGAGCTGAATTGATCTTCAACGTAGGTGGAACAAACGCCGCCATAGTCACCACTATATTGCCTCTTGGAGACAGTTCCCTGGCTCTCCCAGCTGTCAATTCTCATGAAGAACCTAAAACCAAATGTCAGTGGGCGTTTTTAGGCTGAGAGAGGAAATTAGACCCACCCTTTCCTCTGGAACTCTAGTCGTGGAGAGCAAAGACCTTCCGAGACGCATTTCGGAGAGCCACCGTATGTGGCTTTGTCCGTTGCAGCAAATTGAACACGGAACTCACCAATTCCGGGATCGTTGAAGGAATCCATCGGAGGTGCACTGTCTAAGTCGTTCCAGGCGCAGTCCCAATCATCGTGCACTTGCTTGGTCTGGCCCCCGCCTGCATGGCCAGGCTCGACTTCCATGTGGCACTTACCACCTCCCTGAGTCCGGATGTAGATCGTGCAATATGCGTCGCTGTTTTCCCACGGAGCCTCTTTTGGCTGGAAAACGTTGGTAAGAGTACTTGCCAGTGAACCCAAGGTCAGTCCACCAGCCTCTCCAGCGGCTTGAATAAAGGCAGAAACTCCTAGTCCAAGGATAACGACAGGATTATTGCGTTTATCTAGCATGTCGGGTTCTGGATCAAGGGTGACAATATCAGTGACATTGTTTGAAAGCTCGTGTATGGGCAAAGGATTTGCGGCAACAATGGCACAATACGCCATTGTGCTAAGAGGATATAGCCAGGATGACTTCATACTGAAGGTCAATTTTGATGGGAGTTTTTGTAAACCAGAGTTTGATGAAGATGATATCCTGATAATCGATGGGGGAAGATGCCCAGTTATATACCTTTGGTTAAATATATCGCAATAACCAAACCCAGTAGCCCCCAGTGAGCTGTCGGAACTGATGTCATCTAGGATGCAAAGGATGTAGGCAGACTCCGAGCTTTGATCCTGCACAATTTTATATGACGTGATAGGAGATGCGAAATGGGGCTATTTCGTGACTACTACGATTAACTAAGGTAATATGTGGGCGATCTCGCTAATCCACTTGGGGGCGGGAGGCGTTTTTGCGAGCACTACTCCGTATGATTAGCTGGGGTAATGTGAGCAATTAGCCAAGAGCTTTTATCTATTCCTGGAGGTAATACCAATATATAGAGTGTACCTGCGCCCCTTTCATTTTCGGGGATATCACTCCATTCAGTAAAGAGCCCCTCTTTTACCACTTTATTTTAACTATATTTGGGATTACATCACATACTATAGTTGCCCATAGAACCTCCAAGGCTGAGCATAATGCTTGGCAGTATCCCAGGACAGTAATAATTTATGACTATCATGGACCATGTGCTGTCTAGCGGAGCTATGCAGTACATATTCATCGTATACTTCTCAAAGCAGCCTGGAAACCAAAGGTATCACAGCTCGACTAACATATTAAACCAACGCTTGCAGAAATGTCGTCATTTGAAGAATCTCCAAAATTAGATATCCAACGCCAGACTTGATTCAGTCGGACCTCCCAAGCCATCTACCTAACCGCATTTAATCTCGAGGGAGATTTGGTAGGTGTTATCGCAGTTTGCAGATTCCAAGCCAGTCCTGAGCGTTTGGTAGTCGGCCCCACAGCAGGTATTTGAGGCAATCTTTCTGCTTGAGAAGATAGAACCTTTGCTCCTACCTAGATTGATGTTCCTTCTATCTTTCCCTCTCTGTTCTAGCTAGTAGCCAAGCGTGTCGATGGTTTTATTCATGATTCATGTAAGTTACGAGGAGTGAGCAAAAGATTTCCAAATCTATTCTGTTTGAGGAACCTAGATCCTGGGTGTGGTTCCACTGAGCTTCGGACCGAGATCTATCCCTGAGTGGGTCGAATCCGGGGTGAGCCACTGATTAGTCATTTCACGTGACTATATTTTATTTGTTTCCGGGCCGTTGATATTCCGGTCTTGTATCCATGTATTTATGTATGTAATTTATCTGGGGATAAATGTTTGATTCTAATTGCAGATTGTGGATTTGAGGTCCACAATGTGACTGTTGGATGTATCTACCTTGATTTTCAAATACCAACACATGTTTGGTCCAAATGAGCTGCGAGTGGTATCAATAGCCTTCAAGTTGTACTTGGTTTGCAAGAGAGGGGGAAAGGGTGCTAACGACTTCGAATCATCTAGCCCAACGCATTTATAAAGAAGTGACTCGGTGTGCAACATTACCATCCGAAAATGAATCGAAGTGTTTTTTGCTATTATTTAGGAGGGGTTAGACAAAGCCTTCATAGAACAACCCAGGAAGGCTATGCAGTGAGCAGCGAAAAAACAAAGAAAACACTGGGGTGTCAACCCTCGACCTTGCGACAAATTGTTTCAGTATACGCCAATGACCCTGGAACCACATCATAGTTCTTTCATAGGGCGTTTGCCCACCCACGGCAATGTCACATTCATTCATTCATGCATCTATCCTTGGCAGTCTGGCGCATTTCCACCTCTTTGAACAGATAAAGATGAGCACTGCTTCCTTGAAGAAAAAGAGAAAAGAAGGGTAACTGTGTTCTCAAACAGTTCCAGTGATGGAGTGCTTCCTCCTTCGCAACTTCGTTGCTTTCATCGGCATCATTTTAGTCTGTCTGACAGCAACATCAGGCGCAGCTGTTGCGGCTGCACCCCAAGCAAGTAGCAATGGTATTTGTTACATATATACTGTCCAGGCTGGCGAAACTTGCTCTATAATTGCTCAGGCACATTCTATCGCCGTGGCTGATATCGAAACCTACAACGCTCGAAGCTGGGCATGGTCTGGATGCGGACACCTACCACAGGGTACTCTCATCTGCCTTAGTTCTGGAGAGCCTATAATGCCAGTTGCGCTTCCAAATGCTGTTTGTGGCCCCCAGGTGCCTGGAACAACACGCCCCAACATCTGGTCTGAGCTGGGATCTTTGAATCCATGTCCGGCCAACGAATGTGTAAGTTGAGAGGTTGAAAATCTTTCTGAGTCTGAATCTAATATCTCAAAATTGCGCTTCGTGGGGTCTTTGTGGAACTACTCCGGACTTTTGCACTTCTGTGGCCCACCCCCCTGCAGCAATACCTATATCCACTGGCACCCATCCCACTGAACGGACAACGTTGAAAAAGACGACCACACCTACTAGCACAACTCAATCTATTCAGAAGCCTGTTAGTAGTGAGACCTCTTCTAGTATCAAGACCGCATCTACTAGCAAGACTACCTCCACTAGTAAGACCACATTGACCAGCACAACCAAGTCTGTCCCCAAACCTACATCAACCACCAAGACTACCAAAACTTCATCCACCAAGAAAACCACATCCACGAAGTCAACCAAATCATCCCAAACAAAAACAAGCAGCGCCACCAAACCAGCGGCAACATGGTCACTCATAATGTACAGCAAGAAGGACTGCAAGGGCGACTACTACCTACTGCAAGGACACAATGTGGGCTACTCGAATAAGTGCCTGAACCTGCACGGAGGTCTAAGCAACAAAAACTCAGATACGAATGTTTCCTGCAAATGGTTTACAAATGGCGGCGACACTAACACTAATTGTGATTCTGGCACCCTCGAAGATCCTCAATCCTGGGTGTTTAAGGGTGGTATCTGCACTGTATACAATAACAAGAAGTGTGATCATAGTGACCATCATTCGAATGCTTATATGGGTGATAAATGTCAGAATCGGGGCAAATTTGATACGCCGAAGTTTCTTTCTATGACTTGTTATTATCCTGATTGAGGTTGGGGGCATTTGATGTAATCTTTTACTTTCTAGTTTTCGAGTTATATAATTCGTGCTTATACTACGAAGAATTTCTGGGGTATTCTGGGATCCATTGACGATCTATTGTTTGGCAATAAATCCACCAAGAACAATAATAGGAATAAGATATCATGAATGTGCTTCAGTGGACGGTGGCTCAATATGAACTGGCACAGTAAAATTATACTGTGCATTAGGCATGGGGATTGTATCGATCACCGCGGGTTGCCCTTGTAGCGAAAATTCGAAAACCAAGCTTTCAAATATGTCCAATGCAATCTTGTAATGCCCTGGGAAAATAACGAGGTTTCCATTCTCATCGGCTCTAGCCAATGATCCGAGGGTAAGAGGTAACTCTGATACTTCTTCGCTTCCACTTGTTATATTGTGGAGTCGCAAGTACGACACCAGGGATTTATTTGGTCGGGGAGTCGGACCTGCATTGTCGCTCGAAAGGAACAACAAACTAACATAATCGGAAGTCTCATGGCCAACATTTTTTACCCGTGCTTTGACAGTGGCAAAGGGCGTGTTGTCGTTAACCGGGCCATTGATGTTTTTCTGGCAGGATGCAACAAGCCGCTGAATGTTATACTCAGTATCCAAAGTCTCCTCCCACTCAAAGTGGAATTTCGTGTAGTGAAGCCCGTAGCCGAATGGGATCACAGGCTTTCCGGTGTACCATTTGTACGTTCGTCCAGGATATGAACCATCCGGATTAGGGCGAAGGTTGATGTCAAAAATGCTGACTTCATCGGCATAGCTGGCTGGATATTGTGTGACTGGCAGTCTACCAGCCAATGATCTTCTGCCAAGTAGGACATCAAGCAGAGCAGGACCACCACTTTGACTGGGATATCCGGCCCAAATCAGAGCTTGAATTCCTTTATTATGGAGGATGGTGCTGTCATCAAGCTGGCCACCACCAAATTGGACAACAATCATAGGTTTAGAAAGCTTTGATAGGTTTTCGATGAGATCGAGTTGATTTGCTGGCCAAGTGAGCGAGGTTCGGTCAAGTGTTTCGGCCTCCATAGAATTGTCAATGCCACCGAGGTAGATTATCAAATCAGACTTCTCTGCGACTGCAAGAGCCAAGTCGAATCCAGTAGTGCTCTGGTTGTTGATCGCAGTGCCTGGAGCATAATTTACTTTCCATCCATGGTGGCCCTCGAATGCTTCCAATGGGCTTATTATGTATGGTGCAATCCCTGAGTAGCCTCCTTGCATCTGAGTTGTGGCGTTTGCAAATGGTCCAACAACGGCAACACGTTTGAATTTATTTGAAGGACCCAGGGGAAGAAGTTTGTCATTTTTGAGAAGCGTCATGCCTTCGACTGCAGCCTCATACGCGAGAGCTTGTGCAGCAGGGGTAGAGACATCCGAAGGGCCGAGATCACTGTACTTTCCGCTATCGAAGAAGCCTACCGTAAACAGTGCCGAATATAGCCTTGTCAGGGCTTTGTCCATGGTTTGGACCGAAGTATGTTTCGCTGCAAGAGATTCGTTGAGCTTCAGGTACGAAGAGCCGCATTCCAAATCAACTCCGGCATTTAGAGCAACGGAGGCCGCGCCCTCTTCGGTGTCAGTGAAGTTGTGATATTGCCAGATATCTGTGACTGCTCCGCAGTCAGACGCGACATAGTTATAATCTGCAGTAAAATTCCAGTGCTTTCTCAGCACCTCTTCGAGAAGGTATTCATTCGCACAAGCTGGGATTCCGGAAACTGAGTTGTATGCACACATGATGCTTCCTACTCCTGTATCGCGTATGCAGGTCTTGAATGGAGGCAGGAAGTAGTCAGCCAGGTCCTGCAGGGTAGGATTATAGTTATTCCCGTATCTGCCTGTCTCCAAGTCATAGACAGCAAAGTGCTTGCATGTGGCAATAACCTGCTTGTCCTCAGGGTCGTCACCCTGGAGTCCCGGGACGAAATTGCGGACATAGCTCTGCGCAACAAATATATCCTCACCGGGTGTCTCTTGTCCTCTACCCCAGCGAGGATCTCGGAAACCATTGATATTTGGAGCCCAGAAATCGAATCCAGAAAACCCGTTGTTGGCAAATGCTCGGCCTTCCTTGCCAATTACATCAGCTATTTCACGAATTAGAGCATCATCGAAGGAGGCCGCTGTCAGGATCGGTGCAGGGAAGCTGGTGGCATAACTAAAATTGGCTGGCTTTGAGGTGAATTGCACACCTGGTGCGGAGCCAACACCATGGGTTGCTTCATTCCACCATTCGTATGGTGGCAATCCAAGGCGTTCTGATCCCGCGGAAGCATCGACAAGATTAAGGATCTTTTCTTCCAATGTCAAAGAGTTAACAAGTGAGCTCACTCGCTCAGTAATGGTTCTCGAAGTGTCACAGACTGCGTGACTGCAGAGAGGGTGCGTTTGACAGGCCGGCACGAAACCAGTGCTCGTTGTGTTCTCTTGCGGATTTAAGATTTGATATAAAGACATCCTATAAATATTAGAAAACAGGAGTCATGTTACCCTTCTGTATTTGACTTACACATAGGTCGCTCCGCATGAGCTTGATGGGTCGGTCGCGCATTTCGAGTTGCAGCTGGTTTCATTGGTCTTGGTCGCGGTGGTGAAGTCAGGCATAATACCGCAAAAGCATTGCCTATTCAATTGTAAGTTTGGGTAGTTGTATATAACATTCACATTAGCCAAAGCGTGGTCCACTTACGTCCCAAATTCTATACCTCCATAGTCAAACCCCCGTTGGCCACACCAGTTGGCACAATACTGTGGTGTCATAATAATCGTGCTAAGTTTCGCTGCTGTCAAGATCTTCACACTGGGATCTAAATAACATCCAAGATACTTTGTTGATGCATTGTAGGCTGTCGTCGATGAGCTCTTACCGGTGCAAAGAGATGCCTGGACACCGTGTACTGCTATGAGTGACACTAGTACTTTCCCAGCTCGAGAGAGCTTTGATAGTAACATTGTCTCGTTTATGCCAAGTAATAGGCCACTTAAAAGCTTAAGACGCCACCTCCGGCGACGACGGATACTTATATACACGTTCATTACAATAACTACATAGGCTAAATTAATTTAGCGCAGACCAGGATGTAGTCCAAGAAATGCCTTTGAGATCCCCGCTCTTGACGGGTAAAGAGAAACAGTTCGAATAAAACTAAGAGGAAAGATGAGAATATATGACCTTGACAAGACCAGTATAATGTCAGTCTGGGGGTCTTAGGTACAAATCTTCTTATAGTCTCATTCCAGATCACTTTGCTTGTAATTCAATATAGATGGTTGTCTGCGAGTAGTTAATTGCCTATAAGTCGGTAGTTAAAATACCTACAAGTGCCGGCATTGTACTAATTTATGTACTCCGTATATATCAGTTCGATTAGGCTAAAAGATCTTCAAATTTATAGATCCATTTGGATGAGTTATGACTTCAACTTTTAGCCTGAATCCTCACGATAGACTTATCAATGTTACCGGCTAAGTTTTGTTGTCACTTCTATGAGCTTTTGAACTCGGATATTTTCCTCATTCAATATGAATCGTAATCGAAAATAGTCCCCCGCAGGAGACCGAGTAGTATATAAGTAAAAGCCAACTTTGATCAAGTGGCAGTAGTTTGCCCTACCTAATGCAGAACAATGCTCACCAAATTCTTGTTCCTCGGTCTAGCCAGCCTTACTTGTGCTGTGTCAGTTAAACATCCCCAGAAATCACCAAAACCATGGTCAACTTTTGCAGAGAATGTCATCTTCCAGCCTGACTCCGATCACAGTATTCTCTATCCGCGACAGGTCGAACTATCCGATGGAAGTCTCCTTGCGACAGCCTCGTATGCAGGGGATGAAACTCCATATTTCCCGATCTTTCGAAGTGCAGATGGTGGTGCTACCTGGACCTGTATCTCCAATATGACAGACCAGGTCAATGGACTAGGAATGGCGGCTCAGCCTGCGCTCGCGGAGATGCCATTTGCTGTTGGTGACCTCCCGGCCGGCACAGTTCTAGCCAGTGGAAACAGCTGGGGAAATCAGAGCACCAACATCGATTTATATGCTAGTGAAGACAAAGGTTATACGTGGAAGTTCATCAGCAATGTGGCGACGGGCAGTGGACCGGATACTACAAATGGGAATCCATGTATTTGGGAGCCATATATTCTGTGAGCTGCTCTACCCATTTCCTTTCTGTGCAAAGTGCTGAATGGCATGATTACAGGTTTTTCAACCACACAGTTGGCGTGTTTTACTCTGATCAGCGTGACCCTCTGCATGGCCAGAAGCTTGCTCACCAGGAATCGACCGATTTGGAATCCTGGGGCTCCGTAATAGATGATGTGGCATATCTCAACTACACTGCCCGTCCTGGAATGACGGTCATTTCATATATTCCACCATTGGAGAAGTGGATTCTGGTGTACGAGTTTCCAGGAGGAGATAGCTGGTCTGGGGCAGGCTATCCAGCCTACTATCGATTGTCTGCTAGTCCATTTGACTTCCGCTTTGCCTTCGGCTACCCAATTGCCGTAGACGGAATACAGCCAAGCTCGTCTCCTTATGTCGTCTGGTCTCCCGTTGGAGGTGTCAATGGAACCATCATCGTCAGTGACGCTGATCATAGCAGCATTTTTACCAACCGTGCCAACGGTCAGCCTGATCAGTGGGAGATTCATGCCACACCACAGCCAGCAGCATATAGCAGGAGCCTACATGTGTTTGCAAAGCATCCCGATCACTTGATGATACTGGGTGCAGGTGTGTTTGAGGAAGAAGAGAATTCCCCACTCTATCTCAGCGTTGTGAGCTTAACAAAGACCTTGAGGCGGCCTGCTGGTAATTAGAAGAAGGATTCGTTATATTCGTTCTATAGGAAGGACAAGATTTGAAGATGATCAAATTAAATTATCAGTGGCAAGATTGTTTCGATAGAAGCAAAAAGAACATGTATTAAAAGTCATGCACCACATGAACATTTCTAAGATCCAACAACCTCCTCTCTATGTATACAGATACAAATCTTCAATCTAACTGACTAAACCTTTCTTTGCAGCTCCTTCTGAGCCTCAGCATCAACTTGCTCTTGCAACTTACGCTCCGCCTCGCGCTTCAGCTGATCGGGGCGACGAATAGCAATGTCTTTAGGACGGAAGTCACTGAACAGGTGCTTGAGAACATTCTCAATCAACCAGCAGCCACCGTAGTCGAAGATCATCAGCACGGTCAGAGTCATCTTGAACTCACTCGTGAAGGGAACGAGGCGCAGCTTCTCATTCAGCTCGGGAATGAATTCAGTGGCACAGGAGAATGCAACACCCGACGCGGCGATGAGACCCCAGTACATGCCCTTGTTTTCACGAATTGACTCGCGGAAGGGACGACCTTGGTAGTTGATCGAGAAAGTGGAGATTTGTTGAATCAGCTGGAGGAGGTAGATGGCACTGTTCAGGAGGGAAGGCTCAAACTCGCCCTCGAGATCAATATCGGAAGCTCTCCTATCGGCCGTGTTAGTCATGAAGCGGAAAAAGCTAGAGGGGGGGGGTTAATAACGTACGGCTCGTGCTTATAGACATAGTTGGAGAGGTACACAAGAGTCGCAATGTGGATGGCAAACTGTCCAAGAACAGATCCAATGATGTAGACGTTGAAGATATTGGGCTGCGGGCGCTCCTTAGACAGACCCTCGACAGACTTCACACATAAAGCATTAGCAGATCATTTTTGTCAACATGGGGCAAGTACGACATACCTTGGCGCGGGAAATAGAGAGGAAGCAAACACTCATCAGCATACCGCTGATGGTGACCTGTCCATCACCGAATTTGATACCATCCAGGTAGATGACACTCAGACTGTAGGCACTGATCAAGCAGTTCAAGGCAAGAATCTTGTACATCTGAATAGTCGCAACCAGGGTGCAACGACCTTGACGAAGAATATTTGGGATAGCAATAACATTGGCCAACTTGCTGGTGAAGGGGGCAGCGACTGATGCATCACCCAACTTGATAGTGGGAGGCTCGCTGTCATCCAGCTCCTGTTCCATCATAGAAGACGTAAGCCTGTCTGCGAGGCCAGCTGCGGCAGCCTGGGCCTGCTGCTTTTTCTGTTGCTGGGGAGTCAAGTTCGATTGCTGCAGGGCCTGTGCGCCAGGAGACGTGATAGTTGGGATAGCTTCGGGGGTTGCGCCGGTAGCGGTAATCGCGGTACCCTTGCGCTGCGACTCCCGCTCCATGGCTTTCTCGTAGTGTGGGTTGGAAGGACCGGGGGGATACAGGTGAGCGATGAGAACAGGGACTGGAGGGGCGGGCTGGTTGAATCTTTGCATCATGCCGACCTGCTTCTCGTACAGCTCCTTCATCTTGGTGTTCCGATAGTGTTCAGCGATCTTGGTGAGATCCTCTTGCGAGCCGTTCAGAAGGGCGACACCGACGTGGGCCTGCTTCAGAGCGCCAACATCGTTGGTGCCATCACCGCACATCAGAGTGGTATATCCAGCATCCTTAAGACCAAGAAGAATTTCTTCCTTCTGCTTGGGAGACACACGAGCATAAACCCAGGTGTGACGGAGCAGATCAGGGAGAGCCTTCTGGCCCTTGAACTTTGCCAGGGCAAATCCGGTGATACAGATGTCCTTAGTTTTCAAGATCTCCGGGTCGAGAGGCTTAGTGGGGTCGACTTCCAAATTGAGCTTATCGTCGATAGTACGCCAGACAATCTTGGTTCCAGAGAGGTCATGTTCCGGAGCATCAAGGATAAGAACCTCACGGTCAACAATCTCAACTTGGCGTGCAACATGGACAGCGGTCAACGGGTTATCACCAGTAATCATGACAACACGGTGGCTGCTTTCATTCAGCATACGGACAGACTTGATGGCATCATCCTTCAGGGGGCACTGCAGGACAAGGAAACCGGCAAAGATCAGTTCAGATTCAATCTCTTCGCGGACGTAGTTGTTGACGCGGCTCTGGGACAGCTCTGTTTCAGATGAAAGGTACTTGTAGGCAAGGGCAAGCACACGAGCACCGTTGCGGGTGAAGTGCTTGTAGGTCTCTTCGTAGTTGGGGGGTGTGTTGACCAGCATAGTATTGATGGTCTCGGGGGCACCCTTGACACCCACAAAGGTAGACTTAACCTTCTTGGAAGCCTTGCGGTCATTGGTCGTAACGGTCGCGATGGTACTCTGGCGCTTCAGTGCCGAGGAGAATTGGAATCTTCTCTTGATTTGAACAGACTCGACGTTCCGACCGGAGACAACAGGAGCGTTGCCCTTGGAAGATAGAATATCGTTCTTACCCAGAGTCCAACCAAGCCATTCCAAAGTAGCCTTTTCCATAGGGTCACCAACGACCTCACCCTCATCCAGTTTGACCAAGGCGTGAGCACTAGCGAGAACGAGAGTGGTGTTGGGTCCAGCATCAGAGGGCTTGGCCAATTCGGTGTGAGCACCATCGGCTTCGACCTTCGAACCAGCCTCGCCTAAAGTGAGTCCAGCAATACCATCAACGACAAGGTCCTCTCCAGTGAGGGTACCAGTCTTGTCGAAGCAAGCGATGTCAACCCGACCAGCAAAGGGGATACGGAAAGGCTCAGTGCAGAAAATGGCATACTTGCTCAAAGCAGCAAGACTAGTGTTAACAGCCAAGCTCAGTTCCATAGGCAATTCGGGAGGAACAACACTGGTGATAATGAGGACACAGTCGAGCAGAAGCTTGGAGCGTTTGCGGTCCCGGATCACACCCTCTTGCCACACGTACCACGAAGCGGCAATGGCAAAAATCAGGAGGAAGAGAATGAACAAAAGAGCTTCAACGTTGTTGGCAGAGACACGTTCAGTGGAGTAAATCATGGTCCGAACGAGGCTACCCTGGCTGGTCTCGAAACCGGTCTTAACAACGACACCCAAGGCACCATTGTCTGGAGGCATGCTAACGTTGCTAGCCAAGTTCTTCAAGCCCGCGTCGCCATTTAGATTAGGGTGAGTAACCTGGAGGACCTTGGTACCTCCATGCACAAACGAGAGCTTATCCAATCCATCCGGTTCAATCAAGTCATCTCCGGGGCGGAGCTGGACAGAGTCTTTCAGCAGAGGCGTGCTCTCGCCAGAAAGCATAGCCTCGTTCACAATGACACTGCCTTCAACCAGAAGAATATCGCAGGCAACGCCGCTGTCCTCTTTGGTGCGGTTCACCGACATGAGGTCACCGGGGAGAAGCTTATCACTGGTGATCTCCTGCCATTTCCGTTCACGGTATACCCAGACATCGTAAGGCTTGATGCTCATTCCACGGAACTCGCTCAAGGTTCTCTGGCGCTGCCACACAACGGTGCTTTCAAACATAACGAGCATGAAGAGCGTGAAGAGCGAGTAATACCAGTATTCATCCAACATCCACAATCCAACACAGAAAATCTGGAAGACGAAGAACGGCGCGACGGCGTGCTCCTGGAAGAGCTCAATGAAGCCGGGAACGGGGATATCGAAGGTGTTATCGCCATAGTGGTTTTGGATGCGGTCAATCTCGGCCTGCGACGTGAAGCCTTCGTTCAGCTGGAAAGTCTTGAGGGCCGGCTTCGGTTCGGCGTCAAGGGCGTAAGACAGGGGTGCGAAGGTGCCAGTCTCGGGATAATACAGGAAGCGGCGCTTCTGGAAGAGAAATGAAAGGCTCTTCTTCGGACCGGTGTTATCTCTAATCAAGTTGCAGATCTCGGCAGAGCCAGCGTTGGTGATGGGAACTACTTTGATAAGCCGGGCAGTGTCGACAGACTTGGCACGAGTGGTAGTGAATAGTGTGTTGATGTCAATATTCCACTTGGTCATTAGCCAAAAGAGCGACTGAATTGTGACGATAGACCCCGCGAACACGAAGGTCCATTCCTGTCCCTGAATGTAGGTATCATAACGCTCGGGGGAAAGGTAGAAGGCGAAGAACACAGGCCAGATGATGAGGAAAGGCCAGACGTATGTATGCAATTGCCAAGGTATCGGGTTATGCAGCGAGGCAGTATGGATCTGATGGTCGTCCACGAGCTTTGCCCTGTATACTGTTAGCTGCAGCCGTGAGAATCTGGGGGAGGTTCTGGTAACGCACATGGTGGGCAATCTAGTGACCGCGGTCGGAGTCAAACAACCAGAAAGTTAAAGACTCATACGAAGCACAGAAACAATTATAGGATCCAATCGAGGAAATGCCTAGATTCGTAGATGAAGCCACCTTCCACCTAACAATTTCGGTTCCAGAGGATTCGCCGCTTGACGCGCTAGCATTATGTCAGCTTATCCTCGACTGCCTTAGGCTTATGTAGCATTATATCGCAGCCTCTTTCAACAGCCCGGCCGGGCTAGCTCAATCGGTAGAGCGTAAGACTCTTAATCTTAAGGCTGCGGGTTCGACCCCCGCGTTCGGCTATTCCTAAAAACCAAACCTGAGATTTCTTTTTTGTTCTTTTTATTTGGAGCCATAATTACTATTAGTTAGTTAAGGTACTTTTTCTTCAGGGGATGTGGAAAATGATGTTGAGGTTAAAGATTCGATGAACACCATATACACTTATACAAAGACGGGTCGACCTCGTGACTCCCAATATATTTCATAATGTCCTAATATGGGAGCGAGACGTTGCTGTAGCATGCCAATATATATATATATATCGTGCCTTGGACTTCCCCTAGCTTGCTCCGCCCGTCTTCATGTCCACTATCTCCTGAGTCAATCCCTTCACTGTCTCCGTCAACATTTTAACCTGCTCCTTCAGCTCCCTGAGTTCATATGTACAGCTGTCAACCTTGATATCCGGCGTGGACTCTACTACGTGCTGTTTCCAAGTATCATCAAGATCAAAATTGACTTCCTTGGCCACATGCTCCCATTCCTGAGCGCAATCATCGTCTTCTTCGCCATGGCGGCGATTCCATCGAATTCGGTGCGCCTGGCGGGTCTCAACCCAGGCTGTAACGACAAGCAGCGGCGAATATATCACGCCCATTACAATGTCATTCACCTTGGCGTAAGCCTCCCTTGAAAGCCACCACTCGAATGGGGCTACCAGAAACACAATCTCGACGAGGTTGAATGCTATTACCCAAATAATTAGCCAACATGTGTTATATCTGCATTGAGTAAATACGTACGTGGGATGAAGACATTTTCATCTGGGGCGCGGACAAACTGCATGGTTTTCTGCGCGAAGATGGCCATGTACTCGTCCGTGGCGTTGCCAGAGATATCCTCATATGCGCTGTTGTACAAAGCGATGAGGATATTCAACAAAACTGATATTTGTTAATACCAGCCCAAATAAGACGAATGCAAACTTACCAGTCATAACAATGAAGTTGAAAACATAGTAGAGGATGATGCCAAAGGGAAATGCAAAGTCCTGGAAAGTGTCGAACTCAGGGCTCTGCATGATACTGTTTACCATCCCCTGGAGAATGTTTCGGTGGAGTGGAATATCGGGATCCACCTGAGCCATGCCAACAAAGGCCTGGAAGAAACCAGCCATAACCACAAACAGAAGAGCGAAGAATATCAAGCTCTCCTTCATCATGACTCGAAGAACCACAAACATAGCACCGAAGAATTTGAACGAGTCAAGATATAGCATCATGCGTATCCAAAACATAGGGCCCGCAAAGGCTAGGAAGTTGTAGCTGAGCTCGTTGTATAGCCGCCTTTGTTCATCATGGGTAGACGGCGAGTGTGCCAAGGCAACAAAGCGCAGGGCAAGGGAAACCGCCATGATGGTGTAGAGGGTTGAGTTGAAGGCATTCCAAAATTCCAAATAATTCCATCCAACCTTCCAAAACTTAATTCCCTCGTCGCAGATGAACCCAAGAGTCATACCGTAGAGGATGGCTTCGGCCACATCCAGGTCACCGGTTGGGTTCACAGTATTGATAACCGCAGTATAAACCGCAAGGTAAATCAAAGAGAACAAAATTTGGCAGACATTCTGATACAGAGGAGTCCGCATCCGATCAGGATGGAAATGAACCCAATATTCGGTGTTAGACTTCTCGCTATATTCGACGAAGTTAGTTGGGTTGCCCTCTTCCTGGCAGATCCAACCTCTCCACAGGTACTGGATACATTTCTGGTACGGTGCAGAGCTGATGATCCTTAAGGCATGGAGATCAACCGATCGTTCGATGACATTGGCGGGATCAGTCTCTACACCTTCACTGAAGATAGAGTATCGCTTGAGAAGAATGTCTCTGAACACATAATCTTGGTTCTGCTCGGATTCGATACTGTTCGAGTTAGTAAATAGTAGAAAACGCGAAATGACGAAGGGTGTATGTATTACATGCGCTTGGCGATGACCTCGCAAGCCACAGCCCGAACCTCATGTAGATCGGAATCCCAGAGCTCGACGGATGATTGAATCTTGAACCATCGCAGACAAACCAGAAGACAATAAACAACGGATGCTTTGTAATCATCCCCGCCAGCCTGCCTAGCAGTCTCAACCACATCATCCGTGATGATACGACTGTTTGGGTTGGTCAAGACATTCTCCTCTACTTCACAGGAGACAACCTGCTCCATTTGATATTTCAACCGAAGGGCAACCTTCGCGATTTCCTTTGAAGCATCAGACGTGTCAGTCTCATCGGCAGCATAGGCAGGTAGCACTACGACTTTGTTAGTAGTTGTTCCAAAGAGCGCGTAGAATGTGACGTACGTCGACGACGTTCCACCTCGACACGGTGCCGTGTCCTGCCAGGATCGGTGGTAAAGATATTTTTCCAATGTACCATATTGTTAAAGAGAAAAAAATTGAGAGAAGGAGTGAAAAGAAAGGGAGAGTTTTCACCGATAGTTTTTATCTTGAGGGGGCACCAATGATGATCGGCGGGAGATTAAGCTTCAGCTCCCCGCTGTTGGGGCAGTTCATCGCATCTGATCTCTTAAGAAATTGATGTATCTACATGTACGGATAAGTACGGAGATGTACGGAGATGTATAACTTCTACAAGGATATTGCATTTGAAAGCATTACTGGCATTGAACGTCTCGGTTGCATCAAACATTATGTGCATCAGAACTTGCACCCTGTGTGGACCCAGAGTCTTTGACAGACGGTGGGAACGAGGATTTCGACCGCAATTGGTATCCAGCGCATACACAGGCGTGGATATGTCATCCCCAGACTCGAAGTTCAGACGACTGCCCTGGCTAAAGAGCGAGTTCTGACTGCAATCCTGCCCACCAGCACACTGACCCATCGAGCCTTTCTCCGATATGTGCAAGCTTTTTCTATCCATCTTTGACCAACTCTCCTCTAGTGGTAATTCCAGCTTTAGATGCTAGCGCTGATGACCGCTATATGCCCCTCAACTCGGAATTGTAACCCGTTGCTTACTCGGGAACGCCCTCATCACTTTCCGAGTCCTCGTCTCCGCTGACCTGGGTGTTCTCACGCTCACGCTTCTCCATAAGCTCCTGCAGGATTGCATCGTCATGCTCAGTGACAGCCTTGGGCGCCATCTTCACGGTGCAGCTACCGCCGTTCGCCTTGATACGCTCTTCGATTTTCACAATGGCAGCCTCAAGCAACTTGACACCGAGGGTCTTGTCGAGACATTGACTGGCCAGGACGTAGAGAGGAGGAGCGACCAGTCTGACCTTGATCTGGTTCTCGGGGGTGTTGTCGGCCTCGGCGGTGCGAAGGGCATCCTTGACGGCATCGATTCCATCGTAACCGAAGCAAGTAACCTCAATATCGGCACGGACCTTGGTGGGGTGGGGGGTGAGCTTGCTGTTGATGTATTGCTGCAACTCGCTCTTGACAGCTTCATTGGGGAAGGTGATCTCATCCCAGACGTTGGGGTTTCTGGAAAACAACTGTCAGAGGGATTCAAATATATCATGAGACAAAAAGAACGAGAACCTACGTAATAGAGATCTTGAAGGCATCGTGTGCGTGGCCGTATTTTTGGTTCAAAGGCCACCCGATGGTCTCGTATAGGGTCTCCAGCGGGGTCTGAGTGGCCTCTGCGACATGGCGCATGATGGAGTGCACTGCCTTGCTCTTGTTGTAACGCTCCTCGCACTTGATGACGTCCTCTGGGGACACACGACGCTTCGACAGATCGATGTAACCTTCAAGTTGACAAGTTAGTTCTCGGTTCTACCAGGCGAACGATAGATGCTTGCCTTTCTCCTTGTCGACACGAAGCACGATGACGACCTCGTTGCGCCCAATGCGGATGAGCTTCTGGATACTGCGAATACGTCTGCGGGAAAGTTCTGAGAGGAGGATCATGCCGTCGATGTTGTCGTATTCAAGCAGCTTCACGTATGCGCCCATCTCGGCGATCTAGCTCATTTCACACAAAAATCAGTTCCTGTCGCTTTGGTCTCTCACTTCATGATTCAGTTAGTCCGTACCTGCTTGACATTCACCATGACGAAGCTGTCCACCTCCGGGTACTTGTCCTCATAGAACCGACAGTTTGTTAAAGACATCTTGGCGGGGTGCTGTTTTTTTTTCTCGGGGAAATCTTAGGTGCAAAAGGGACGGATTTGATGGCACAATCGAAACGATCGAGACGGTGACCAATGGGATATGAGTGATCGTATGGCCCGGAAAACAGGAGCGCAGAGGGGATAGGCGACGTGAATGAGGCACAATCTATCTCTTTGTGGCGGACTTCAAAACCCACATTGACCTGATCAGTCACGGGACCAGTTAACACGTGACTCTTACACACCGCCTTCCAATGTTTGATCTTGGCTGACACATCAATCAATTACGTCAACTGAAAATCAACCGCAAGATGGGCCGTGGGTGTTCCTTGTATAAATAAGTCTTCAGTACTTGATGGCACTCGACTTTCTACATTCAGAGAACTCCCTGATGTTCTTAGGATCATGATTGTTCTCCTAATTGTATAGTCATTCTCCAAGGATCTGCATTGAATTAACGATAACGCCTGCGTTCCCCGCTTATCGGTCCTAGCGCGCCCTTGCCTAACCGACAAAACAATTTGGGGCTGGGCAACGTTGTTGGCCCATTGGTTTCAATCTTTTACATAATACCATGACCAGCATTCATGGCGGCCTATTTCGGGTCTAACTCTTCGACCTAACACTCCTCAAATCTCTTTCCAGAACATCATGTCTGAGACAAGTTCATTACTCCCTGGGGAGTCCGACGGACTTGGACGTAGGACTCTCCGAGACCGCATTGTCGATGCTTTCCGCTCATCGCCTCAAACCGGTCTTGGGATTTCGACGAATTCTAACCATGACGATCACACGGGACATGACAGCCAGGCTTCCACTGGGGCTACGAGCGAACCAGACGTGAGGACTCGGCTTCTGGAATCGTATCTTCAAGCTGGTCCTGCGTGCGGCGAAAGACACTGCAGCCACGGTACATTCTCGCCCCAGATAGATGTGGGAAGACAGGCATTTGTTGGAGAATCGGGCAATGGATGTGGATATAACGGGCACGAACTGGCGGACGGCGCAACCGGTCGCCCTAGAGGTGTAGTAGACCACCCGGAGTCGGTCCCAGATTCAGAGACTCCGTCACAGATGAAATCATCATTCACTTTTCCAATAACCGACACGAATAAGCAGTAGGTCGTATCTTATTCATCCGCTGCGAGCACTCTCGTAGCCTGTCCCATGACTGGGAGCTGACGAATCAATGGCAGATACATATCATATTATATTCCCTTTTTGAATTGGATCCAACAATACCACTGGTCCTTCCTGCGCGGAGATCTCATGGCTGCGTTGACCGTGGCATCCATCTACATCCCGATGGCCCTTTCTTTGGCTTCCAATCTTGCCCATGCACCACCCATCAGCGGCCTCTACTCCTTCGTCATCCATCCTATGATCTATGCCATCCTAGGAAGCTGCCCTCTTTTGGTAGTTGGGCCGGAAGCCGCAGGCTCCCTGCTAACGGGTGCTATTGTCAAAGCAAGTGTCATGCAGGGAAACTCAGGCGAGGACGACCTTACAGAAACCGCCCTTATTGTAGGAATCGCTACTGCAATGTCCGGGGCAATGATATTGATTGCCGGATTGACCCGCTTAGGGTTTTTGGACAACGTTCTCAGTCGACCATTCTTGAGAGGGTTCATCACTGCTATCGGCTTTGTGATTTTTGTAGACCAACTTATCCCCGAATTGGGTCTGGCTGAGCATGCCAAAGAATCCGGTGTCAGCCATGGCACCAGTGTTGAAAAACTGATTTTCATCATTCGGTATGCTCGAGAGTGCCATGGACTAACTGCTATCGTTTCGATCGTTAGCTTTACTGTCATTATGGTGTTCAGGTGCGTTTCGCAGCCCCGGGTTTACGTTCGTCATACTGATTGTCCGCAGAACTTTGAAAAAGATGCTGGTACCGCGTATCCCTCAGGTGATTTATTTCCCAGACCGCTTCCTTGTTGTTGCCCTGTCGGCGGTTTTAGCTTGGTACCTCGACTGGGAATCTAAAGGGCTCGAAATTCTTGGACCTACAGAGGTTGGATCTGGAGGGCTATTCGCTTTCCATTGGCCTTTCCAGCTTGCGCATATGAAACATGTGCGCACAGCACTGAGCAAATCGTTTATTATCGCCCTACTTGGCTTCTTTGAGTCATCTGTTGCGGCCAAGGGGCTGGGCGAAGGAAATTCTAATGGAATCAAGGGAATGTTCATGAGTGCCAATCGTGAGATGGTTGCACTAGGAGTTGCCAACGTCGTCGGAGGTTGCTTCTCTTCTCTGCCTGCATTTGGTGGATACGGGCGAAGCAAGCTCAGCTCACAGACAGGAGCACGGTCACCTATGGCTAGTGTTTTCCTGAGCATTATCACATTCACATGTGTCATGGTGCTTTTGCCTTATCTCTACTACCTCCCGGTTCGTCCCTCTCAAACCTATGCCTGTGTGCTTTATCTAAATGCTGACGACTTTAATTTTTCAACAGAAAGCAGTCCTGTGTTCCATGATCTCCGTTGTAGCTTTTACTCTAGTGGAAGAATGCCCGCATGACCTGCTCTTCTTCATCCGCCTGCGGGGCTGGTCAGAGATCGTCCTCATGCTTCTCATCTTCATAACAACAATCTTTTACTCTTTGGAACTGGGCATGGCGATGGGTATGGGCTTGTCAGTGATAATCCTCATCCGACACGCAACGCATCCCCGAATCCAAATTTTGGGCAAGGTCCTCGGCACAACCGCGCGTTTCGACAACGCCGAACTCCACCCGGAAAATGTGGAGCTAGTCGAAGGCGCGCTAATCGTCAAGATTCCCGAGCCCCTAACATTTGCGAACACAGGCGATCTCAAAAACCGTCTGCGACGTCTGGAACTCTACGGTTCCAGTCATGCTCACCCTTCTCTACCGCGCATGCGCGCACCAGAGCATAATAAGAATATCATTTTCGATGTTCACGGCGTTACGAGTATAGATGGGTCTGGTACACAGGTTCTCTCAGAGATTGTGCACGCGTACGCGGAGGAACACGTCAGAGTGTTCTTCTGCCGTTTGCCGAATCGAAGCGTGTTCCGCATGTTTGAGCGAAGTGGTATTGTTGAGAAGTGCGGCGGATTGACTCATTTCGTGCCCAGCGTTGATGAGGCGCTGCGGTTGGCGGAATCCGAGAATCAGACGGAGATATAATATCTGTCTACATATCTTGCTACAAAATTGGTGACGTGTGTTTGGATACGGGTTGGATATCTGTATGGACCTATATTGCATTTTGGTCGTCAAAACAAAATCAACAAAGTCGCTCTACCTGACATTTTGTCACAGAGCAACACCATCCCAGAGAAGATGATGTATTATTTCTTCCCGAACAATAGGCTTTGGTTCAATGTGAACTGAAGTAAACACTTATGCTTTACTATGCGCTACGATCAGCTCCCTGGGCGTGCCATATTGGCGATGAAAGACGTCATTGCAGCATCCGCAATACCACAGTGATGGAACACTGGGTCAAGCATGACGCTAGAAGCTGCGGTCTAGCTGCCCCGGTTCGCGCTTGGTTGCGTTGTCGTGTATTGGCGACGAGTCCAATGGATTGGATAATTGAATAGCCCCAAGAGCAAACCCATGAGCTCTGTGGATCTAGGTAGGTCATGCTGATGAGTCGCATTGTAGACCGACTGCTCGTTCAGAGCTTCAAGGATATTGCAACGCGCCCCAGTTTCACACCGGGACAGAAAAACACCCAGAAGTTCACGTAGTGGAGTGATCCTCCAGAACAGCCTTCTGGATCACCGAGCGTAAAAGACATTCTCCTGCCTCCAAAGCAAGCTCATTCTTGTCGCCCGGAACTCGAGAGCTCTTATCCACATCCCCAGTATCCCTATCAGCAGCCACAACCAGCTTCACACGTCCTTCACCGCCCAAAACGAAAGCAGCACATGCAATCTTCGAGAGTCGCACATGCTGCTTAGCAACCTTGTCTGAAGAAGACCCATCCAGATCCAGCTTCATGGCAAGATGCGTTTCGAGGTACGAGGTAAGATTGGCGATAAAAGGGCTGCGCAATTTATCTTGAAGACTGCGCGACTTGGGGGCCGACTGTTTAGGCTGATCACGCAGAAAACCCGCCAGTGAAGCGCGCGTGACGCTAACATTAAGGGATCTCAGCTCTGGCGCAATCGACGGTGAAAAGGACAGCGTGAGTTGTAACTCCTTGATGACCTCCTCGACTGTGTCACTTGTACTTGGCTGCTTAGTGCGCAAGGTATCGAGATATGTCTCTAGACCAGCACAGAGAAAACTCGAAGACAGTCGGAGGGGCGAGCAGTAAGTGTCAAAATTGGTAGATAAGAAGGTGAGGAATGTTTGCCGGAGTGCAGTTGGGAATCTGGTTAGGAGGAGGGGGAGAGATGTGGATCCAGTGCGCTGATTTGGGGATGATTTTGTGTCAGCGAGCAACGCTGCTTTGTAGATGATGTTTTCGTATTTTAGCGTTACTAGAATGCCAGGAAATGTGGTGTTCTGAGATCTGCTTGGCCCATCGTCGCGCACTGATTGAGGAGCGATTGGCCGCCATAGACAATCTTTTAGGGCGCCTGTTTTAGACAGCGCGTCATCATCTACTGCACCAGAGCTTGTATGAATACCAGGGAGGACATCTCCGGTGAGATGGTCACGTAGACGCGTTGCATATGTTTTCAAGGCGGCTTGGTTGTCTAGGAGGGTTTCACAGTCGTTCCCATGATGGAGAGGGGATAGACGGTGTATGGTCCAAGAAGTATTGAACAACTGTCGTGAGCCTGCTTGTTCCATGGAAGCCAATGTGTGAGTTTGCAATAACCCCGGCTAATTCTTATGCTCCAATTGAAGCATATCATCGCGGAAGATTGATACTTGGCGATGTACATAGCGACGCGTGCTGGTTGCAAACAAAGCAAACATCTACAACTCCCTAAATCACTTCGAGTACATCTACGAGCACTATTTTGTTTTGGAGAAGAAGATAATAATAATAAAAGGGAATGCAAATACAAATGCAAGTGGCTGAAACGTTCATATACCCAACTCCAGTATATCCCCAGTGTAAAGATTTTGACTCCGGGCGCCTCCAACGCTTAAATGTATCATGCCTGCCATCCTCTTGTGGGATGGCAATCTGGACACCCAAGAACAATTGGAATACCATTCCATATCCAGACGTGCTCTACGTCGTGATGTATCGCATGCCGAGCTTTCAATTCAGCTTCAGCAGCAGCAAACCAGATATCTTGTACCGAACTATGTAAGTTCCGAGTAGACGAGCGCGCAAAAACAACCGAGTTCATACGATCCTTTTCATAACTCGTCGTATCTTTATGGAAGTTGTACATAAAGTCCTTGCGTTGTGTTCGCTGGTTCCCACCGTCCCCGATCTCAGCGGAGAAGAACTCGACGATCCGCACGAACGGCGCCAATGTGAGCAACGAGCTAATCCATGAGTCATCAATCTCAGATTGGCCATCTGGAGACATAGCGAAGCGTATATATGAAACAAGCAAATGCATGCAATGGTGTGTCGCAACCAACGCCGCCGTGTCGGTGAAAGGGGGGCTTTGGAGAATCCGGGTTTGTAGCTCGCGGTACATCATCTGGCGTATATCGAGTGGTAAGGGTACAGGCAGCTGGCCTGCCTCGTATTGTTGTACGAGCGTGTGCGTGTGCTCGCGCCGGGCGGATGTGTATGTTTCAAGGAAATAAAGGGTATAATACCTGGTAGAGAAAAGAGGTTAGTGACTTGCTATAGATAAGCATTTCCCCGAGATTCTTACATGAGTGGTGCAAGGTGGAACCGTATTCTAGCTATGCCACGTTTGACAAGGGCATTGCGCTCGTTTCGGTTTGCAGGAAAGGAGGCCCTCATGACGGCCGGTTCGGTCTGCACGAACCGATCGAGGATCCGATCCGCCAGGTAGTAGCTGAGCCTTGAGCATAGCATTTGTCTTCGTCTCAACCCATGCAAGTATTTGAAGGTATAGAGATGGCCGCCCCTAGCGCTTTTGGACGGTGGGAATAGGTCTGACAAAAGCACCACATCGTCGCCTGGGTTTCGAGTATATGCGCGGGTATCGTCGATTGGAGATGGAAGGGTACCGTGGCGACGCAAGCGGAGATACTGCCGGACAATATCATGTTCATTCCTGGTGAGCAGTTGGCAAAAAGCCTTGCAGACGAGTCTCAGCGAATGGAAGTCGGTGATGCCGCAATATGCAAATATGCGGATTTGAATCTCGACGGGAAGATCCCATGGTGATGAAACTGAGGGGTCTGCATGGTCGTTTCTGGTAAGAGAGTGAGCTAGTGAATTGGCAGATTGTCGCAAAAGATCTTTACCTCAGAGACGATGATGATCCACGCTGGTCCTTGGCACCCGCCTTTCTTCTGTTATGGATCGCAGCCCGGACTTTTTGAACGGAGAGGGCGAATTTGGCAAAGCCAGTCATTCTTAAGCCCTAGAACACATGAATTGACTGGCTTCCAACGACAGGCGCACTTTATGGGGGCTCATCGGGATAAAACAAGCTGACTGAAGGGGCCAAAATTAAGATAGCTAGACCCGATCCTTAAATAGCACATGACTAAGCCCCTCGATGGTCCACTCTGATTGAGAGATCGACGAGCGTCGTAGTATCGCAAATTGTATGATAACTGTTGAGACACATATCAAGCTTAGCTCTCGTGTCGACGAATAAAACGACCAGACGTAGTCGAAAGTAACGCCCAACAAGGGATAGCCCCACCTAACTGTAAGAAACAATCTGATAGGAAGATATACGGAGAAAACAAATGTTATAGGAGCATATCAAGCTACATCTGTGTTTTGTACAGAAGCAATTGGCAACAGAGGGGTTACGTCATCACGCCATCACTCAATGGCGTGCTCAATGCAGATATAAAGACCTTCTGAAACCAATATCTTCAAACATATTACTTCAACTTACAAAATGACAAGTAACATCCTCATCCTAGGTGCCACTCGAGGACTGGGTGCCTCTCTACGGACACTGTACTCCGCAAAGACAGCGACCCATGTGTTTGCAACCTCCCGATCCTTCAATCCAGAGCCAAGCGCAGGAGTCACCTGGCTGACAGGAATTGATATCTCTAAACCAGATGTTGGTGACAATCTTATTTTGCAGCTTCCACCTACAAAGCTCTCAACAGTCATAATCACCGCCGGATACTTTGGATTTGAAACATTTGAATATCCGAACTGGGAGAAGGAGGTTCAAATGTATACAACCTCTGCGATTGGTCCCGTCTTTGTGATACGCAATCTTGTCAAAGCCGGGTTGTTGGACCAGGGAAGTAAAGTGATCCTTGTCAGTAGCGAGAGCGGTAGCATCACATTACGCCATGAGCAGGAAGGCGGGGGTAACTTTGGTCACCATGCTAGTAAGGCTGCTTTGAATATGGTCGGGAAGCTTTTGAGTCTGGACTTGAAGTCGAAGGGAATTGCAGTTGGCTTGGTACATCCTGGATTTATGCGGACGGAGATGACGAAGAGCGTTGGATTCGATAAATACTGGGATGCAGGTGGAGGTGAGTAACCTGTGCACTATTACAGGCATTTGATCTAACCCGATATCTCTCGGAAAACAGCTGTGACACCTGATCAAGCAGCGAAAACACTTGCGTCTTTCATTGAAGGGTTTGATATTAGCAAAACCGGAGAATACTGGGCGCCAGCAGGACCAAGGTAAGATGTTTGACTGCATATTATTAAATACAAAGCTAATATATCCATCGCAGAGATATCGGCACCGCAGAAGCTGTTCTCGGGAAGAACCTGCCGACTCCTTTGCAACTTCCATGGTAGAGAGTGAAGGGATGAACATGAACCACCAAAGCCACAGGTCCCGCTTCTTTGCTCAGATATCAAGTACCAAGTACCAAATCTAGAGTAGCAGTTTCAATCTTATGATTGCTGTGCATGCGGTCTGGCACACATAAACACTAAATCCCTCCCCATGTCCTTTCGTTCTTCACGTCCGACAACCTTCACACCAAACATCTTCGTGTAGAAAGTCTGCATGCGCTCATCATCAGTGAGCAACATAATCCGACGTAGATGTGGCATGTTCTCCTTAGAAAAGGTCTCGGCAACACAAGAGATAAGCCATTTCCCAAGTCCGCTACCTTGGTACTCGGGGAGAACGTAGGTATCCGACAGATAAGCAAATGAACACCCATCTGTGACCATACGAGCAAGTCCAATCTGCTCAGTGTTCTCTGGACTCGGCGTGGTAGAATCATTTGGGGGTTGGGTCCACCTGTACACGCCGAAACTCAAGGCGCCATGGAGCATCTGCCATAACACCTCCTCTGGGAAGGGGGATTTGACCCAGTATACGAAGTCGCTACCGAATGCGGCATTGACTGCTTTGACAGACAGTAGGCTTGGTTCGGTTGAAATGAAGAATTCACGGTTGGAGTCTCGGGTCCACGTTTGAGGTGGGAGTCCACTTGTTGGCGGGGCAGAAGACATAGTGGATATGAAGAAATTTGCAGGTTGCTAAGTTGCGCTCAAAAAGATATACCCTTGGTGTTCAAGAAATTGATGTAGTGGTAGTGGAAGGAATTTAGCCTGTTATCTAATTGAGTCATACCTAGGCCGGTTAGACCTCATCTGCAAGTTGACAAATCAGTCTTGTGAACAACACGAGAAATTCAAGCCACTTTTCGTGGGAAAACGGATCACAAGGAGCAGAGCATCGAAAGAAACGAAGATTTGAGATTAAAGTTGCATGGGTTTGAGTCCAGAAACCATTTATCATGCCCTGAAAGAGTGAGACAAGAATCCATGAACTTTTCTCTAGGCTTTCTTGCCAAATTGCTCATAACTAACTGAGATCTCATCCGTCCTTTCAATTCCCGCGGCACCTTGAAGAATATTCTCATTGCTAGCGTTTTGCGCGCTATTCTTCATGGTAGTTGTGTGGTAAGTAGTATTCCGCTCGTCGGCTGATTCAAGGTCGGATTTCGAAAACTTGCCCCATTTTCGACCGCTTCCATACATTGGCAGTTTGTAGGAAGTGTTTCCCGAAGAGCTGCTCGTGTCCTTCCCGTATTTGATGCGGATGTAGAGGGGACGAAGGACGGGGATTGATGAACACATGATCGTGACGCAGCTTTCGGTGGCAGACCAGATGAGCATTGGTACCGTATCATCTGGAGTCATGTCAGCTCTAACATCACAATAAATGGTTGAGGGAACGTGCATATGTACTCAGATGCATTCAATCCCCCCAGGGCTTTGGTGCGGATAATGCCACATACTCCAGCACTAGGATGTACTCGTCAGATTGATATTCAAGAGAATGGAATTCCGAGACTCACAATACTCCAAGACTGAGACCACAGGCAACAGTTATTTTTTCTTTCTGTTTCATATTGAGATCCCAGATAACGAACCATGGGAGAATCGCGAAGGAAAAGTCTGCGGCGACAAACCATGCTGTAACAATCCAGGATTAGTATTCATGTATGCAGGAATTGTCAGCCTTGTGATGTCTTTTCAGTAGTCTTCTCAGATATCATTCTGTTTAGATAGGTCGACGGCAGAAGGCTTTGTGAAATGGACTTTCCAAGTATAACCTTTGACAACCAAGGGCAACTGGGGTACTCACATCCAACAGTATAACCAACTTTGGAAAAATCGAGCCAACAATGACCTGGGGCGGTTCGATTCCAAGATTTTTCCACGGGAATGCACTGCACTATAACAGTAATGCTGGCGAAAAGCGTGATAAAGGCAGTGATTCCAAGACAAGCCCAGATAAACCAGATCTGAATTTTATTCCTCACAATTCGAAGAAGGAATACCCCAACAGCTGCTTTACCCACACCAATGACCATGATTCCAGCTACCTGGCTGAATAGCTCATACATGATAGCCGTAGAATAGATAACCGGGTCGCCGACATCAGCGTATAATCGCCCAAGACCATAAACGCTTGCCGCTGTGACAAAGGCAGTGTAAATAATTTGCAGAGCCTGCAACGTGTTAGAATTTTCACGATAATGGCGGTAATAGGTTATTGTACTCACCAGCGCAATCAAAACGAGATAATCATCAAGACCAACGGAGTTCAGGATGTATTTTCGGGTGTAAAGCCTCAGCCCTACAAAGACGGCGAATACAACAACCTCCACCCAGTGAACTGCATTGGTCATGGGCCCTAAGCCTCCGTACACACCCATATTGAAGATGGCTGCAGGTTTAAGATAGGATAGAGGGAGAAGAATCTGAATGACAGAGACAATGCTGTTTCATGTTTCAAAAAAACAGGGTTTGGCCTCTAGTTTAATAGTATAATGGTTTTACGTTCAGATATATCAACTCCCGTGTCTACAGATACACCAGACGTTCGGCACTACCCCCTGAGCGACGTCATTTACTACCAAAGATCACGCGCAACAGTATACAATGACTTGGATATTCAATCCTGTCAACTTCCATTACTTTGTAAGGAGCTATACTAAACTTATATGGGCAGTGATCCCACGAGCTCCACAATAGGATTAAAGAACGTGCACGTACTGCATGCCTTTTACTCCATAGCTTATATAATTTTTAGCCTTTCTACGCTACAGATCCATATTTGTCTAACTTACTAGAGCATAAGAATTTATTATAAGAATGGCCATCTTGCGAGATATCCGAGGAGCTCGTACAGATGTGGGTCGGACACGACCAGAAGCAACATATGCCCTGTTCAAGTCTAGATTTAGGAGTGGAGGAGGATGATCACTTTTTCAATTCTAGAACAGCGATGAACCTAACTTGGATTGGGAATGTGTTTCTAAGCTTGGACAGATAGTTGTATTACAAATGCCTTGAGATTTGACAAGGATGATCCAATTATCAACATTGGTACTTTGTACTGAGACACTGCCGCCCAGAACCCTATATAATTGTGCTTCTTAAGTTCGCTCATTGGCATTATTTACAAAATTAAAACAAGAAAGAATCTCTAAGAGACTATCATATGCAGTACGGAGTACTCCGTATGTTGTACTCCGTGTCTTAATTCGACCTTACGACCTCAGGAGACGTGTGGCTCCGGTGGCGCCGGAGGGCTTGACAGATAACGGCGCTCCACCGCAAAGCAGCGCTTCCCGCTTCCCCGGCTACATTTTCTTGTCGTAGTGCGGCCCCCGAATAGCGATCATTTCTGAATGTGGTTAAGTGAGTGGATATCACCTCGAGAGAAATGTAGGCTATCACAATTCTAACAGAGGGGAATTTGAACTGAACCTTGTACTGGCGAGTCTATGGAGGTCCAGAGACATAGTTAACTTTGCACATCTAGCCCAACCAGGTAATCCGCTGGGAATTGACCTTGGCTAGGGAAACCCCTGAAGGTCATGCCGCGGCCTTTGGTGTAATTTCAAAGGCTCGGGTTGCACTTATACTGTAGCTCGAACTGTCAATCTGATTGATACCATTTTCTTATTATCCCATCCCTTTCCATCTCCTGGAGACCAGGCCAAAGCTTGAAGCGTAACATGTCATATCTAACACAAATTGTTTCAGCACTTGCTGCAGCTAAGCCTAAATGGCTTAGCGGCAACGAAGTCGAGCATATCCAAGGACAAGCAGCAGATCGACCGCCGTCTGAAACAAACAGATTAATCGATACCCTCGATGCTGTTCAACCTGAGGTGTTTGGCGGCAACGAAGTCGAACGTCTAAAGGTACGCGCTGCAGCACGTCGATTACTTGCCAGAGTAGAGACACCATATGAGCGTGCCTGGGGCTTCTGCTTTGAACAGCCTGTCGTCTTTGCTGCTCTACAGACATGCATAGACTTGGGTCTTTGGAAGTCGTGGACAGCTGTTGGGGGTGAGAAGTCTATTGACGAACTGGTCACATTTACCACACCCACTATCGATACAAACCTACTACGTAAGCTTTCACTTCGTAATATTCATAATATAACCACGCAAAGCTCATGACAACATACAGGTCGATTGTTCCGCTTGCTGGCTGCTTTCAATGTGGTAGAGGAGACAGCAGAAGACAGATTCAAACCAACTCCGTTCTCTAACGCTATCGGCGATGAGAGCACCAAGGTCCGCGCCTCGCTTCAAGCAGCGTAAGAATATCCTCTACTACTATCCCCGTGTCTCATTAACATTGGTCGTTTCAGAACAAATCAATACATTGCCGCTGGCCATAATTTGCCAGCTTATCTAGCAAAAATATCTTACAAGGAGCCCACGGAAGTAGACACGAATAACCACTCGGACAGTGACCCGGACGGTCTCAACTTCTTCGGGCGGTTGCAGAAAAGCCCCGCTTGCTTTGAAGCCTTCACTGGCCACATGGAGGCCTGGACAGCATGGAAAACTCCGTGGACTAAGGTCTACGATACAACAAAGCTGCTGGAGGGTGCCAAGCTGGACAATGGCTCTCCATTCGTGGTTGATGTTGGTGGGAACACTGGGATTGATATTTCCCACGTTCTTGCAAAACATCCAGAGCTTCCTAGTGGATCGCTCATCCTACAAGATCTTCCAGAAGTGATTGCCAATGCGCAAGTTGATGAGAAGATCACGGCAATGGCTCATGATTTCTTCTTACCTCAGCCAGTGAAAGGTAAGAACAATCCCAGTCCAGAAAGACAGATGTAACTACTAACACCCAAGGCATAGGGAGTCGTGCATACTTTATGCACGCAGTTCTTCACGATTGGCCAGATGATAAGGCTAAGCAATTGCTTGTGAACACCAAAGATGCAATGGTCAAGGGCTACTCTAAGCTTTTTATTTATGATATTGTTCTTCCAGTAACAGGAGCGAGCATCAGCCAAGCCACAATGGACGTGGAGATGATGTCGTTGTTGTCGGCTGCCGAGCGAACACAAAGTGTATGGACGAAGCTGTTGACCGATGCTGGGTTTCAAATTGTCAACTTTTGGCCCGACCCTCAACAGTATGAGATGGTTATTGAGGCCGAGATTGCCTAGGTTTGTTTTACTACTAGGGGTAAAATTGAGGTCTTTCGATGTCACCCTCTCATATAGAATCCAACATCCTCGAACATCTTCACATTGGTGAAAAATAACACATTACGCAGCCTGAATGCTCCAGTTTCAATCTCAACATGCTAAATCATATAATAAACATGACTTCGACCCTATAGGTAATAAAAATTGACCTTCCAGAACTTCAATGTCCATCTCAAAATGCCTTGGCATTTGCAAAGTAGGCATTGAAATATCCCCCCAAAGCTCGGCCGAGACATCAAATGGCGACATACCAGCAAACAAATACCCCAACACATACTCCAATGCACTCCGCAATTGCGTAGAGAGTGGAGAGAATGGTGTTCACGATAACCCCCTCGGCACGTCATCGCGGTCCGCGATGGTGTTAGCGACATCAAATCAATCCCGAGAACATCACATATGACCATATACTATATACCCGACTCCAATCTAAACCAATCTATCTATTAGATCCAAGAGGCAAGATTGTAATTCGTATTAGGTGGCGTATGAAACGTTGCACATGACGTGCAGACGCGGGGTGTTATAGTCGTCTACAAGAATGCCGGTATATCCAACTCGGTGCGACAACGGTACTCTGTACATATTTAAGCTGTGATCGTTGAAGGATTGCCAAGGGAAAAGAAAACATAGAAACCCTCGCCATGACTCTTGTGCAATCCCCTGAGGTGGCTCTTCCCTTATCGAATATCGGACCTGCCTCGGAATCGATCAAGGGTCCTTCAGATTTGAACGGACCAACCACTGTAACAGTGGAGAGTGATATCAACGGATTATCAGAGAAGATTGAAAACATCCGATTTGAACTGGAGGAGCACCCGGTTGATGTGGTGCGACCCATCAAAGTGGGTATCATCGGCGCGGGTCTTGCAGGGATTACCGCGGGTGTGTTGCTCCCTGCAAAACTGCCGGGACTTGATCTTCGAATCTATGATAAGAATTCGGATGTGGTATGTTATTGTCAATTGATGGGTTGTTTCGAAGCTAACCCACATTCTTAGGGAGGCACATGGTACATTCTCATTCTGCTCATCATTAGCGCAGGTTGCTAACTCGGATCAAATAGGTTCGAGAATACATATCCCGGAGTTCGATGTGATATTCCTGCACATGTATACCAATCCAGTATCTCGCCAAATACTCAATGGACAGAAGAGTTTGCCCAGGGAGATGAGATTAGACAATACTGGCAGGGTGTTGCACGGAAGCACAATGTGTATCAATACCTTCGCGCAGGTCAAAGAGTGCAGAAGGCCGAATGGCAGCCCGAGAAAGGGAAATGGAATGTCACGGTTGAGCATGTGGATGGCTCGAAGGTGAGAAATGGTTGATGTTAGCACCTGAAGTTCTATGCTCACGTCCATGCAACAGATCTATGAGGAAGAACTGGACGTGGTAATCAACGCCATCGGTCATTTCAATGCCTGGAAGCTACCCGACTATGAAGGAATCAACGAATACAAGGGACGCCTGTTTCATTCCTCTAACTGGGATCCAAATATCGATCTGAAAGGCAAGCGAATTGCTCTTATTGGAAATGGTGCTTCTGGCTTGCAAGTCCTACCATCCATTCAACCGTTCGCAAGCCACGTTGATCATTACGCTCGGAATCCAACCTGGATTGCAGATTCATTCAGCAGCGGAAGCGCGGGAGTCCGTCGACTGGAGCCAAACTTGTTCTCCGAGTCACAGCTAGAGACATGGAAAGATCCCAAGGCGTATCTGGAATACCGAAGGGATGTCGAAAAGGGATATTTCCAGCGGTTTGGAGCGATCTTCAAAGACACGCCCGAAAACAACGAACTGCGTGAGAAATGGACCGCCCTGATGCTGCAGCGTATTGCAGGCAAGTCAGAGTTAGCAGAAAAGATTATCCCAGACTTTCCCCCAGCGTGCCGTCGCCCAACACCAGGACCAGGGTATCTAGAAGCCCTAGCCAAGGAAAACGTCGACTATATCCAGACGCGCATCAAGCGATTCACAGAGAAAGGCATTGTGACGGAGGACGGGGTTGAGCGCGAAGTGGACATCACGATCTGCGCAACAGGAGCTAACGTCGATCACGCACCCCCATTCTCCATCATCGCCGATGGAGTCGACCTCAAGAAAGCCTGGAAACACGACGGCAAGTTCGGATTCCCGTACTCATACCTTGGCTTTGCAACACCCGGGTTCCCGAACCTTCTC